CGTGATATGTAATCTCCAATATCCAAAGAAAATGCCCTTTCGTCGCTGAAGAAATTACGAAAATGTCATCCAAAAATAAATTGGCCCAAATCGATGCTTAACGGACTTATCATCCGTGGAGAATAGGATCAATAGACTTCATTATCGGTGGAGAATAGCCTCGACCTGATTCGGTGATCTGTAGCCTCCAAAATCAAAAGAAAATGGCATTTCGGATAAATCGCCTGAAATCAGTGATGGTGCCCCTTTGGAATCTGCCAAAAATTGACCTGGAATAAATCCGCCCAAATAGGAGCTTAATGGACACAATCTTCGTTGGAGAATAGCCTCAGGCCGAATCCGTGATATGTAATCTCCAATATCCAAAGAAAATGCCCTTTCATCGCTGAAGAAATAACGAAAATGCCATCCAAAAATAAATTGACCCAAATCGATGCTTAACGGACTTATCATCCGTGGAGAATAGGATCAATAGACTTCATTATCGGTGGAGAATAGCCTCGACCTGATTCGGTGATCTGTAGCCTCCAAAATCGAAATAAAATGACATTTCGGATAAATCGCCGGAAATCAGTGATGATACCCCTTTGGAATCTGCCAAAAATTGACCCGGAATGATTCCGCCCAAATCGGTGCTTAATGGACTCAATCATCGTTGGAGAATAGCCTCAGGCCGAATCCGTGATCTGTAGCCTTCAATATCATAAGAAAATGGTCTTTCGTCGCCCAATAAATTACGAAAACGCCATCTGAAAATAAATTGGCCCAAACCGATGCTTAACGGACTTATCATTCCTGGAGAATAGGATCAATAGACTTCATTATCAGTAGAGAATAGCCTCGGCCTAATTCCGTGATCTGCAGCCTCCAAAATCGAAAGAAAATGGCATTTCTCATAAATCGCCTGAAATCTGTGATGGTACCCCTTTGGAATCTGCCAAAAATTGACCCGGAATAAATTTTCCCAATTCGGTGCTTAATGGACTCAATAATCGTTGGAGAATAGCCTCAGGCCGAATCCGTGATCTGTAGCCTTCAATATGAACAGAAAATAGCCTTTCGTCGCCCAAGAAATTACGAAAATGCCATCCAAAAATAAATTGGCCCAAATTGATGCTTAACGGACTTATCATCCGTGGAGAATAGGATCAGTAGAGTTCATTATCGGTGGAGAATAGCCTCGGCGTGATTCTGTGATCTGTAGCCTCCAGAATCGAAAGAAAATGGCATTTCGGATAAATCGCCCGAAATCTGTGATGGTACCCCTTTGGAATCTGCCAAAAATTGATCCAGAATAAATCCGCCCAAATCGGTGCTTAATGGACTCAATCATCGTTGGAGAATAGCCTCAGGCCGAATCCGTGATCTGTAGCCTTCAATATCCAAAGAAAATGGCCTTTCTTCGCCCAATAAATTACGAAAATGCCATCCGAAAATAAATTGGCCCAAATCGATGCTTAACGGACTTATCATTCATGGAGAATAGGATCAATAGACTTCATTATGGTGGAGAATAGCCTCTGCCTGATTCCGTGATCTGTAGCCTCCAGAATCGAAAGAAAATGGCATTTCGGATAAATCGCCCAAAATCTGTGATGGTACCCCTTTAGAATCTGCCAAAAATTGACCCGGAATAAATCCGCCCAAATCAGTGCTTAATGGACACAATCATCGTTGGAGAATAGTCTCAGGTCGAATCCGTGATTTGTAGCCTTCAATATCCAAAGAAAATGGCCTCTCGTCGCCCAAGAAATTACGAAAAATGTCATCCGAAAATAAATTTGCCCAAATTGATGCTTAACGGACTTATCATCCATGGAGAATAGGATCAATAGACTTCATTATGGTGGAGAATAGCCTCTGCCTGATTCCGTGATCTGTAGCCTCCAGAATCGAAAGAAAATGGCATTTCGGATAAATCGCCCGAAATCTGTGATGGTACCCCTTTAGAATCTGCCAAAAATTGACCCGGAATAAATCCGCCCAAATCGGTGCTTAATGGACACAATCATCGTTGGAAAATAGTCTCAGGCCGAATCCGTGATTTGTAGCCTTCAATATCCAAAGAAAATGGCCTCTCGTCCCCCAAGAAATTACGAAAAATGTCATCCAAAAATAAATTTGCCCAAATTGATGCTTAACGGACTTATCATCCGTGGAGAATAGGATCAATAGACTTCATTATCGGTGGAGAATAGCCTCGACCTGATTCGGTGATCTGTAGCCTCCAAAATCAAAAGAAAATGGCATTTCGGATAAATCGCCCGAAATCAGTGATGGTACCCTTTTGGAATCTGTCAAAAATTGACCAGGAATAAATCCGCCCAAATAGGTGCTTAATGGACACAATCATAGTTGGAGAATAGCCTCAGGCTGAATCCGTGATATGTAATCTCCAATATCCAAAGAAAATGCCCTTTCGTCGCTGAAGAAATTACGAAAATGCCATCCAAAAATGAATTGGCCCAAATCGATCCTTAACGGACTTATCATCCGTGGAAAATAGGATCAATAGACTTCATTATCGGTGGAGAATAGCCTCGACCTGATTCGGTGATCTGTAGCCTCCAAAATCAAAAGAAAATGGCATTTCGGATAAATCGCCCGAAATCAGTGATGGTGCCCCTTTGGAATCTGCCAAAAATTGACCTGGAATAAATCCTCCCAAATAGGTGCTTAATGGACACAATCATAGTTGGAGAATAGCCTCAGGCCGAATCCGTGATATGTAATCTCCAATATCCAAAGAAAATGCCCTTTCATCGCTGAAGAAATAACGAAAATGCCATCCAAAAATAAATTGACCCAAATCGATGCTTAACGGACTTATCATCCATGGAGAATAGGATCAATAGACTTCATTATCGGTGGAGAATAGCCTCGAGCTGATTCGGTGATCTGTAGCCTCCAAAATCGAAAGAAAATGGCATTTCGGATAAATCGCCCGAAATAAGTGATGGTACCCCTTTGGAATCTGTCAAAAATTGACCCAGAATTAATCCACCCAAATCGGTGCTTAATGGACACAATCATCGTTAGAGAATAGTCTCAGGCCGAATCCGTGATATGTAATCTTCAATATCCAAAGAAAATGGACTTTCGTCGCCCAAGAAATTACGAAAATGCAAACCGATAATAAATTGGCCCAAACCGATGCTTAACAGACTTATCATCCGTGAAGAATAGGATCAATAGACTTCATTATCGGTGGAGAATAGCCTCGACCTGATTTGGTGATCTGTAGCCTCCAGAATCGAAAGAAAATGGCATTTCGGATAAATCGCCCGAAATCTGTGATGGTGCCCTTTTGGAATCTGCCAAGAATTGACCCTGAATAAATCAGCCCAAATCGGTGCTTAATGACTCAATCATCGTTGAAGAATAGCCATAGGCCGAATCCGTTATTTGTAGCCTTTAATATCCAAAGAAAATGGCCTTTCGTCGCCCAAGAAATTACGAAAAATGTCATCCGAAAATAAATTGGCCCAAATTGATGCTTAACGTATTTATCATCCATGGAGAATAGGATCAATAGAGTTCATTATCGGTGGAGAATAGCCTCGGCCTGATTCCTTGATTTGTAGCCTCCAAAATCGAAAGAAAATGGCATTTCGGATAAATCGCCCGAAATCAGTGATGGTACCCCTTTGGAATCTGCCAAAAATTGACCCGGAATGAGTCCGACCAAATCGGTGCTAATGGACTCGATCATCGTTGGAGAATACCTCAGGCCGAAGCCGTGATCTGTAGCCTTCAATATCATAAGAAAATGGTCTTTCGTCGCCCAATAAATTACGAAAACGCCATCTGAAAATAAATTGGCCCAAACCGATGCTTAACGGACTTATCATTCGTGGAGAATAGGATCAATAGACTTCATTATCGGTGGAGAATAGCCTCGGCCTGATTCCGTGATCTGTAGCCACCAGAATCGAAAGAAAATGGCATTTCGCATAAATCGCCTGAAATCTGTGATGGTACCTCTTTGGAATCTGCCAAAAATTGACCCGGAATAAATATGCCCAAATCGTCGCTTAATGGACACAATCATCGTTGGAGAATATCCTCAGCCCGAATTCGTGATATGTAATCTTCAATATCCAAAGAAAATGGACTTTCGTCGCCCAAGAAATTACGAAAATACAAACCGAAAATAAATTGGCCCAAACCGATGCTTAACGGACTTATCATCCATGGAGAATAGGATCAATAGACTTCATTATAGGTGGAGAATAGCCTCAACCTGATTCGGTGATCTGTAGCCTCCATAATCGAAAGAAAATGGCATTTCGGATAAATCGCCCGAAATCTGTGATGGTACCCTTTTGGAATCTGCCAAAAATTGACCCTGAATAAATCAGCCCAAATCGGGGCTTAATGGACTCAATCATCGTTGGAGAATAGCGTCAGGCCGAATCCGTGATTTGTAGCCTTCAATATCCAAAGAAAATGGCCTTTCGTCTCCCAAGAAATTACAAAAAATGTCATCCGAAAATAAATTGGCCCAAATTGATGCTTAACAGACTTATCATCCGTGGAGAATAGGATCAATAGAGTTCATTATCGGTGGAGAATAGCCTCGGCCTGATTCCGTGATCTGTAGCCTCCAATATCGAAAGAAAATGGCATTTTGGATAAATCGCCTTAAATCGGTGATGGTACCCCTTTAGAATCTGCCAAAAATTGACCCGGAATAAATCCGCCCAAATCGGTGCTTAATGGACTCAATCATCGTTGGAGAAATAGCCTCAGGCCGAATCCGTGATTTGAAGCCTTCAATATCCAAAGAAAATGGCCTCTCGTCGCCCAAGAAATTACGAAAAATGTCATCCGAAAATAAATTTGCCCAAATTGATGCTTAACGGACTTATCATCCGTGGAGAATAGGATCAATAGACTTCATTATCGGTGGAGAATAGCCTCGGCTTGATTCCGTGATCTGTAGCCTCCAGAATCGAAAGAAAATGGCATTTCGCATAAATCGCCTGAAATCAAACTAATCATCTCGAAACATATTGCATGAACTCGCGGTCCGCTTCAATCGCGGCCATCGTCTCCGGCGCCAAAACAATCTCCAGATCCACGGTCCCGCCGCCTTCCCTCCCGGGAAAAGCCGACGTCTTGCCGTCGAACTTGTTCGCCTTCCCGCTCCTCACCGCCAGCGGCCGGCCCCACCCGAAATCATTGTCGTACATCGGGAATCGCGGCGACCTCCCCATCATCATCGACGCCCCGTCCAGGTTCCCCAGCGGGAAGCACCATGGGCTCCCAGTCCATTAAATCGCCTTAAATCGGTGATGGTACCCCTTTGGAATCTGCCAAAAATTGACCCGGAATAAATCTGCCCAAATGGGTGCTTAATGGACTCAATAATCGTTGAGAGAATAGCCTCAGGCCGAATCCGTGATCTGTAGCCTTCAATATCCACAAAAAATAGCCTTTCGTCGCCCAAGAAATTACGAAAATGCCATCCAAAAATAAATTGGCTCAAATTGATGCTTAACGGACTTATCATCCGTGGAGAATAGGATCAGTAGACTTCATTATCGGTGGAGAATAGCCTCGGCCTGATTCTGTGATCTGTAGCCTCCAGAATCGAAAGAAAATGGTATTTCGGATAAATCGCCCAAAATCTGTGATGGTACCCCTTTGGAATCTGCCAAAAATTTACCCGGAATAAATCCGCCAAATCGGTGCTTAATGGACTCAATCATCGTTGGAGAATATCCTTTGGCCGAATCCGTGATCTGTAACCTTCAATATCCAAAGAAAATGGCCTTTCGTCGCCCAAGAAATTACGAAAATGCCATCGAAAATAAATTGGCTCAAATCGATGCTTAACGGACTTATCATCCATGGAGAATAGGATCAATAGACTTCATTATGGTGGAGAATAGCCTCTGCCTGATTCCGTGATCTGTAGCCTCCAGAATCGAAAGAAAATGGCATTTCGGATAAATCGCCCAAAATCTATGATGGTACCCCTTTGTAATCTGCCAAGAATTGGCCCTGAATAAATCTTCCCAAATCGATGATTAATGGACTTAATTATTATTAAAGAATAACTTCAAGCAGAATCCGTGACCTGTAGGCTGTAGCCTTCAAAATTCATAGAAAATGGTATTTCGTCGCCCAAAATATTACGAAAATGTCATCCGAAAATAAATTGGCCCAAACCGGTGCTTAATGCATTTATCATCCGTGGAGAATAGGATCAATAGACTTCATTATCGGTGGAGAATAGCCTCGGCTTGATTTTGTGATCTATAGCCTTCAGAATCGAAAGAAAATGACATTTCGGAAAAGTCGCCTCCAGACTTCATTACCATCACAGATTTCGGGCGATTATTTTGAAAGACCATTTTTCTTGTATTTTGAAAGCTACATATCACGGAGTCGCCCTGAAGCTATTCTCCACCTACGATGAAGTCTATTAATCATCGATTTGGGCGATTTTTTTCCGGATGTCATTTTTGTAATCTTTTTGGCAATATTTTCAAAATTACATTTTCATTGAAATTTGAATGTTGCATATCACAGATTCTACCTAACACTATTTTTCACTCATGATTAAGTTTATTAAACAATGATTTAAACTTATTTTTCCGAGGTCGATTTTTGCAGATTCCGAAGGGGTATCATCACAGATTTCAGGCGATTTTTTTATAACATCATTTTCCTTTGATTTTAAAAGTTACAGATCACATGTTCGCTCTGAGAATTTTCTTCACCGATAATAAAGTCTATTAATCGTCGATTTGGACAAATTTTCGGAGGGGATTTTGGTTTGACAATAATCTTCTGTTTTAGGCAAACAAAAGCGTTTAGAAGTTTATACTTTTAACCGTTAAAAACTACACACTAATGCTTCCTCAATGATTTGAGGAAAATAGAAGGGAAACAAATTCACTCCCTAATCATGCAAACCCCCAAAAGTAACAATGTAAAATTATGAGTCGGATTTATTCTTGCCGGGATTTCTTTTAAATCGTGTCCACTAACGTATCGCCGAGGAAGGAGGCGGGATTGTTATTATGACCCCAGCTAGGGTGGTTAATGACCCATACTAGTGGAAGTGTTGGTGCTTCGGGAAGCTATAATGTAGTGTTTGAATCGGGGTGTCATGTAGGTGTGTTTTGAGAGCGATGCTAAGGTTATCATTGATAAAATCAATCATGCAGATATTAGTGATAGTCGGATTGGTGCTATTCTTACTGAAGTTGTTCATCACTTTGCTATTCGCTCAGAGTTTAGTGCTCGATTTGTAGCTCGGCGTAATAATAGGGTAGTATTTGGTGACTCGAAAGACCCTCTCTTTATATCTGACTACGAATCGTTTCTTCGATTTCCAGGCCTGACTATATTTCAAAGTGTAACTATCTTTTGTTTCAATCCATGAAGATTATTTTTGTAAAAAAAATATCTGATCGCCACCAACGCCCAAGTGGCGAGGTGGAGGACTGGCGACTATAGTGGGTGCTCGGGGGTTGGTAAGCAGGCCCACACCACCAACCCAAAAGAAATTCCACTCCCTCAACAACCCTGCAGAATTCCAATTCCTTGGTTCACTCTCGTACCGAACTTTGCCGCACACCCTTTGACCCTCGCCAGTTAAAATTATTCCTAAGCGCAATGATTCAACGTGTAAAGAGTAAAATTGTAACTGATGACATATATGGTAAAAACAGCGGTAAACAGTAATAATAAAATAGTAATTAACACATACAATTTTATCACTGAAACAGGATAGAAGCAGGGAAGAAGGCCCAATGCCTCTTGGGCTTTAACCTTGGGCCTCCTAAACAAACAGCAAGCTGTAACTAGAAATAGGGATTATTAATTTATTACAACCTTAATAGCCTAACATGTGGCTAACTATGGTTTTCATTTTGATTCAATTGGTTATACATATCTTATAATGACTTAGCTTAGCTTAGCCTTACTAAAGAATAATGCTCTAATAAAGTAAAAAACGGTGCGCAGCACCAAATGAATTGACGGGATACGAAACAACTCTTGAAACTTCAATACCTGGAACAATTTGGTACATGGTACATGATCAGTTAACCAGCTTTAGCAGCAACTTCTTTCTTTGTTACTTCTTCTTGTATTGCCTTCTGTTCCTGCTGCTTCAATGGAGCCGGAATCTTGGACACTTCGATCACGCCGAGATTCTGCCAGCACAAAGTTCGAGATCAAAGAGATTACATGGGGGGAGTATCCGATTTCAGTTGATAAACAAATCAATCGGACACATGGAGTTGATGGGGGGTGCTATGATGATTCGTACCTTCAGTATGGCCAAAGCTGATTCATCCCGATTCATTGTGTAGAGATGCAGCGTCCTAATCCCATGAGCCATAATCTTCTTGCACATCTCTGTCCCGAGATGAATTCCGTATGCTTTCACAGCTTCATTGTTGTCTTTAATGGGCTCCAGTGCAGCAAGAATATCAGCTGGGATCTACATTCACAGTGTGAAATTTTTTGCAAGTAACAGATTAGATCCATGACACTATGAAGATTGCCTATGCTTCACTTGACAGCTATTCGAGCAACTTGGCAAGAAGAAGTAAGTACCTTGGTTTTGCATAATCCAGTCATTTTGCGGAATGACCTGTAGTTGGTAATAGTCAAAATGCCAGGCACAATTGGGCAAGTGATTCCAATTTGGCGGCAGTCATCGACGAATTTGAGAAAGATATCGGTATCGTAGAACAGCTGAGTGATGATCAGATCTGCTCCAGCGTCAACCTGTGATCAGATAAGCATATTAGCTAATCCCCCAAAGCGATCACAGAGTAGATTGCAAAACAATAGGCATGAGTAGTCTAGCAGTTTCCGATTTTGAACTCCATATATACTCCTCCATGAAAGGTCCTACGAGCACTAGATTGCAAAACCGTAGGCATGGTAATTCATTATTATAAGAACTTAGAATAAATCACAGCAGAACAAGCTGACCTTCTGCTTCAAATAAGCAAGATCTTTCTGGTAATCTTCCGGCGTGGCTACACCATCATCTCCGATCACATCCGGGTGAGCCTCTGTTTAACAATTGCAGTAAATCACTTGGGAACTAGAAAGGGAAGCCCAAAATTTCCCCCCTGAAAATTGAATCTACGAAACAAATGAACAGAACAAAGGGGGAAAATGAATACCTGGATAACCAGCAACAGTAATGCCGAAGTAATCCCCATACTTGGACCTCATGTGCTTCACCTGCAAGCACACAACAGAACAAAAACGGATCCATCTCAGTGATTCCGCCATTGACCAATTCCGTAGCGCAATTGCAATATTGAGACAGAAATTGGATCTCAGATTTCCAATTGTAGGGGGGAAAGAGACGGAGAGAGAGTGAGAGGAATTCAATACCAGGTCGAGAGCGCTGGAGTATCCGTCCTGGATCTGGACGAACTTGTCCTGGCCGATCGGCGGGTCGCCGCGGAGGGCGAGAACGTTCTGGACGCCGCCGGATTTGATGGTGTCGAGCGCGCGGTCGATTTCCTCCACCGGCATTTCGGCGCAGGTGAGGTGCATCATGGTCTCGATCCCGATGGAGTTCTGCATCCTGTTGGCGATGTCGAGCGAGACGTCGCCGGAGGAGGCTCGCCAGGTGATGTCGCAGAAGGTCGGGCTGTACGCCACCATGCGCTCTATCAGCTCGAGGACCTTCGCCATGCCTTCCGCCCTCGGCGGGAAGAATTCGAAGGAGAACGCGACGTTGTTGTTGTGGTGGTTCCCGCCGTTCTCCGCTCCGCCATTGGCCTCACCGACAGTCGACCGGATCTTGTCTATTACCTTCATGGCGGCGATGCAGTTGCTTGTTCTGCCTCCCGACGGTAAAAATTACCGGGAATCGAACAAACGAACGAGAAGAGAGAGAGAGAGAAGAGGAAAATGCGAGGACGAGACAGGAAGAAATGAAGAAACGGAGACTTGTTAGGGTTTTTAAAGAGAGGAAAGGAATCAGCGCTTCATACATACGCAGGTGTACGGCCACCTTCCCCTTCCGAGTCCGACTCACAACTCAGTTAGTTTAACTGCAGCCCCACGCGGGAAGGGAGAAATTATTTTTATTTTTATTTTTTTGTTTGTGTTTTTTCAACTAATTTATTATATGTGTATTTTCGATTCACAATGTAATCATTAATCATACAAAGTAATAGATAAGTGGATTCAAGATAATTTACAGATTTTTTACACGATTTCAATTCTTAAAATCTTACATTACCTGTTTTAGTTTTTGCGGATTAGATTCAATATATTTCTCAAATTTTGATTGCGATGCATTTTTAATTTGAGTTTTGACATTTCGCTTTTCTTTGTTCTCTTTTATCATGTCTTCGTGCTATGCTAAAATAAGACAAGCTCAGTGAAAACTATGGTTGAATTTGAATAATGTATCAGCAATGTTTTGGGGTAGGTGGATGATCTACTTGAAGTAGTCAACATCGTCCAAGACTAAATGAGCGATTAGGCGTTTGGGAAAAAGGGGAAATCACATTTGTATAAAATATATTATTTTTGGGGTAGGTGGATGATTTTTTTTAGTAGTCAACATCCTCCAAGACTAAATGAATGATTATGACTTTGGAAAAATGAAGGAAAATCACATTTGTAAAAATATATATTATTTTTATCATGGGAAAGTCCGCCAAAAACAAAAAATTCCGACTCATGAACACCGGACAAACTTATGAGAGCGGATGACAGTGGCGCGATAATTTTGTTAGTGATCATCACATGATAAATCTGGATTGGCAACTGCTGAGATTCGAACTTAAATCCTTTTGAAATTAAACATGCGTCTTAATCGGTCTTTGTACCTCTAAAAATTTATTTGCTTAGATTAAAAGGAAGATATGGTTGGTAAGCAAATGTTAGGTGGGGGGTTGTTTGAAACCTATTTGCATGTTAGTTCTCAAAGTTCCCACATTCTCTAGCTTACTCCTACCTAACCCACTATGATACACGTCGGTCAAAGTTAGGGCCAAGCATCATCTTAGTTCCACTCCAAGTAAAACTAATATCAAAAGACAAATAAATCCTTTTGTTTTCCAAAGAAGATAAATGAGCTCTGCAACTTAGTTGTGCTCCAAAGTATCTGAAACTTCTGAATCATGAGTGGGACGTCGTGGTCTCACATGTTTATAGGGAAGGAAACAAAGCAATCGATTATCTAATTAATGTTGGTCATATAACCTCTCTTTTAGTACACATCTTGTCGATGTGTGCAACTCAGATCTACGTAGATGATTGTATTACGATATTATGAGATTCTTGTTACAAATTCCCGAGAACTATAATCGAGCCGAAAGACCTCAGAAAGTGGGAAAGAAATCTCAATCTCGTCTTATTAATGAATGAACTAAGACGCAGGGACAGGTTACGGTGATTACTACTTTGTAGTAATCACCGTGGTTACTAAGGGTAAATTGGGTATGGAAAAATAAATTATATTAATTAATTTTTTAATAAATTACATTTAAGGTAGTTACAAAAATCTATTAATTAAAATTCTCTCTTTCTCTCACTTCCGTAATCTCCAGCGAGATTTCCTTTCCATATTTTTCTCAATCTTTCTGCAAAAAAAAAAAAAAAACGAAATCAGTACCAATCCATTAGACAAACACTACCACTTTGAAAAATATCAATACCATTGCAGAAATAAATCTATACCATTACACGAAAACTACCATTGCATAAATAAATTTATACCATTACACGAAAACTACCATTCAAGAAATAAAAACACTACCATTTCACAAAACATCAATACCATTCAAGAAAGAAAAACACTACCATTTCACAAAACATCAATACCATTGCAGATTTAATCACTACCAATGCGACAAAATCAATACCATTGCAACAAAATCAATACCAATATGATAAAAATAATACCATTACGACAAAAATAATACCAATGCGACAAAATCAATACCAAAACAAAGCAATACAAAAAAAAAGTTTTAGTACCTGTTCGACCCGGATATCTACACCGACGGCAGGATTTCGGTGCAGGGGATTGACGGGATCCTGTTCCCGGAGACGGAAGCGACGGAGCCGCTGAGGAAGCCGGCGAGTCCCGTCAAAGTCGTGACCAAGGCCAGGAGAGGTAATTAGTAGAAATTGCCCTGTTCTTAGCTTTCCATTAATCTTTCGCCATTGTTGCCTAATCTATTTTACGAAGGTGTTGACGAAGGTGGGCGAGGGTCGCCGGAGGGTGGGCGGCTGCCGGCAGTGGGAGGGCCGCAGGATAGGTGTTGACGAAGATATAAAATAGGGTTGGAGTAGGTTTAGGTATAATATATAGAATTAATTTTTTAAAGGATAGAAATCAGGTGTGGTATTTTTTTTATTCTCAAAATTACCCTTAATCTAATCTTCACCGTCAATTTAAAATTAGAATAAAATATAGATAATTAAGGGTCTAGATTTTAGTAGCCACGGTGATTACTCAATTTTGAGTAATCATCCTAACGCGTTCCCTAAGACGCACCTAGCGACTATCTTCTTACCAAAATGATTGTTTATGACAACTTGTACAATGTAAGAAGTGAGTCATCATAGACACCAAATCACATGGGAAGCTAACACTCCTGACCAATCATAGCCACATTGCGGTTGAGACCACAGAATTTGTCGGCCAACTACAACTAGGACAACTAAGAATTGTATGCATATACTTACTTGAAAAAAGAAGGGTTAATACCATAATTTGGCCCGAAGTTTAGCGTTATTGACAGTTCTGGCCCGACTTTTCCAATAAGACATTTGTGACCTACTTTTCAAACTATTGGACAAATTTGGCCTATGAGACTGTTTGACCGTCACAATTGACGGTCAACCATTTTTCCCGTTAATGACTCAGCATTAGCTGCTGACTAGACTAGTCCATTTGATTTAAAAATTGAAAACTTAAAAATTAAAAATAAAAAGGGGAGTCTCTGTCCAGTCCCCTTCTTTCCTCTTCCCTCTGGCTTCTCTATATCATCTTCCAATTTCATATCTGATTCTCAAAATTCAATTTCAAAAAGTTGTTCTTATCAATCAATACACAAAACCTATTACCAAACGTCGACCCACCGCAGCATCACCAAAAATTAACCCCGCCATTGTCTTCAATCTCTTCACGATCCCTAATCTTCTTCTGTTGTCGCCAAAGAAACAGCCAGAGGTAAGCCGGCCCGAATCTAACGACGACCACCGCCACTCCCACTCCTCTTCCTCCCGAACCTTCTTCCACCCGGAACTCGTTGCCGTCTTAAACCGCCAACCCATTTCTTATCGCCGACCACGAATCTAGGTGTGGTTGAAGTGCGGATTTAGCGTTTCCTCCAGAACGGTGTGAGGGAGAAGACGAACAGCCACCAGTTCGTTCGGCTGAGGGAGAGTCGATTTGGGCACCGCCCGTTGAAAATCCCTCGCCGCCGAAGCGCATGTCGAGGACGAAGAAGAGGAAGAAGGAACTAGTCCCAGTCAAAAGCCATGCCCCCGCAGAACTTCTTCCGCAGCCGCTCGTTCCACCCCGACGGCGTCTTACCCTTGAACGCGCCGGCGTGGAAGTACACCAAGACCGACAGCTTCCTCTTCTCTTCGTCTAGTCTGGGGAGGTAGAGGTGGGTCTCGGCGGAAGAAGGGATTGAATCAGTGGGAAGAAGGCGACGAGAGGAAGAGATGAGGGTAGGGCCGTAGGAGTTGGGGGTTTTGGGATTATTTTTATTTTTTTATTAATTGAATTAGAAAATATTTTATTTAATGACATGGCACCATGTATAAGCCACGTCAGTAGTTCTTTGATGAGTCACTAACGGAATAAGTGTTTGACCGTTAATATTAACGGTCAACACAAGTTTCGGGCCAAATTTGTCCAATGATTTCAAAAGTAGGTCGTAAATGTCTTATTTGAAAAATGAGGCCAGAACTGTCATTCACGCTAAACTTCAGGCCAAACTAGGGTATTAACCCAAAAAAGAAACCTAATAGTACAAGGGAAAAAGAAAAGCTAATGGATACATAGTTACATACTTGAAAAAGGAAAGCTAATGGAGGCCAAACCAACAACATATCTACAAACTTCTTCCATCAGCAAACTCCAATAACAAGGCCAATTCAAATTGCAACCATCAGGCTAAGGAAATGTGTAAATACAACTGCTGACTGCCACTGCCACTGCCCACTCGTACGGATACAAATGTCTAAGCAAATGTACAGGAGCTAACAGAGTGGAGTTAGAGCAGCTGCCATTCGTCCCCATCATGTCCCTCGTCGGCACCATCCTCTTCTTGATACGCATCGCTGCTGCTGACGAACGTTTTCTTGTGGGACACGGCGACGGTGAATAACGGTGCGCCATTCGATTCTTCGGCTAGCTTGGATGCCAAGGAACAGAACTCGTCGAAGTCGTCTGTCGATCAGAAACGAGAAAAGGCAATTGAATCGCTGAGTTTGGAGAAGCAACGTTCGGAGTAAAGAAGATATGTGGTGCTTGTTTTTCACTGATAAATTAGCAAGAAGACACTACTAGCCATTGGAACAAACCTTTGTCTCGGCAGTAGAACCCGATTGCAAGCGAGGGATCGATTGATTCCAGGGGAATATGCCGTATGACACTGGAAAAACAGAAGCATTATTTGTCAAGTTAACATGTCATCATAAGCGTAGGACTAGGTACGAAACACGAGCATGGAACTTACTTGGAATGGTATGATGATGAATCAGCCTCCAGATCATCTTTGCTGATGTGGACTACCTGAAGAACCAAGAGCTTTCTCAGTACAATTATGCACTAATCTTTAAAACTAACGATAACTTTAATAGAGGTGCAACTGAAATCCATCAGAAAAAGGAACCGTTTACTTCGATGGCAATAAGCGTACCGAAACAGGAAAGGACAAGGGGGAAAAGACGGAAAACCTTCACCCACCAATATCATCAGAACTAACTCTCTCCGAGAGTTATACTAGGCATCAAGGACAAGAAAGAAAAGGTGGGTTGGAGGGTCGGGTGGAAATGGGACAATATATATAGTGCTAATAAAGATATTTCACAAGCTCAATTACTAATGAAGGGTCCTTAGTTGGGTATGGATATCAAGGGAAAGGGAAATCAACTAAAAGGAAGTGCTTTACAGGGACGGCGCTGACAACAGAACTGTAATTCTCTACAGAGTGAAATAGTGAAAGGATAACAATCTGGAACTAAATGAGAGATGGAACTTCATTAGACTTTTACAAGCAACAGATGCATATACAAAACATTTCTCATAGTGTCCATCAGCGCTGGAAAGTGGAAACTCATATGAAGGAAACTCCATTCTTAGTTGTCACTTACCTGTTGAACTTCATGTGGATCGAGATAAAATGCATTGTCGTCTTGCACACCAACTATGTACGTTGAAGCACCGGGCTTTCCGCCTAAAATGCCAAGGCTTTGAGGAAAGGTGAATGTCGCCTGGAGAGATGGAATATACCTGACGTAATTTAAACGTTCCAAGTGGTTAACACCCAATCACCTGTGGAACCGCTAAAATAAAAGGGCGACCATAACATAGGAGGTAATCAGGCAATTTGGTTAACTACCAAGAATGTTGCATGCTGGATAACCTAAAGAAATTCGAATTGGTTAACATGAATGAAGGTTGCAAAAAGACTTCCCAGCTTTTATTACATTTAATGTATTGACTAGTATACAGCCACAAGTGTCCAAAAACATTCAAGCAAAAGATTCAATATGATGTGAGAAGTGTCAATCAAGAGAATGTAAGCTACCTAGAATTTCTCACTTATACAATAGTTCAAATATAGATGACTTGGTAAAATAAAAAAATCATGCTTCATTCAGCATCACAAAAACATAAACTTTCCATATGACGTTTCCAGAAACATCTTGATGATATCTCCACAAAAATAGAAATAGAGAAAACGATTAGAAAGCATAGCATATTCAAAATCAGACAAATGAGTCACCGATGAGGTAATAGAACATATTGTACTTTGGGCCAGGATAATTAACGCAGTCATGTAAAGCAAATCAAAATTTTAGAACACTATTATGGCATAGAGGCTTCTCAGAATACAAACCTGGGGTTTACTTTGTCAAGTCCAAGGACCAGGGGAACTAATAGAATAATCGGGGTCCAGTCTACCTGTCCTTTAGAAAATTCTAAACAACTTCTATGGACATCTTCAATGCAGACAACTGGGGCTCCACCTCGCTCCCCATTTTCATCTCCAGAAACAACATAAAGAGCCATAGGAAATGGGTGGAGCTCATGGACTGTTTCCTCTCTCTTTGAGCGGACTAGAGTTTCCCAGGACCGGCACATAGCATATGGCCCTACCCATGATCCAGCTGCAAGGCCATAAGCCTTTCCAGCTAGAAGAAGATTGTGGATAGAGAATGGTGACGCCTCTGAATCGCCAAAAAGATGCAAGATTGTGATATAGTCTTGATCTTGTGGCTGCAAATGTTGAGAATAAGTGAACATTAGCAAATATAAAGGGCCAAATTGTACATAAATTCCTAAGAAATTTGACAGTTAGAGATACAGCAGAATGACAAGGGAAGAAATGGGACGGGAAAGAACTTAACCTTAACCGAACTTCTTCTCCAAGATCTCCCAAATTGATGACAAAGCAATGCCTAAGATTTAAAGACCGATTTAGTTTGCAATGACTAAGGATCCAGCAAGATGATAAACAAATTATCATGAAAAGTCAATAAGAATCCAGGAGATGGTGATATACTTGAGCAATCAACATCTGGCTGCTCCGAACCATGCAACCCCAGCCTACATCACTTGTCAATTTTGAATCTCCGATAGCATCAAAACCTGTGCACATAGAGAAGAATAGTACCCTTGATCAATTTAACAAAATCACTGTAGAAGTATATCCACGTATATGCTGAAATAGGCAAGCAATCTACTACGAACCTTTCCTATATGTAACTAGGATTCTAGAAGAGAAATCATGTGTAAATTCAGCTAAAATATTGCTTGTAGCTTCTGCTTCTGCAGGACAATCAGCTGAAATCTTATAGCAAGTACCCAGCAGCCATATATCACTGGTTTGGGTAGGTATCCCAATTTTGGTTGATCCTAGTACCCGCTCGTGGAGTCTCCTCATTGAACCACCAGCCACAACTTTCTTTACAGCTGATGTCCAACCATTACCTCTGTGATGAACTCCCTTCTTTTCACAAGTTGATGATTCACGATGTGACTCAAAGACCGAGAAAGCAGACGAAAAGAAGCTCGACCACAAGGATACCCTCGATAACTTGCGTTCACTGGGACTTTGCTCTGAACAATCAGGCGTTACAGCAGTAGTTGACGACTTGGTAGGCGCTTTTAGACAGAAGTTTGAAGTAACAACCTTCTCGGGAAAACCCTTCATTACCTAGTCATAGCACTGCTTAGATCTATCAAACTGGCTCATTGATGGAACCAAGTTTGACTTCCCACTGTAAAGAAAAAAACAACTGTAAGCCTCTGAATCAAAGCATCAGCAACAAGGGATAGATAGAGCTCGATAGTGTACACAAGATGAATGATAGGACAAGTGAGAGAATCAAAGAGCCTATTTGGCTATATCTATATATATTCTCTCAGTAAACAATTTCCCGTTTCCAGCAAAATGGTGAGCTATGTCCCTATCATTTGCTTTAGGAAAGGGTGGAAGATCAAACTTCAAAAGTTTCCACTTCACTAAGCCAGCCATGACCTTCACATAAAGCCTACATGCAGGACGTTAAGATTCACAAACATTCAACTTCATTCCGGAAGACTAAGCATCTAACACTACTCTGTTCCTGCAAAATCATCTACTGGTCTACAAGAGAAATAAGTTTCAGCCCCCATATAATGAAATAAATAACACACTAAGCTCTCCACCTCCTGAATCAAGCTTTACATCACCTATAACCACTGCTAATCACTTGCATCGTTTCAGCTAGACGTTGCTAACCGTAACCACTTCTCCAAAAGCTCCGCAGGCCAGTTCCAGCGATTCACCTAACCTCAGCCAAAATCCGCTAACTATAACCGAACCCCAACTCTATCACAAATCCTCCAGTGAACTTAGAACTGAATGAATTTCAGGTTTCCAAAAAGAAAATACGCCTAGAGCGAGAAGTGAATCACCAGGCCAATACATAACTCAAATGGCGAAACCCTAGCCAGTCGCAAATCAGCTAAAAAATTCAGCGCAATCCACCACCACCAACAGAACACAACGACGAAGAAGGAGCTCGTAGTTACACAATCAACGCCGCGAATCCCCCCAACCAGATCAAATAGAAACCGCAATCCTAGTCAGAAACGAAGTTGCAGCAAAACCGAAAGGAAAACCGATCAAAACAACAGCAGAGGGAAAAGAGAGGGAACTGAAGATCAAACGTACCAGCAAGCGCTGAACGAGAGAGGGTGGGAAAAAGCAACGGCGATGCGGAGCGAGCCAGGAGACGCCAGGGAGGAGAGAGAAAGATTGAAAGGAAGCGAGTTCTGCCCCACGGATGTGTGCGTGTAAGGAGAAAGCAATCTGCGAACGAGGAATCTCCCTGGTCTCGTCCTTTTCCTTTTTTTTTTTTCGTTTCTATTTGTTTTCGTCACTGGACTGGGAGAGAGAGATGGCGTAGGTTGATGGATAATCGATCGGGCGACAGCGTGACGGAGGGGAGAGATCGATTTTTTCTTTCTTTCTTTTTCCTCTAACAGAAGCGGTGAAGATGGGATCAATTACGTAAATTGCCATTAAACTTTGACGATACGAGCGAAGTGGTCATCATAGTTTCCCATAATTAACGCAATAGTCACTCTATTTATTATCACGGGGCCTTTTCATTCTAATCGTTCATATCAATGCATTAACACCCCTAATGTATCTATTAGTGAATAAGACTAAAAATACCATCCAACTAGCTATCATAGAGGGGAGGATGGGATTAGGATGGTTTTGAGTTAAGGGTTTGATTGGAAACACATTAATGATAAGATGAAATGACGAAGCTAGTTAATAAGGATTGTATGATATTTTCTAATTAGATTGCATTGTATTTTCTATTGTCGAGACTGTTGTAGCCGAAAATATACCCGAGCAGCATGGCGAAGGACGAGAACTGCGCATCAAAGGGCTCAAGCACTTGAATCTTGCTTATGTTATTAAACATACCAGGGATATCCCTAGTGAAGGAAGTTAGCCTAAATCAATAATTATCGACTCTAGCAAAGCATATAACAATACGTTGTCCCTGTACTATGGAATAAGATGATACAAGCAGTTATGGCCACAATTGTGACCTTGTATCCCCAAAACTCCATGGAATTCTGTGGTTCAATGTACCACTCTCAGACTTATTTGGTGATTCAATGACTAGCCACACTCAGGAAGAATGTTTTCGACGAGCTCGTGGTGTCACGAAAGGAACTTGGCAGAACCTACATCTGAGTTTTTGCTGGTGAAGTTAAATCCCATTAGTGGAAGTTTATGGCAAAGATTTGGATTCTGAAGAACACAACGCCTGCAGCATACATATCTCCAACCGAGATAATTGAAGAACGAGTTTCGTACACAGACAAAATCAGAGCATACGGGACTGTTCAAGCATGACTACTCAATGACTCGTGAAGTAGAATCCGATCTTAGGTTGAAAGATGATCACTAAGACAGCAGACAACATCCACCTTCAAACATTATAACACAAGGCCTCTATGTATTCTCATACCCTTACAACTAAAGTGAAGTGCTTTGTAGTATATAGTCATCTGTTTTAACATACTCTGCGAACAATGGAAATCTAATGCCTTATATGGAGCAGGCAGAGGCAACTAGGGACCTGAAGAATTCAGAAACAGCACCACCATGCACCTGTTTTATGCTAATGTCAGAAGCATTTGTCCTTCTACTTGCTGCCAGCCACGGGAAGATACACACCTTCTGCAGCTAACCATATGTTGTCGGCACGCTTTTCTCGAACAGCACAAACCTACAGAAGCACACGTATGTCAGCAAGCAGAAAGCAAGCAAAACTGAGAACCTAGCACCGCCTTCAATTCATAACTTGGCTTATGGAAATAATACAAGCAGGATGAAAGCTGTAGCAATATATCTATGGTGATGAGATGCTGTATCTTTAATTTGTGGGTGAAAAAGTGAGTCATGGTATGTTACTTGTTGGACTTCAAACCTCTGCTCGGACTAGGAAAAGCAGTCCATGATTCAATGCTGAATTTGCTACTGGAGTAAGTGGCATAATTCCAATATCGACTAAAGTTGTGGAATAAATGCCCAATTAACCATCAAGAGTAGCAGTAGTTCAGGAAAGTATGTAAATAATGGCCCACCTCTTGCTGTCCCCCAGCTATTCTCTGGTACTTCTTGTCGTGACTGTGTAGGTAGCCACCGGTGTCAACATGATGCAATCGAACTCTTTGATTTTGTTTCCATGTCTTTTCACCACCTTCAATAACAAGTCTAAGGAAAAAGAACAAGATTAGTGCAACTAAACAAAGGCATACTTGACACACAGACGAGAACTTATGTTTGTTTGGTTGCATGTACCTCCAATGGTCTCCTGTATCAGATTCGTTTTCACCACCAAAACAGCTAACCTACAAACAGCAAGTCTTCCGGATGAGGTTTGCAATGTCATCATCCAGTTACAATGTTACTACTCTAAACAAAGAGCGCAAAAATTACAACTTCCTCAACAAAAGAACATGAAATGTGTAAAAAATGGAAACTTCAGCAGAAGATATTGGCAGCCACAAGGAATAACAGACCAAAGAAAGCAAACCCCTTTTGCTGCTACTTTATAACTTAAAAGTTAAAACATATGATGGCTGGTGTCATTCTAATGAACAGCAACCTAGAAATGAGGCTTCATTAGATGAACAAAATCACTTAAACCTACCACTAGTCACTACTTCCCTATATATATACAATATGCAAATTGCAAACAACTTCAGTTACATTGACATAATCAAGTCACTCACCTCAAGGTTGCCAGATATTGGGGAGGCATGCAAATGGCTGTGCATCCATTTTCTTGTTTTCATGTGCTGCAAACGGAATACCGTCCCAGCTGTTATGGTGTCGCCTTGTTTGGCATTAGTGTCCGGCACAGGCCTCACAATCTACAAGAACATAGCCCCAACTTCAACCACTGTTAGAATCCAGAAATGTGACTGAACACCATAGCTAATGTTTATGCATATATAGAGATTGCACACCATAAACTCATTTCACCAAGAGTGATATTTGACTACTAGTGCTCAAACCACTCGAAAGAAAACTGAAGAAAATGAACCGAAATGTGAATTACCAATCTTCTTTGGTTATATCAAGCTAAGAACATCTTCGATCCACAAATGGCCTACATGAATTCCTAACTGTGAATTTGTTCAAGCCATTTTCCTACCATCCAGTAGTACACTCTCCTTACCTCGTAGAATCAAGGCATGAAACTCCTCCCGAGCGAGCGAATTAGCTAAAATTGCTATCACAACAGAAGCATAAGAATAGAGGAAAAGGAACATAGTGAGTTACCCAATAGCTATTGGAATCATCGACATTAGGGTATCCTGTAACAGATTGCTGCCCACTGCCGGATCCATAAGGCACCTCGTGGGAATGCAGACGGTACTTTGTCTTCTCGTGCATCAACTTCAAAACTGAGCCATACGTAATCTGGCACCATAAACACCACAGATCGACGCTGAGCTAAAAAAACAATCGAACAAACAAAAAACTTCCCTAACTTCGCTAATTCTCGGCCATGGAAAAATATATACCTCAACCCCTTGAGAAGTCGAGGAAGAAGAAGATGAAGCGGCGGAGGCAGGGGAGAAGGAGGCCTGATCTATATCGAGGTTGAGGAAGAGAAACACTGCGAGACCGAAGCACGCGAGAGCCATGACGAAGAGCAGCCCGATGAACCAATTCTGCTGCCAGAAAGGTACCGGCTCTCTGTCCGCGATTCTTATAGAGTGAGGTTTCGAAGACGGCGAATCAACTGAAGAAGAAGACGGCGAAGGCGGCTTTCTTCGCGAGACGACCGGCGGAGCTGAAGGAGCCACCGTGATTGGAACGGAACCAGACCGAGGAATGGAAGAGCTCGGAGATTTCCACTTGCAGGGGTTTCTCGCCCGATCTTTTAATATTTGGGACTGAGAGACAGCATGTCGCGAGAAAACTGCTTATGTGGAGTGCAAGCTTGTTGTAGCTACCAATCACGAGATCCCACGTGGACGGATTGACGTAGTTCACCGTCACCCGAACTATGGAATTTTTCCGATAGTAGTCCCTGGCTAAATTACATGTTTGGTCACTCAAATTACATAAATTTTTCACCTTTGCCACTCGAATCACTTTTCTTTCTTATTCGCCATTAACTTTGCGAAATGTTTAATGGTTGGTCACCGACCGTCTGTCTCCGTTAACTCCGTTAAATATTTGATGACGTGGCAAACGGAAATCTGACTGGATTGTTAACTAAGTGACTACTATTGACGTAGTTCACCGTCACCCGAACTATGGACTTTTTCCAATAGTAGTCCCTCAAGTATGGAGTTTTCCGACATTGGCCAACTTTCTAGTTTGTTTTTTTTTCTTCGGGACAAAAGTCTTAGGGGTCGTTTGGATGGATCAATATAGAAATGAGTCAATTTGAATTACCTGCCCCACCCCAGGTAATTGAAATTGACTCAAAACTGATCAATTCAAAATACCTCAGTCAAATTGATCCATTCAAATTTTTTGCTGACAAACGAGACAATTTGGTACAATTGTCTCAAAACGAGACAATTGTATCAAATTGATCCGTTACAATTTCTCATCCAAACGACCTTAAATAAACTGAATGGCTAAAAGTCGCCCTAGTTTTACTATAATCGCCCTAATTAAAAATTGAAAATTACTTAACTATCCTTTATGAAATAAAAAAAAAACAAAATCAATGCAATAGGGATGTGTTTGGGTGGCCAGGGACCGACCATAAGTTCCAATAATATTATTGTTAAAAAAAAGTTCCAATAATAAAAAAACTAACCGACGCTTGTTCACGGATAGCTCCTTCTCGAAACAGATATAATTTCAAGGTCAATTAATGACTGAAATTGTTGTTTCCCTTTCCTTATATATTCAAATTCAATGGTACTCTTTGCTTCCAAGTTTCAGGGGATCAGATGGCTATGACGAATGTTCATCATTATTGGATTAAAGGATTAGTGACGGTCGGAGAAGAAGTGGAGAGAGAGCGCTTTTCCTAAAGCCTCAGAGGCGAGCCGGCGATGAGGAGCACTGGAGGAAGACGACGCGGATTGTGGGAAAGGGCGGGTACAGGTAATTGCGAATAAGAACGTGGTCAAAGGCTAAAATTAATTTTTATTTTTCTTAAAAATAAGGAAGGATACAGAAGTAATTTCATGTACAAAATTAGGGCGATCAAAGTAAGCACAGGGCGATGTTTAGCAAGCCCCATAATAAAAGGGCATTGCTCATATTATATTCTTAGTTAATTTTACTCCTACTTTTGTTAATATTCCTCCTCCTCCATGTCTTATGTTCGTATTATGATAGAATGTATCAAAACCACAACATACAATTTGAATGACATTCCAATTTCAAATTGATGCTATATAAAATTGGAGAAAAACAGAGAATTCTTTGAATATGAAAAAGTATTATAGCAAAGTAATTGAATTTTATTTTGTAGAAATACAAATTCCATGTGTATGGACTACTAGCGAAGATAGTGTGCTCGATTGGATTTGGATCTACCGGAATTAGTGGAACTCATACCTGCAACTTTCGCCTTGATAGGGTGGTGCTCTAATCAATTGAACTACAATTCGATGGAAATGAAAGAAAATGGACATCACATGCATATTTGTATGATTTCATTCAAATTACTTCTATTTAATATTTAGCTATTTCAATTTTGAATCTGAATCTACGCGTTGGAACATAGGGGTGAGTGTTTATTGATATCCATATGGCTATACACTTTACACATTATTGATAGTGGAAGGGATTCTTAGTCATCTTTTACTATTTCAAATCAAAGATCTTTGAATGAGAAAAATAGTTTATTTCTTCTTTCCATTACTCTTTTTGTTAGGCCTTTTATTTACAAATCTTTGACATTACTCGAGGCCATTAGCAAAATAAGAATTTTTGAGAAAAACTGGAGTGGTCAAATACAAATAAAAAAATATGTTATGATATATAATAAATTTTCACTTTTTCCACATCAGGCATTTCAAAAGAGTAGTACAATGATAAAATGTTATATGATTTCATGGCGGATCAATGAATTATTGTCATTGGACAGAGTTGGATTTGAACCAACATAGATATATTGCCAACGAATTGACAGTCCTTCTCAATAATTGCTCGGACATCGACCCAAGAAGAATTGATTACCAACTTATTAATTAATAATTAATAATCCATGACAACTTCTTTTTGTAATACCCTACCACTAGGAAAGTCGAGTCTCTGCTACCTCATTGAAAGAGAGATATCCTGAACCTTTAGACGATAGGGGCATATTTGCCCCACTGTGAGCGTATAATACTCATATTATAGTTAGGGGTGGGCATCATTCCGGGACGGATCGGACCAACCTTAAGAGAATCGCGGTCAATTTTCAATAGTGAAAGATATCCTAGGACCAAGGACTGGACCAATAGTGAATTCAGTCCTCTTTGTTCCGCTTTAGTCCTGTGCAAATATCAATTCGGTCTATTCAATTCATTCAATACGGATATTAAATATGTTATACGAGTTTTATACGTGTTTAATACGGGAGTCATCAAATGAACGGCAAAAAATAAAACGGCTTGACAATAACACAGATACAGAAATACGGAAATTTTAAACGAATAAAATATAAACAGGTACATATACATGTATTAAACGAAATATTTACTAACTATGTAGTAAAGTGACATATTATATCTATAACTCTATTTTTTCTGAATTAACAAAAGGACGAATCTATAAATCATTGAAGAGAATACGTCGCCGAAAACAAAGCACCAGATTTATGTGATAACCCATACTTACGGCCCAATAAAAATATTTAATTGGGCTTTGTTCAGTGGTAGCCCATAAATTAGCATTTTATCCGGAAACGGGGAAATAAATAAGCGAGAGCCGAGAAGACAGAACTCAAAAACCCATAAAAAATCCCTCTCGGAGAGAACTTGCAGGCTGCAGCAAACACTGCACGGGAGTTCCAGTGAGCGATCGCCGGCGAAATTGAAAGGGAAAAGAGGAGAACAAGGAGAGAGGAGAACTAGAGCTCATCGGGAATGGCGTCATCGTCGAGCAGCGGGCTGACTTTCAAGCTTCATCCGCTGGTGATGGTCAATATTTCGGATCACTACACCCGCGTCAAGTCGCAGATGAACCCTCCGGTTACGAGCACAAGCTGCTCGAACACCAACGGCAACGGAAACGGCGAAGGAGGCGATTCCGCGGCCGTGAAGGCGCCAGCGCCACCGCCGAGAGTGTACGGATGCGTGATCGGAGTTCAGAGGGGACGAACCGTCGAGATCTTCAACAGCTTCGAGCTTCTCTACGACTCCGCCACTGACTCCCTCGACCGTGCTTTCCTCTTGAAGAAGCAGGAGCTCTGTAGGCAACCGATTCCCGACACCTTTTCCCCCTTCTTTGTGCCGCTTTTTTGGGATGATTTTAGGGTTTCTGTTGTGTGTATTTGGAATTGCTTTGGGTGGAAACGAATCTAATGCTTGTTTCTGTTTCTGTTGCGAGCAGATAAGAAGGTTTTCCCGAACTTCTACGTACTGGGATGGTATTCCACTGGCAGTGATGCGGAAGAATCTGATATGCACATCCATAAAGCTGTAAATTTCATCTCCATTGAATAACTCTTCGCCCAACTCATTTGTTTGCATCTTTTCTGTGTTTAGCCGACTCTGTGATGGGATATTAGTGCTTATTCTTATGTGTTTTGGCTCAGCAGTAGTGGTAGTGATGTCCAAAGTGTTCAGAATCAATGCATACTTTCTGATAGAACCAGTTGATACTTAAGGTTTCATTTTGCAAATGCTATGTGTAACTGTCTTGATAATAGATTGTGCTTTGTCAGGGTAGTCCTTTGAGGTCTGTTTAGAGATCACTACTGTGCTTCATTATACCGTCTACTTAAGCGTGTTAAGAATTTCAATTCTTGCATGCTGTATTGTTGGAGGGTGGTTTCTTCTTACTTGATGCAAAAACTTTCATTGTTTATTACCTAATGAGAAATTATGCTTTTTTTGTTTGATAAGACCTCCAAGTGTTTGAGAAATAGGTCACATGTTATCTCCTCATTCTTGGTACTCCTGAATTAAAATCCCAGTCATTCATCTTGCTGATCTTTTTGTGATGTTGTAACAGTTGATGGATATCAATGAAAGTCCTGTATATGTCCTACTGAATCCCGCCATAAATCATGCTCAGAAAGATCTTCCTGTGACTATTTACGAAAGTGGTAAGTGATTGGTCTCCTCTTCGTATTGCTAAAGCATGGATTATGGAGATAATTGCAAGTTTTGTCTACTCTGGTAATAAACTTTCTTGAATGAGCAAGCACATGGAACTCTAGTGTGGAACAGTCTATGCTTTGTTTCTACCCCCACCCGTCGTGAACTTTCAAGTTTACTGATTTTCTGTTTTGCTGATTGTGTATGAATTCAGAGATGCATGTGATTGATGGAATTCCACAACTGATATTTGTCAACTCAAGCTACACTATTGAGGTTTGTCGATCTTCATTTTGTGCTCTGGCTGATGTTATTAACAGCTTGGATCATTAACGAATTGTCTCTGCCATAAAGACTGTAGAAGCTGAAAGGATTTCAGTTGATCATGTTGCACACCTTAAGCCGTCTGATGGAGGCTCTGCAGCCACCCAATGCAAGTTTCTCTGCCCTTGCTGTTTTTTTCTTTCGTTGGTATTGGTCTGGATTTCTGTTTGGCCAGTTTGCTGATGCATTCTTTTATTGCAGTGGCTGCTCATCTTACCAGCATACACAGTGCCATCAAGATGTTAAATAGCAGAATTAGGGTGCTTCATCACTATCTTGTAGCTATGCAGAAAGGTATTTACATCCTGTTCTCACAGAATAGATTGAATCCATAGGGTTCCTAGTGAGTGAAAATGCTTCATATTAAGCGTTAGAAAACTATCATTACCTGAAATGAGTAACATATCTGGATTCGGATAATTGCGTGCATTTAGGCTGTAATGTTACTGGAATACTATTGCTTTTGAAATGTGTGCAGTGAGACGAGTCAAAATTTATGGTTATTATATGTTTTAAATGCAGGTGAAATTCCGTATGAAAACTCCTTGCTTCGACAGGTATCAAGCCTTCTGAGAAGATTGCCAGCTATTGAATCTGAAAAGTTTCAAGATGATTTCCTAATGGTGAGTTCTTTCTACATCGTACAAGCACCTTGCCATGATAACTATACTCTCTTTAGACTCCAGTCCATCCATTACTGTATATCATGGGTAGTTAAAAAAAAACATTCTTATACTCGAGAATGCCTAATCATTGTTTGGTTGGTGAATATGATGAATTGATACTCCGCTTTGATGGTCTTCCAGGAATACAGCGACACACTGCTGATCACATACCTCGCCATGTTCACCAACTGCTCAAGGTAACAAAGCGATCAACCATTTCCCGTTAGTTACCCATTTCCAATAATTTTTGTTTCTCGTATTGACAGTACATGTTTGTGGCTTGTTGTTTCGTTGGGGTGGCAGTACAATGAACGAGCTGGTAGAAAAATTCAACACTGCATATGACAGGCACAGTCGAAGGGGTGGACGAACTGCCTTCATCTAATCTTCAGCCTGACCAAGTCTTTTTGTTTTGAGAATGGCGATGCTATCCTGCTGCACCTGGTGGTTCTATTTACGTCTTCCCTCTGGCACATAGAGTTTACAGTCATTAGGAGTCACCTCTTTTGAAAACGATGCATCCTGCACTCTAGCTTTCGAAACAAACAGAACCAAATGATACATTGCCTCTTATTTGGTTTTGCCGTAAATTCTGACATGCTCTTCGATTTCCTGTTATTTCGAAATCTAGGGATTTCGTCATCTTTTCCCTTCCATTGAGTGGGATGCTCGCTAGTTAGTCTTTATCAGTGGCACAATCCATTTAAGGATGCTCACTATAGTATGAATATAAGTATCAAAGTCGATCTTCAATGTTTCTCTCGAAATTTGCTGTCCGTTTTGCTGCATTTAAGCAATATAGCTACAGAACAATTGAACCAATGTCTTTTCAGTTCAATTCGTATGTTCCAACTTCGTTACGAAGCTCAATCAAAATGTACAGAAGAAAGTACAGGTGCAAATTATTCCCTTAGTACACTCGTATCTCCACATTTCCTCCTCCCTTAAAGGGTGTATAGCTTCTTCTTTAGTACTTCATCATTATACAATACACTTTATAATGATCCCCCTTGCTCCCCTTTCCCCCACCCAAATGAACATGAAAAAGCAAACAAACAATCCGAAGAAAGAAAAGGAAGACAGATCGTTTGTTCGTTCAGGGCACGTACACTTCCCAGACACAGAACACAGACAAAGAAAGAAAAGAGATGCTCCTGCTTTAAATAAAAACTTCACGGCTACCTGACTCGCCACTTCGCCCATCCAGATGAAAGCTCCAAAGCCATCCCCATTAGAGTACAGAGTTGCCCGTTCTCCTGGACGCGTTACGCTAACAGTCAAACCCCACCCTTCTCCTGCAATGTGATGTGCCAGTGTCATGCGGTGTTAACAGGGACCGGCTTCCCTCGTCCCATGGCAAATCCTCGGGTGCCATCGGGCATCCGGGGACCTGGTGGCGGTGGTTGCTTCAATGTCTGCTCGCACATGGCTGCTGTGCTGCTCGAAGGTGCAGGCCCACCGACATGGTTTGCTCCTCGACCGGAGTTGTGGTGGTGGGAGTGGCCTCGGCCGCGTCCCTTGCCCCGTCCCCCTCTGCCCCGGCCTTTTCTCTGTACTGCGTCCTTGTCATTGTTCAGATTGTCCTCCGCCTGCACATCAAGGCCAATGGGGAGTAAGAAATCCGGTCTTTCTCTGTTCGTTAAGCAATTCGCTAGGGAAAGAGAAAAAGAAATCACTAGAGGAAGCTAACCCTACGGCATATTGGCCAACCTACGTTGAACAGCTGGACTTCACTTCTACCCTAGTGCCATTCCAACTAAACATGGCAGTCAAGTGAACGCTTAGCTGGAATGTATTTATGAACAGTGATCTGATTCAGTTGATTAATTCCGTTTGACCATAAATCTTGGTTGTCTATGAAGATCTGATTCAGTTGATTGCTGACGCTAGAGAGTGGAATATGTCACTAAGATTCAAGAAGGGCGAAATCCTAGCACTTACAGGATGGTCATTAACACAGACATCAGGCTGCTGTTTAGGAAGATCCTCGATCGGCTTTTCGTTTGGCTGCTGTTCAGAGGTGGAAGCCTCTTCTTCTTCCTCCAACTGCCCTGGCCCATCAGGACCCTTCTTCCCACGTCCGCCAGCAGCAGGTTTTGACTAGAGTGCAAAGAAAGAACCGTCAATTTCAAGATTCAATAGACTTCAAAGAAAGAAAAATTAAAACCCACTTCATGACTGTTGATACACAAGGCAAATAAATGAGCCACTATAATGCAAAGAGGCCTTCAGGGTTTTGGTTACTTGCAAGGAAAGCATGGGTTGAGATATTTCATCCCATTTGTACATGGGATTATGCATACATGAACTCCTTTAAACCCAAGCCACTACATAAACGTAAGACTCAAACTTCCCTTAAACTATATCTACTACCAAACTAGTAAATACAAGAGGGATAAGCATGGGTTTATTTCCAGATGAATAGTGCAAACAGTCCAGTAGCAAAGTTTAGTTGGAAAAAACTATATATATTCTACATATAAAAGAAGAGACAGAAGAAGAATTTAAGTACTGGGGCTTACTGGACGTTTTAGCATCAGGCGAACTCTAAGACCATTCCTCCAGTTTGCTTCCTCGTTCAGCTCCATAACCTGCAAAGCATTATAAAGCAATTACATAACCTACTAAGGAGACCGAGTAACTAAAAAGATAATAAGCTACGGTCAAGGGCTACACTTACCGCTTTCTCAGCTATCTCTATAGAGTCATACTCCACAAATGCATGCAACTGCGCATAATATGAGGATTTTTGAAGTGTTAGATATGGCAATAGCAGTAGGAACAACTTGCAACAGCTTCAAAAATATAGTAATAGAATAAAGCTGCAAATGCGACGATCAAGAAAAGCAGTATCTGAAGCAGAAATTGCCCTTCCTAAGCACCAGGTCCAACTTAAATAATGAGAAGTAGCTATCCAAGCAACTTCTACTGTAGTCAATGCCACTTTTTTTCTGAGCGTCACTGATCATTATTAATTCCCAATACTGGTCACATGTGTGAACTCATTTCCAAACTTTCAAGATTTACAAGGAAGCTGCTCAGACAATATAACAGAAAATGATGCATAAACAAGATCACACCTCATAAGAAAGAGCCAGCAATTTGACAAGTGATCTGAATGTGGCCCTACCTTGTTAGTGAAGTGCATGCCATCGGCTTTTGTAGATCGAGACACTGCCGCAGCCCCAGCACCAGAATTTTGAGGAGGGCAGGTGCGAATTGTTCTAACACTGATAAAATAAAACCATTGACAGAATTGAATCATCAATAGTGCAATTACAAAGATCCACACACAGCTACTATATGCATCATCAAACTAACAACGACTAGTCTAGTACCTTCCAACAGAAGAGAAGATTTTCATCAGATTTTGGTGGCAATGATCCTCGGGTAAATTTTCAGCAACAATAATGCGCGACTGCAAAAGGCACAAGTGTTAGGATAGAATAATAACCACCGCCTCTTGAAACTAAATTAAGAAGCATTGAAATCTAAAAGAAAACAATACACTCTATAAGCAAGACATATTTAAGAACCTACTTGCAGTTCTTCCATATCAGGCTCAGTAAATGGTTGCTGACGTTTAACTCTTTTCCCATCCTCACTGACAATCTGCAGCGTGTAGCACAAACAATTCAAGGGAATATTATAAAACCCATATAAGTACATTGTAATGATCCATCTCAAAAGGTCACAAAGTGATCCATCAGTTAAAAGAAAAAGGCTTACAAGCTTTGAAGAGTTCCTCAAAATGTTAGCTAGTTGAGAATGACTATTTACTGCAGCTTTGACCTTCTTGAAAGAAGCTACAACAGATAATGGCACTGCAATACAACAGAGTGGGAGTCAGCAACGAATGAAACAAAATTACAGAAAAACCAATCAATCTCCACAAAATTGAACATTTTGTATCATTGAAGCAAGAGTAGATACAGTAGTCAGCGAATACAGTTTTCTTGACACAGAAGTTAGATAAGGAACCAATTGGTTCCACTAATGGTCTGAAATATCAATTGGGCTTCAAAGCTGAAAATGAAAAACTGTTTGATTCACAATTTTGAGAATAAAAGGTTTGAGGGGGAAAACCGGTTTGGGCTACTTTAAAAACTAAAAACATTGTAGAATAGAGATATTTTCTGTTGTGCATAACTAGCTTTATGGGGGGAAAATCCTTTTTTATCCTTTGACAACTTTAATCCATATATAATAAACTACATGACAAATGTTCTGATAAAATTCACCCGTGGAGAAAAAATATTTATTACTTGATAGGATAAGATCCACAATTTGGGGCCAAAAGATAACAGTTTTCATTGACAACATGAAACGGGAAAAAGTGAAGGAAAAATAGCTACTTCAGTAATCAGAGGATTATCGAACAAATAGGGATCGGCTTACATTACAAAAACCAATGACCTAACACGGTGTAAGATCTTTATCTGAAATTGATATCCACTTAAATTGGACAATGTGCAGGAAAACCAAATAGATGTTTTCTTTTCCGGGGATAGGGGGAGGGTTTCTTAAATTTAAGCAAAACTTGGTAAAAATGTAAAATGCACACCATTGGGACCCTATGCTATGACACAAGTACTTGAAGTACACCAAAGACAACAGACCTGACTGAAGCATCTGTACCACTGCCTTGTAACTATTATTAGTAAAAGTTGAAACAAATATCATCCATGTCCAGAAAGGCCTAGACAATACCATGAAAGGAAGAAAGCAACCATCTGGACCTATTTATAGAACTTTAAAATTCTCCATCAATATATATGACTTTAAGGAAGAGTGAGAGCGCTCATAATTTCAGCAACTAATCTATGAAGACTCTATTGTCTCGCAGCTTGAAATGTATAAAATAATCCCACTTATCATTCCATGATTAAGAGTGGTCACAAGTGCTTTCAATCCACAACAAAATGGCAAACCTCTAAAGCACAAAATTAGCCATAATACCCTACAGCATAGTTCACATGACATTCTTCAACTAAACACCCCCTCAGTGGCTGTAGTCTGTAGACCATCAAGAACAGCAACAAGAGGTGACACTATAATTGATAGCAGAGTGGTTTAGAACACTACAATACTATTCACATACAGTAGAGATATAGTCCCCGTGCGTAAGTTGTAACATAATCAGCTGTATAGGTTAACAAAATTTACCATATCCATCAGGATCCTTGCTAATGAACCTCATCAGATGATCTGTAGTAGCCAAGTTTAAGTCACTGAAGTAGTATTCTACCTGCAATAGCAATTTCAGCAAGGATTAAACAACAGCAAAACCACAATGCTTACATCCATTAGCCATCAGAATAACCTAAGGCACTCACGAGAAGTGATTTTTTCCACCTTTGATGCAACTTCACTAATCAATGGTACAGAGTACCAAAACCTCTGAGGCACTAACTGATACACACATTACAGTTGAGACTACACTAGGCCCAATCAATCGCAGAAGCAGAACCATGGTGCTCTCTCTAATCTACGGGAAACCATAGAAATGAACCGTTCTGGATGTATTGAAACCCAAATTCGCTTCATGCTACTAGTCTACTACTATCATGGGAAACCGGGAATCAGATTCAAATCGATAACACCAAGAAATGACTCGATTCAGAGACCCACCTGATTCAAAAGCTTCTGCATAGCTTCATCAGAGAGCCCGTTTTTATCGGTCTTCTCGTTCTTGGACCGTCCGTGATCCGCCGGGCCAACCTCATTCTGCTCGCCTTCCTCCGATTGCTGCTGCAACTTCTTCGCGTAATGATGATTATGATGGTGCTGCTGATTACTGTGTCCCTGTACAGGCACATAGTGAGCGTTCTGGCCGAACTGCTGCTGGTGGTGGTGATTGTTGGGATTCCGAACCGCAACGAACTGCTGCGGCGGCGGCGGTTGCTGGTGGTGCAGATGATGATTGTGATGGTGATGCGGATGATGATTCTGGACCGGAATCACGTGACCCACGGGCACCGGGCTGTGAATCGGGACGTGGTAAGGAGACGCCGGACCAGCCGCCGCCGTAGGCAGCGGCGGAGACGGTGCAGGCGAGTACATATGCATCATAGCCGCGCCAGGAGGCGGCGGGATCACAGCCAGTCTCGACGGTAGCGGAGGAGACGGAGCAGCAGGAGGAGGCGGTTGCTTACTAGGAACGAACTCGGGAGCTCGCGCGTTGAGTTTACTGAACGATGCATTTCGCGAGAGCGATGGATCCGAAGCGACCGCGGTGGGCGAATCGGTCGGAGAAGCTGCCGGTGGATGCGGAGTTTCTAGGGTTTCCGGCGGCACCGATTCAACTACAGCTTCTTCCGCCATAATTTACCGATACTATAAACTATGTTTTCTTTCCTTTTATTTCCGGGATCGAAAATTGCGGGATTCGCCGCTTCGTGTTTCGCGGCGAGGGGATCTAAGGAGGAGAGGATTCAGCGGAGGAAGTCGCCGGCGCCGGAAGAAGTGGGGGTGACCGGAAGTACAGGGGGGACTGTGTAATAAAAGACAGTGGAGAGGATTTCTCGAATTTGGGGGAATGATGATTGCCGTCTATTTATAGTTGGTTGCTGGTTTTGCAACTCTGCCACTCTGATCATCAGAGATGTCGATTGGATGGACGGATGATGATGGATCGTGTGGGCCGGAAGAGTTTTCTGGTTTTATTCAGGCCCTCTGATGATGGATCCAACGCTTACCGTTATTTCAGCAATGCCATGGGATTCATACAAAATTGTTAAAAATCGTTTGCAATTATCGAATCATAGGAGCGAGGAGAATATTATAGGAGCAAGTTTTGGAAATTATAGAGCTAAAGTATAGTCGGTTCGACAGAAATAAGGTGAGGAGCAAGTTTTGGAAATTACAGAGTTGAAGTAGAGTTGGTTTGACGAAAATAAGGTGATTTGTAATGTGGAACAATATTACGCCATATGTATTTTTAAGAATTTGTCTTACGAGTTTTTTGTTTCTTTATGAAGTGGTTGTTATTGTTGTTTGTGCTTATGATTGATGATATGTGCTTTTATTTGAGCTATGATTTGAAGTAAATCTTTATAAGTTTATTATTTACTTTGAAGTTTTACGTTTATGAGTTATTATTGAAGTTTAAGAAACAAGTTTTTAAGAAGCACTTCACCCTTAAAGAAGGTGAAATAGTTTTAAGAGTTTTTAGTCACTAGCGTCAGTCTGTTGCCGTTTGAGATTTTAAGATAGAGCAGTAGTTATGCTTTTAAGACTTTTAAGATTACCAGCAGTTATTCTCTTGAGAATCGTGGGATGAATCGTTACGGCTTCCACAATAAGTAATGGAGAGTAACATTAACTCCCATACAGTTTTAAAAGTTGGAAGTATAAACAACTTTCACCAATTTAAGTAAGTGTCTTAAGTCAAGTACTCAAGTATCATAATTTTTTAAACGTAACTGAAAATGTATGAGAAACGAATCTCAGTTAGCAGCAACATGAACTTTCTAGTTATTACATTTTATGATTATTAGTATAGACTAGAGATTAAGATTAAGATTTTATGGTTTGCCCAAGTGTTAGGGCTTTGTTTTAAGTTATAACAGTGTAATTTCAATTTATTCTAAACAATGTTATTCTTTTCTTTAAAAAATTTAAGTATTCTCCGGAGCAAAACAAATATTTAATGGTTTCAAACAATGTGATGTTACAGAGAATCTGTGGGCTTCATCGGTGACATGACGAGAGAGGAACACTAGGCGGGGGGACTCATCGGCGTTGAGGCGGACAATCTGGTCCTACCAAACGGTTTCGTGGACGTTTTGCTTCGTCTGAATGAGGAATGCGTCATTCCATGGTATAAACAGATTGAACTTATGAAGAGGGAAAAGTGTACACAGTAGCTGATTCTTACTGAAAGACAGATTGCCGATGAACTACTGAAAAGGGCAAAGTGTACGCAGTAAGATATATTTGCACAATGAGTAAGGGTCCTTTGTTAGCTTATTATTCCTAGTAAAACCCTACTAATTTGTTCATTTGTGTTCTTGGATAGTATGGAGCCGTGCAGGAAAGTTGAACAACTCTTCATGCAACTTATTCCTTTGGAGAGATGTTGTCGTCTAGGCGAGCTCGATGAGTAAGGGTTCTTTCTTCTTTTTTCCTCAACAAATCCTGTTTACTAAGTCTATTAGACCTACAATTCCTTTGTTAACCTCCAAAGGGATAAGAGGCGTGCGGACAATACTCTCGGTACCTTGGATGAGGTAATCCAATTCATGGAGTTTGTGTTTTTCCCCGGCTTAAAAGTTAAATCACTCAATTCTTATATGTTGTTTATCCACTACAGCTTTTTGAAATGCTATGAGATACTAGCTGAGGTTCGGATGGGGAAAGAAATTTGTTTGGCTTGATATAGATACATGTTTTTTTTCTTCTTCTTCAGTTGCTCTGGGAAACTAGCTGAGGTTCGGTGGGACATAATTTTGTTGTTGGCTTGATATGGATACGATTTTTATACTTCTGTTCTGTGGTACCGGGTCGACCCGTTGTATAAATGATTTTTTCACATTCCTCGTGTTAGTATTGTTGTTTGAGTTATTCCTTTTATTAGTGAGCTAGTCTAAACACGTGTGATTTGGCAAATCAAACGAATGAAGTTAGCCTTTTGATCGGTTCTTGGTGAACTATGTATGCACCAATTATCTAGCACATAGCCACAGACAGATTGTTTAAACCTGGGATTCTTACCAACATGTCATCTCATAAGCTATGCCTTCGCTGGGATTTTATCCTTTTCTTAAACTGTGCAATATATGAAAATAAGTGACTTCCTCACTCTCGACTCCATAAATATACAACACAATACCATGATATCCATGTCATATACATATTCCATCGTTGTCAGGAGGATCCCACTAACAGAAAGCGAGAGAGGAAAACCTTATTACTGTCACAGAAACTCCCTGCTAATCCCTACCCAACATGGGCGTCGACCAAAAAATATGGGTTGCTATACGATCCGGTCCAGTTAAATTGGCCCGAATTGATCCGGTCTCAGTCCGGTCCAAAGATTGGATTGAATACAGTCTGGTCTTGACTCGGTCCAGTTCCAATTCGGTCTTGATTTTAGATTGAGCTTGTGGGGATTTGAGTTGCCCGATAACTCAAAGGGTGAGGAGTTGGTTAAGTTTTGGGTGTTGGGTTCTCTTATCCGGTCTTTATCCGGTTTTTGATCCGGTTCCAAATTTTTTTTTACCTCAAATCTAAACTCGAAGATTGGACTGGATTGTTTGCAGTCCGGTCCCGATCCGGGTTATACGGTCTGATTTCGGGTAAAACCAAATATCCCAGACCAAATAGCCAGGCCGACCAAAAAAGGAGCGAGGTGGCACTCCAAAACGGCTAACAGCTCTTTCCTTCACCCACCTCCACTACGACAATCCCCCGAGCTGCCCTCTGAGGCGCCACGAGCTTCAACCCACTCCCAGTGAAGAGGGTGGTAGGCGATCACCGCTCGAAGTGGGTTGGGAAGATCTCTCAAGCATATGGGAGAACATCCCGCATCCCCATACACATTGAACTTCGGGAACTAGATGGTCGGTGATTTAACCCTGAACATAAGATTGTCATCCCCATCATAACACCGAAACATGTTTCTATCATTAGGAGGCTTGATGGTAAGGTTGGTCTTACCAAAAAAAGAAGTAAAATGTTGCTAACGGAAAACCGCATAGGAAATTTGAGGAAAGTTATTATTTGTCTCCCTAACTAATTTGAATTTATTGTCCTAAAACATACGAAATAATCAAAATACTCTTGTTTTAATTTTGGAGTAGTGAATACCGATAACTTACAAACAACTTAATCAATCCATAATCTTACAAGTAAGTCAAATGATAATCATTTTAAGACATATAACCCGTTTGTACTGAATCAACCCAATTCGAACCGAACCATTAGTTCGACTCTCCATTCTCCTTATTTTGTATGGATTATAGAATATTATATTTTGACCAGATCAAGCCAGCCGACCAACCACTGAGCTCCATGTGGCCCCACTAACCATCCCATTTCCATATCTAATCTAATCTAAAGAATATATTATACGTTTTCCATTAAAGACTTCTCTATTTCAAATTTACTCTTCATTCACGCTTCCACGTCAGCATCCTTTTAACCAATCACAACTCATTTTCACTTTAAAAAGTAACTCCTTCCATGCGGAAACCACAAATTTTTCTATTTTTCCTTTTCTATTTTTTATTTTAATGTTTAATATTTATCTTGTGTGGCCGTTTGAAAAAAAAAAACTACCTACAGATAATGACTTGCCCTTTTTTATAGGTTAATCTCTTCTTTATCTTTTTATTTTACATATCTTTATACACTTGGCATCTCGAGCTTAGGTGTGTCGACTCAAAATCTAATCTAATATCGTAATACTTAATTTAAACAAAAATACTTTTTTTTAAAAACAAAAAAGCAACTAAATTAGGCATAATGAGTTTTTGAATCCTACTCATCACGAATTAATTATTTGATAATTTTGTCATTAGTTGAAAAAATCGAAAACATTATCAGATTCAATCATAAACTTTAATTACAAACTTTGCAAAAGAAGCACATGAACAAAAAAGCCACACAAACCAGCGTCTAAACTAGAGTTTTTTTGGGAATATATGAACATATTAGATTAGTAGCTAAACATAAAATCGAGTAGTACACAAAATGAAACTTTATTGAACATTAAGAGTTAACTACCTTTACAAAGCAACATGAATAAGGATCTTACATCGTGGACCAAATTTATTGATTGCATAAAGAATTTTTTGAGTCGAAATTCTCATTGATATTGTATCAAAGGTTACATGAAATTAGGATGAGTATCATGCTAGAAACACAAATATTAAAAATACCGATAAATTGAATCAACATAAAAATATTTGACTAACTAAATATTGAGTTAAATAATTAATAATAATAGTAATATACCCGGCCAATGGCCGGGCACCAAGCTAGTTACAATTACAATCGTAATAAAATATCCTTCTTCCGGCAGCTTCCATTTCTTCGTTAATATTCCTCCTTTCTAGATCACTCTCTCAGATAATTCCGCGGCATAAATCTCCCAAATCCCTGACCTTCTTTAGGGTTTCGGATTTCCGTTCTAGCAAGTATCTTCCATCGCATCCTCTGCGTCGATTGTTTGGCGTCAATCATCGCCATCCTTGTGGATTGTATCTGCAATTCCAAGAGGTGCGTATGGCTTTTGATCCTTCTGCATCGTGTTTGTTGTTGATCATTCGAATTGCTTGAATTCACGAGGTTGTTCTTCATTTCAGGAAGGGTTTTGCCATTTCTGCCGTATAGTGAATTGGGAATTGACAATTTGTTCTTGGGTCGAGGAGTGATCCATAATTAGGGCGGTTTCCTTCACGTGGTACTGGTATGGCGGTTTATTGCTCTTGATCTCGGTATAAGGACGGTTTCTCTTCATACGTAGTCATGGATTCGGTGGATATATCTGATGATGCCCTTGATTTGGTGGGTGATGGTGGATTGACGACTAATGCAACAAGCACCTCTACCCGTAGTGTGGAGAACGTAGGAGATGGGAACGGAAAGCTTGAGGCTAACGGGTTATGTTTAAATGCTGCTCATGGGTCTGAAACTAGTGGGACTTTTGATGGCATTGCTTTTCGAAATGGTGGAGTTGCCGAGGAAGGTATTGGGAGCAAGCAAGTAGGGAGTTCATCGAATTCATCCCCTAGATTGTCATTGTCTCCTGCTGCAGGGACATCTCCTACTATGAAAGGCTATGGTCTGAAGAAATGGAGGCGCATTAGGAGAGATGTGGTTAAGGATGGTAGTGGTGGTATGGATAGTGGCAAAGCTATGAAGCGGGGGTTGTCCGGTTCTGGTAATCCGATCAGACAAGGTAATCTCGCGTCATCGATGGGGGGTAAGCTATCTAATGAGATTTTTATTGGTTCTGTTGGAGGGAATGGTGTTCCTGGGTCTAGTTCGGACTCTAGGTTTGCGGTTGGTTCTGCTTTTGCTGCTGGTGCAGACTCCGAGAATAGTATTAGTGACGACCAGAGTAGTAAGTCGTCAACTGCAGCCAGTGCTCCAAGAACAAGGAATGACCTTGCTGGTGGATCGGGTAATGGGTGGGAGAAGAACAGAACCAAACCTTTGACTGCAAAGGTTGCTGTAATCTCGGCTCAACGTGGTCAACTGGGGAAGGGGCATGTGGAGAGTAGTAAGAAAGCCAGAGGAGAGAGGGCCAAGATTGAGAAAGAAAGCTCTCAGTCCAGCTTGGAATCTGATTCACGAAGCTCCAACTTTTTTTTTACTCAGGGTCTTTACTCAGTTACCAGCAATGGAAAGCAGAGTGAAACATCATTGAATGATGATGAAGAGAATAGTTATGAAGCACGTGCAGGTGAGCGTCAAGGTAGTGAGGAAATTCACACCGGCTATGATCATGAGAGTGTTGAAGAAGTTGGATACCGTTCTCAAGATGGTTCAGCAGTAGATGCATCATCGCAGAATAAGGATGAGAAAAGTGAGAAGAACCACCCTTTGAAAGAGAAGGATCCTTTAGTTGAATCCATGTCCCTGTTGCAATCTGTGCAAGAAGCCCTTGAAAGTGGTGAGTCTTTCTTCTCCCAACTGAATAGCTTTTTGTATCTACTTTTTGACTATTCGCTATAATAGATGTATGTGTCTCCCATACACATGCACGCTGCACAGACATGCATATGTCTGGACACATGAACACGCTTGCTATGTGTATGTGCCTAAATACTAAAAGATCCTTAGCTCTGAGGGTGGCCTTATTTAGTTTGTTAATACGCTTATGGAGTAGTTCATCAATGATACTAGATTTGAAATCATTTTAATTTAAAGTACATTAACTTCAGATTTTGTTGCTTTAAAACTGTTTTTCATCGCAAGGATTTTTTTTGCTCTCACTTCTGTTTAAGAAGATATAATGTTGAAGTCCTTAGTTGATACTAGCTGCTTTGCTGACATTTTGCATCTGCAGCTTCATAAATTAGTTTCTAGCAGCCTTTCATTGTAGGATTTAGGGATCAGGGAAATCTGTTTCCGGGAATTGCTGTAGTGATATTAGATAATTTGTATTTTGTTTCTGGTGTTAGTTTAGTACTTTGGATTTTCGAGCTTAAATTCCATCTCCTTTGTATTTTGTTTCTGGTGTCTGTCATAAGTTTTAGTTTTAAAGATTCATGGGAAGATAGAAAAAGGCCAGAACCAGCTTAGGTATCATCTGAATGGCCTAGTTGTTTACATGCGCAGGATGCATCAGTTAATTGTTGCATCTTGAGCAAGTTGCAGACATCCATTTTGGGGGGTGATCTTGATGTTGCCATGTTGGTAATTGGTAATATTCTATGCTAAGCTAACCTGCATGTGCTTGATGAAGAACCTCAGAAAATTGCTTCCTTTCCAGTTACCATGGGCTCGAAGCAACATTGATCTGGCCTCACTCATTATTTTACATGAATATATGCCTTTTAGATACAACTTGAAAAAAGCACACATGACACATCTTTGGTTACATTTATGATGACTTTTTATGCTCTTGCAGAGATTCAAAAACTGGGGGAGATTGGAAAGATCAGCAGCTACCCTACAGATCCTCCTCAGACAGATCCAGAAGTTTCTTCAAGCCCATTCTCCCGGTTTGAAGCTGAAACTGTTGCAATGTTATCCGAAAATGTAAAACATCTAGAAAGCAGGCTGAAGGAGGCATTGACAATGCTGTGCGCAAAGGAGGCCAGGGTTGCTGAACTAGAAGACACCTTGCAGCGTGGCAGGTCAGAAAGTCAAGAAACAAGTACCACCGAGACAGAGATCGAGGCCATGTTCAAGCAGAAGCTGGAGGCTGAGGTCCAGTGTCTGGCTTTAACAAAGGCACTACAGCATTCTACACCTGGAGAAATGGAAGCCCGAATTGGGGAGCAAGAGCAAATGGTGCTAAAGCTCAGGCAAGTAGAAAGCAAGGCTGAGGAGGTGAAGCGAGGCGCGGAAGAACTGGAGAAGTACAGTGAGGAGGTTTTGGGTGCAGAGAAGGAGGCATCGGAGATGCGTCAGGGGTTGTGCAAAGCTGCTTCTTGCTTCTCGATCCAGTTGATGCTGCTGACCTTGGTGGTTTTCTTCATGATTTCGCAGCTGTCTCCCAATGCTGCTGTTGTACCTACATGAGGAATTGCCTGCAACAACAATATGGGTGGACACTGGACAGGGCCTGGTCTGGTTCAGGATCAGGTCGGAGTCAGTATAGGACTGGGTCGTAAATAGAGGGGGGAAAACCAGTTCAAAACCACTTTCAATCTAATCCCGTACGGTCTGTCCTGACCTCTATGAAACCAACACCCAATATCATCATCCTGCTAAATCATATCAGATTGGGTTATACTTCAAACTGGTTGGTTTGATTCGGTCCTGTGTTCAACGCTCTAAGAGTAGGCCTGGTTTTCTTCATTTTCTCTCTTCTATATGTAATCTCAGCTGCATATCCTTTGGTAGAGGGCAGGATGGATGTGAATGGTTGTACATTCTCCTAATGGGGATGGGAAAAGAACTTGGGGCAGAGGGTCTTTGTGATGGGTTTGTTCAGTTTTGTAACAAAGAAACTACTTCTGGGATGATTCTGTATTGCTACTATCTTTGGTATCTTTGTTTCTGATTGTTGGGAGTAAAGAGCACACAACGTTTTGGAATCCCTTTTTGGTTCTTTCTTATGACTATAACCAGCTGATCTTGAAAGACTTGTCAATGTTTACTCAATCTGTGAATGCAAGCAAGGCAGGAATTGGGCTTGCCGAGTTGGACTTCTAGCCACATATGGGCTGGTTGCTGGAATGGGCCGACTGGGGGCTGCGTCGCAGTACAAATTTTATCCAGATTCCAGAGTGATCTAATGACAAAACAAAAACAAAAAACCGCTTTTTCTTTTTCCTTTATAGCACATGCGTATTAAACTATTAATTATGACACCGTCCACCGCGTCTCCTTCTCTTCTCGCTCCTCGAAAAATTTCCGCCATTTCCACACCAGTGCGATCATCTTCAGTCTAGATCGAGTTCCGTCTCTCCTTTGACTCGCCGATCCGAAGCAACGGTTCTAGGTAAGACCTACTGCAACTCACCTCTCCTGACTCATCCGCCGTGATTCCTTCTTGCGATCGTTTTTCTCTTTGCTCTAGCTGAATTTTTGATCGGATCCCCCTCTGAGCTGATTCCAGTACTGCGATGTACTTCCATACCCTTTAGATCTACCAAGTCTGGATACTTGATACCCGTTTTTATGCCTTCGTGATTCTGTATCGTATATGATGTGTGTTTGAGTGAGGCGTCTGATTATTTTTTCGTTGAGAGTTATAACTAGTAGATCAGGGAGTGATGCTTTTTTTCTGATGGTTGGCTACGATGTGGAAATGGGGAATCTAGGGAGGGGTGTTTAGGATAGATGGTTTATGTTAAGTGTTAGCGGTTGTTCTGGTGAATTGAGGAATGATCATGTTTGCTGCTTGCTTTAGGAAGGTATGTCGTCTTCCGATAAGCCCGAGAAGGTTGACAGAGGGACCAAGGAGGAGAAGGATGATAAGGAGGAAGGTGGTGGATTCATGGACAAGGTGAAGGATTTCATACAGGACACTGGGGAGAAGATCGAGGATGCAATTGGGTTCGGGAAGCCAACTGCTGATGTGACTGAGATTCACCTGCCTTGCATCAACCTCGACAAGGCGGATATAGTCGTCGATGTGCTTATCAAGAACCCTAACCCCGTCCCGATCCCTTTGATCGATATCAACTACTTGATTGAGAGCGATGGGAGGAAGTTGGTTTCGGGGTTGATCCCCGATGCTGGTACCATTCATGCTCATGGCGAGGAGACTGTAAAAATACCGCTCACTTTGATCTATGATGACATCAAGAGCACTTATAACGATATCGAGCCTGGAAGCATTATCCCGTACAGAATCAAGGTTGATCTGCTTGTCGATGTGCCCGTGTTTGGGAGGCTGACTCTGCCACTGGAGAAAACTGGAGAGATCCCAGTGCCATACAAGCCTGATGTTGATCTGGATAAGATAAAATTCGAGAGCTTTTCGTTTGAGGAGACGGTTGCTGTGCTGCATGTGAAGATAGAGAACTTGAATGACTTTGACTTGGGTCTTAATTCGCTGGACTGTGAGATTTGGCTGTCTGATGTCAGCATTGGATGTGCTGAGCTAGGAAAGTCAGCTACCATTGCTAAGAAGGGAATAAGTTATGTCGATATTCCTATCACCTTCAGGCCCAAGGACTTTGGCTCTGCGCTCTGGGACATGATCCGGGGGAAGGGTACTGGATATACGTTGAAAGGGAATGTCCATGTGGACACTCCTTTTGGGGCAATGAAGCTGCCAATAAGTAAAGAAGGTGGCACGACTAAGCTGAAGAAGAAGAAAGAAGATGGTGGTGATGATGATGATGATGAGGTATGCTTATGTCTTTTTCTTGATTTTTATTTTTTATGCAGTCTCTTAAGTCTTAATCCAAAGTAGTGAGCTAGTCTCTTAAAAAGTTATGAACCCCGTGTTTCAAATGAGGCAAAGATGAACGTTTGGCTCACCAACCAGCTCCATTTCGGTTTTCTGTCCTCCTTTGATGCTCCTAAATTGTGTGCTTTGACTTTCGCATTGTCCACTAGCATCGAACCTTTTCCTCAGACGTGTGTAATTATACTTCTCAAATCTTTTAAAAGAGCTGTGTCATGTAATGAACAGCTCGGTGAAGCTGCTGAAACCGATCTTAGTTGTGGATCTTGCACCTCTGGATAGAATAATTAGGCTAACTATGGCTTTGTGTGCATCAAGTTCTAGACCCTGCATGTAGCTGATTCATGCATCATGGATTTCATTCTGATCACTTTCTATTTTTTTCTAGTCTTACCCTCTTGTAAAACAGATTATGAACATTGTGTAGCAGAGAGGGCCTTTGTGTCTTTCTATAAGCCTTTGCCTCAATCACTCTTCTCTTGGTTCCAGCAGATGTTATGCTGTCCCTCATGTTGATCAGACCTTCATCCTCTGACTGTTGTACTATTTGAACTTGGTTGCAGGACTAGGAAACGACATCGCTCGCTACCATGTGCCCGGGTGGGGATCGAGTTGCTGTGTGGGGATTTAGGGTTTGAAACAGAATAATATATGCGTTTTGAATGCCATTTCTTTTGCAATTAGAGTGATGGACCATGACTGGGTTGTGTGCTTCTTATTGTTAGTAACACGACCACTCTTCCTACCTGTAATATTTATGCCTATGGTTGAACCTTTGTACTAGCAAGTAGCTATCTCCTTGTGAAACTTTACTCTTGTGATCAGTTCTCATCTCGTGGCATCATTTCAATTTGCTTTACTATCTTTGCCATAGTGAATGAAGTTCATTAATATTAGACTGTAAGATCTTGAGTTAAGATTTCTCATTTTACAGCTGAGACAAAAAAAAAATCTATATTTTTATGCAGTTCGGCCCTGTTCACTTCCATTTTCGTTTCCTGTTTTCTGTTTTCATAAATTTGGCAACTGAAACGAGAAAATTTGTTTACTTTTCGTTCCGTTTTTTATTAGTTTCCAACTATGAAAACAGAAGGTGACAACTTCCTGCTATTTTCGGAAACGATAATATGTTGTTTTCATCCTTTTTCAACATATGTTTTCTAAAAACAGTAAACAGAAATGAAAATAAACATATTCACTTATTATATGCTAACATAATATACTCTTTCATCCAATCCGATTTGTCATTCAAACAGTCTTTTCTTGTCATCATTCAATTTATCAAGCAGCTGGGACATACTTACATAATCTACTCTGACATCCAATCCGATCTGTCATTCAATCAATCTTTTCTTGTCATCATTCAATTTACCAAGCAGCTGGATTTTCCATCTGCTTACCAGTCCATTACACCATTTCAGTTCTGTGCCTGAACTGGGTTTCCCTTCTCTTTACAAACAATGCCTAAAATGCTCGTAAGTGAGCAAGCTTCATAAAGCAAAGTTTAAAACTTTCCCCAAACTGGAATTCTAGCCTGCTACTATGACTTCTGAAGAACAAGGGAAAAGGAACTCTATAATCTGTCAAAGTGGCATGCTATTTCGTTTCTTACCCGCCATAATTGCAACCTTCTGATTCGTCCCCCTGCAAGAGATTCTGTTACTGTGGGAAATTGATTTCGGCCTTCCCAAACTGTTGATAAGAAACCTGCAAAGTATCAAGCAAGGTCGATAAAGCTGAACTGAGACACTCCATAACTAGCAAGCTCATAACTCTCTCTCTCTCTCTCTCTCTCTCTCTCTAAAGAGGTGGCAGTCCCTCCAAAAGATGAAGAGACAGAGCAAAGGGTCAGAGTGAGCTGTAAGGAGTAAATCCCCCTTCTTTCTTCTCCTTCTTCTTCTTCCTCTCCCGCATTCTCTCCTGTTTTCCATTCTTCTTCCAAACTCTCTACCGCTGGGGGAGAAAAGACTAGACGGGGAAAATGGCTGCTTTTGGTCGGAACTTCACCGGAGAAGATGACGAGAACCTCCCGCGGTTCAACCACTTCATCAAGGAGCTCTGCCCTGAAGCCATCGAGACCAAGAAACTGGTAATCCCCTTTCTTCTCTTACCCTAAAAAAGCACTCCATTCAGCTTACTCTTTTGACGAACCCCCAACCTGATTTCATGCTCTGTTTTTCTTTTCTTTTTATCGCTTTTCCCGGCGAACGCCTTGCAGATGCTTCCTCGGAAGTTTGTCAAGACGGTCAGGGACGAGCTTTCTCGTGAGGTCTGTCTGGAAGCGCCAAACGGCAGAATCTGGATCATTGGGTTGACCAGAGAACCCGGTGACAGAAACATAGTGTGGCTCGACTCTGGATTTGGTGAGTTTCTGAGCTTTTACTCCATCGGCGCTCGCCATTCTCTGATATTCAAGTACCGTGGCGGCTCCCATTTCCAAGTGGTCGTCTGCGACAACGCTGCCTGCGAGGTTGCGTATCCCGCCGAAGTACTTCTTGGGTCTTCCGGTGAGGAAGATGGCAGCGACGACCCCGAGTTTGACGGCGAAGAGGCCGAAGAAGAAGAAGAAGAAGAAGAAGAAGAAGAAGAAGAAGAAGAAGAAAATAGCAGTACCCGTGATACTTCAGGGTCTCGCCGGGGACTTCCCCGAGCTACAGAACCATCTCCCGGAGCTACTTCAGGTGAGATCAAAAAATAAATTCCAATGAGGAAAGAAATGTTGTTCTGTTACTCTGTTTTCTTAATTGATTTAACTGTGTTGGCACAGCCGGCCAACGAAACAGGGGAAAACAACCTTGCCCGGCGGAAAGGCAACGCGCTTCAGGATCTCGGAGCCGGCGCAAATGTCCCAACACCGCAATTAGTGCTGCTGCTGCAGGTAAAACACTGAAACTTATAAGAAAACAACCTTTTCAATGGATAAACCTTTTTTGTAACGAAATCAGAACTCTTACCTTCTCCCCTATGGTTTTTTTTTTTTTTTGCCCCCCCAGAGAGGTGGGATCTGTTAAATCGGCTGCGGGCATCAAATATCTCCACGGTGGACAGGTTCTCTGTGTGTATCTTGCAGTTGTCTGCAGAGAGCAAGAGAGCGGTGGAGAAAGCCGTCCATTTTAGCAACCCAGAAATCCCTTCTGTTCTGGTCGTCATGAAGAAGCTCCAAATTGTTCACCGCCAAATGGTTAGTACTTAGTACTATACAGTATACACTCTCTGTTTGTGGTTACTCGACAATGAAGAAAAAAAAAAAACTCATTTAGTTTACTAATATGATGTGTGTTAGCTAATCCACGCCTTTGTCGAATTTGCGCAGTATCTCCCTATCGAATTTGCCGATAAATACTTCCCTGAAGATACAGTAATAATGAAGCTGCGTGCTTGTTGCGAGGAGGTCAAGGGGTTTTTGAATGAATCGCTGGTTGTTGGCAAAAGAAACAATAAAAATACCTTGTATTTAAGACGAAGGTGGGGCGAGTTTTGCACCAACAACGACTTGCACGAGGGAGACGTGTGCCTGCTGCAACTCGTCGATGTGAAAGACAAGATCTTCAATGTTTATGTTTTTAGGGCTTGATGAGGAGGGGGGGGGGGGAGGAATCTTGTAGAGACTTTGAGTTGTTTACTTTGCTGTATTCAGATCTTTACTTTACCCCAGCAGCCATGGATGCTTGCTTGCCCTTTCCCCAATGTGTGCAATGAGCTGTTGTTTTTCAGTATTTATGTTCCGAAATGGATTCAATGTGAAACCAATTTTATGTTTATGAGGAATGAACATTTCCTATCTATCACGATGGCACAATTTTCAGCTCCCTGCTTCTTGGTAACATTGCAGCAGCAGTGAACCCTGGAGATTAGACTACCTTTACTTTGATAACTGGATATAGCCAGTTGTCGCGAGATCTCTTCGAGTATCTTACATTTTGAAGAAGGATCGAACTGCTGATGTTCACAACCCTTCGTCCATCTCTACATATTAACAATGTTCATTCTCTGTGTGTAATTCTGTAACCCTTAACATCTCCTTCTCTTGTATCATATAGTCAACGTACGATGGCAGAAAAAACCCAGATAGGCAAATTCAACAAATCAGCAGCGTGCAACTCTTTGAAGGTCCTATGAACTTCAATGAGGATTAATCTTGCTTCCGCCATAGCTGCAGAATTAACCGAAGCCAAGCAGTAATCGTCCAAATCGGCAGAGTCCAATGCACAAGAACCAGAGACCCGACGACCTCCGCTCAATTCTCCCAAGTTTACAATCGGATGCTGGAAATTCAGCTATAACCCATTCTTGAATCCAAATCGCAATTGGATGGTGGAATTTTGCCGCAATTCATGAACGCACTGTGTTCTCTGTTGTTTCCCCGCGTTTCCTTGCGATCGACCTCAGGATTTCCTTCCTTTTTCTCATGATTTCTTGCTGCAGAAGGGGCCAATTCATCACCTGGTCAACATATCGTGAAAAAGTCAAAATATCACGTAAATATCGAGATATTTTATAATATCGCGAGATCTCGTCAATTTCAATTTCTCGTCAATTTCTCGCGTTTCGATTTTGGTTTTGAGGTCACGAAACGTTTCACGTTTCGCCCGTTTTTGTTACCCGTTTTTTCACTTTGATGGGGTATCCGGTTTTCGCCGGCAGTCCGCCTACCTCCGTCCCGAAACGCCGGCCGGTTTCAGTTTTCTGGGCCTTCGATTAAAAAGAGAGGAACCTTTTTGGGCCTTCGTCTGACTGAAGCCCATGGTTTCCCCGCGCGTCCGCTTACCTTCCGATAAAAAACGGCGCCGCATTCTCTTGCCGTTGCGCCTTCAATTAAATAACGAAGAAGCGTTTTGGGCCTTTGTCGAAACTAAAGCCCAGATTTTCGAATCTGCCGCCACTCCTCCCCTGTTTTCCCCTTCGCCATTGGGTCCTCTGCTTGGAATCTTGGACGAGGACTCTGTCTTTGTTCTTCTTCGCAGAAGAAAGAGAGAAGGGAATCACCAGAAGCTTGACTTCCCCTTGTCCATTCCCAATTCTGGAAATCCGGATTCTGGTAGAAATTTCCGTCTTCCGGTCCAGTTAAGGGCCACAGACTCTGTTTTTATCACTTGGGTTCTCAGGTACCGTCGGCCAATACCCAACTGCTTCCGAAGCAGCAGAAGGCATCGCCGCCTCTCTTGGCCGGTTGGAAATCTTTACGCCTCTTCCATAAACGCCGATGATGAAGGAAAGCGGATTCGGGGTTCCATCTTGAATCCGCAGACGAACCGGTTACCGCGAAACGTTTCGGGAAACTTGGTAATGCATATAGAGAAGACGACAGTTGGGTAATGCGAATCGAGAAGCCGGCCATTCGATGGGTACATATAGAGAGTATAATTGATCCCTCTTTGATTTTTGGAAGTGCAATTTCAGCCCTTCTGTATCTGCAGACTACAGATTGTGTATATATTTGCAAAAGTGACAAATGTTTATTGCTGTCCTTGCAGCCTTTACTGTGGCATCAATCTGATCTCGAATCGAGGAGAGAAATGGCGGGAGAGCGGGAGAGGAAAGAGGGTTGTAGAGTGATTGGGCTCATTTGCTGAGATCCTTCGGCGGTGAATGACAACGGCGGAGGCGACGACTTGGAAATATGGCTTCTCAAGTTTCCACCCCGACCACCAGCGGCAGTTTTGCCAACAACAGAGCGTCGGTGGCTCCATGGCTGGCAATAATCGATCTTTAAATTTTAATCGCGGGCAAATGATGCATTATTTCCCCGTAAATTCTCATGTTAAGTGTTTTTTTTTTTTTTTTTTGACAAATCTCATGTTAAGTGTTAAGCGTTGTATAATTGCACAATGCGAGAAACTCGAAACGAAATGGATGATAAAACGATTTGAAGCTCGGCCACAATCTTCAAGCAATAGCTCTCGTTGTTTGGTCCTCATTTGTGATTCTGTTCGGTTAGATGGGAGTTTATTGCTGCAGCTGAAGATGAATAACACTAAAGGAAAGCTGATTGCAGCCATTAGGCAAGAGAACTAAAATGGTACCAGTTACTAGTTAATATACAATTATAGCGAAATTCGAGTCCCCTTGCAGTTGCAGAGAGTGCCTTCACCCTTTTCTTAGCTGTTGTTGCTCTCTGTTTCTCCATACATATTACAGCAGGCTCAACAGTACAACCATCACATTAGAAAACAACAAATAGGTGCCTCGCTGGCGCTGTATATTACATCGAAGTCATATATGTACGCCATCGCCATTAGGAGATCTTACTGACACAGAGGGAGAGAGGAGAAGGGCAAGCCTTATTGATGTTGTTGTTGTTGTAGAAGAAGAAGAAGAGCTCCTGCAAAAATCTCTACCCGGCATTGATGTTGACCAAAAATGGAGGGAGGTGGCGCTCCAAAACGGATAGCAGCTCTCTCCCCTGACCCACCTCCACCAACGACACTCCCCCGAGCCTCCTAGCAGCCTCGACGAGCTGGCCTCTGAGCCGCTGAGAGAACAAACAGCCCCTGGCCTGCAGGCACTCCCTGTAGAGAGGGAGGTAGCCGATCGCGACTCTAAGAGGGCCTGGGAGATCTCTCAAGCATATGGGAGAACCGCCCCGGTCCAGGATCCTCAGCAGATTCATGTAATGTTCGCTTCCTTGCTTCAATCCATCGGAGTAAGCCGCCTCGGACCAGTTCTCGAGGAGGAAGGACTTGAGATCGGGGGCCACTGCCTCGTCCTCGGACGACCTGGCGATGCTGTCGGCGACAGCGTAGGTGGCGGCAGGGTCGCCTAGGAAGTCGGACCGGAGTAGGAAAGCCACGCCATCCAGGGACCCACCGCTCCTCTCGCCCGCGGCTTTTAAGATCTCGATGCTGAGGGCAGTGAGCACGTGCTGGGGGACATGAGGGAGGAGGTACGCTGCGACGTCAACCTGGCAGCTGGACGTGGCAGCAGTGAGGGCGAGGCAGAGCTCCATGTCGCGGCAGCCTCGATCTACATACCACTGGACGACTTGCATGCAGCCTCTCTCTGCTGCTCTCATCAATGGGCCCAGGAAGGCTATGGCATTGCCTTCTTCGACAAGGCACTCCATCGTGCCAATTTTTCCGTAGTGGGAGGCAAAGCCAAGGGCTAGGTCCACGTCTACGTCCAAGCTGTTCCTCTGGGCAATCTGCAAAGATGGTATTCAAGAGAAGACAGCAAAAATTGTGTAGCAGAAAACATCAGAGCCGCGAACTTAAAAGGGATTGTTGGGAAATATCCCTAGCAAATGCAGTAGAATTCAACTAAAAAAATGGTCCAATAAGTCATGCAGTAAAAACCTGGGTTAATAACTACATAAATGGCCACTGAACTTCTGACAAACTGGTCACTAACTTTGGCTTTTAACCAATGGGTCATTTTGAATCCCTAGCATAGCATCCACTTTTCCCATCTCAATTAGATCGTCGTCCAAAAATGACCCATTGGATGCTACTAGGGCTGGGAAAATAGACCAGATCGTTAGAAAAACCGTGGTCCAAATCGTACCGCACAGTTTGGTCCGGACCGTAGACCGTGAAGTATGGTCTGGTCTGGTCCATGGTCTGTATTATTTTATGATTTGATCTCTTGGTCTGGTCTGGTCTAGACCGCGGTTTATCGGACCAAACCGTAGACCCAACTGACTTGTCAATACTTGTTAACAGCCCATTCGACCATCTCCAAACTCCTACAACGACACCCAAGTCTCAACCTTACTTTTGTGAATCTCTTCCCTCCTTCATTCACAACCACATTTAACCAGACAGTAGAGATAATAGTGTCTCCATATGACATTATGTTAATGTTTATGACGTTATGGTGCAAGTTGGGATGTTTTTACTTTGTATCTTTGTTATGTACTAAGATTTAAAGTATCAAAATTATTCATGCATGTTAGGATTAATATTTTGAGGCAAATAACAATTATTTTTCTTGGTTATTGGTTCAATTTTTTGTGTGGTTGACTAAACAAATTATTCATTTTTCGTTGAGTGTAGTCTATCTGGACCAGACCAGACCGAACCAGACCGCACAGGCGTGGTCTGGACCGGACCGTATAGTCTGTGGTCTGGTCTATGGTCTATACTTTAGCCTCTCGGTCTGGACCATAGACCGTATATATGGTCTGGTCTGGACCAGACCGCACCGTTTTCCAGCCCTAGATGCCACTAAGCCATTTTGAATCCCCAACATAGTCATTTTGAATCCCTAACATAGCATCCACTAATTGAGATGCAAGCAACTTTGACTTCTAACAATTTGGCTGGGAAATCTAAATTTACCAGCCGGATGGTTAGTAGCATCAAAGTTCAGTAACCATTTATTCACTCATTCGTACAGAAATGCTTGGAACAGAGGTTCCATATCAACCAAAATGTAATATTTACCTGCAACAAGATACGGACAAGTTCTGTACTCCCAAAACGGGAGGCTTCCAGGAAACACTGGTTAACATTGTCAGCACCACCTTCAACTAACATCCCCAACAGCCCTTGGATTGCAGTAGCTGAGATCCCAGAAGCCCAGCCTGGATCGAACGAACTCGAGAACAAAGTAAGCGGAAAACAGGCAGCATCAAAGGCCTCCGTAAAATCTTTGCCTGTGAGCTGGTTGCCAGCAAGATCAAGAAATATCTTGAATGCTGATAACTGAAGCTGAATCTCGACAGCTGAGCTGTGATTAACTTTGCCCATATTTCCCTGGCAGCGAGAATGGAAACCAATACATTTCAGGGCCCATTCGGTGAACTTTTGAACCTTTGCACCAGCTTCTGCCTTCAGAACTTCGTCCCCATTGCATTCCTGGAGTCGCTCATGCAGCCTGATAAAATGGAAAAAGCAAGTGGTACATCAGAATACGCACAATAATGCAGAGTAACATTTGCTATGGATATTGGTAAAACTGACTAGTTACATGCAACTTATCAAACGAAAATACAAATAGCAAGATATGTTTTGTTACATGGACACCTTCAGTGAAAACTTAAGGTAGAGCTCATTTGAGCAAAATAATGACTACTTGATGCAAGGCACTAGAACAGCAAGCACCTCCTACTTGTACGGTCCTCTTATGAACTGGCTCAATCAAACAATGAACAGAGCAGCATTTACCTTCGAAAGCATAAGTGAAAGTATGTGGAAGGAAGATTCAAGAACAATTATTAGTATCAGGAGTGGAAGAAATTCAAAGAATGCATACAGCTCATGTGAATAGGATGTTGAGCATACACAACAACTCACAATCTACAGAGAACTAAGGATTTAGATACTTCAGGAGCTAGGCATGCATCAACAATCTCACCGATTGATTACATGTATCCTAGACATGGACGTAAGAGGAGATGTAAGCAACTATCTGCCAATGCAATCAAGAAAAGGCATACTAATTACGATAACAAACAGTAATCTCCAAATATATGACATGACCTAAATAAGATTCTAAAAGGATAACAAACAGTAATACCGAAAGGTGTTTGTTTAGTCACTAATCATCCTCATCCCAAGAAGTTTTCCATAAATTTCCAGGCGAAGATCCAACTCAGCTTTAGCTTCTAATTCTACGTTCATCAAATCATTTAAGACATAAGGAACAAGGTTTTGTACATCTTCTGCTCAATAAGAACCAGCGCTAGCCTAACTTCACGATCCAGAGAAAAGAAGCAAAACCAACCTTGATCATCGTCCAGCTTAGTAGAATCTTTCAGATGTCATGTGTCAGGCAACCAAATAATTTGGCACACAAATAAACCCTTAGGAATGAGCACAGCACCCAAAGTCCATCCACCTTAGTGAATCTACTATGCTTTGCATATGAAAGTAACGGGTAAACTCAATCCACCCATCAACAAGAGAAACCAGTTCATCATTTTTGTTTAAAGTTTTATCAAAACCACCATACCTTTGTGCCATGACAGTTACTGTGTCAGCAAGACTCATAGTTCTGCTCTGGCAAGCCGATACACAAGAAGCAAGAAACGAGGTTCTCAATGCAGCTCTAGTGAAATCATAAGCACCATTAGCTATGATCTTCTTGATCAAACCCGTGATCCCATGAAGCTCTTGTTGGGCGCTCAAGAACCAAATAGAATCAAGTGTGATGCACAGAGCATCGTTAAGGGTTTGTGGATCCGCTAACAATATCAGGCTCTCTGCTAGCTCCCAATCATGAGAACTAACCGCACCTTGAAACAATCGGCCCCACTCGATTCTATCCTGCCGACTAAGTTTCTTCTCATTTCCAACACTATCCTGCGTGTCAAAGTCGGACTCGGCCCCAGACATACGAGACTTGAGCTTCTTCGAGCTACAACTACAATGGCGTGACCTCCTTGACTCTTTCCTCACAAGCGGCAATTCTCTTGAGAACACAACATTACTCCCCTCACCCCTCTCTGACTTGAAGCAATCATCGCTTGGATTGGAAGATTCAACAAAATCGCCAGTTTCCATTTCGGCACAGAATGATTCGTCAGAGCTAAGCCCATGCACGATGGCAGTATCTGTCGCCTCAGCAAATCCCATATCCTTTTCCATGCACAAAACTTGCACCAACTTGTTTAGAAAGGAATGAGGAGGAAGAATTACAATTCTCCTTCCTGGCAAAAAGTATCCTCCAATAAATCAAGCCAATTAACTTCTTCTCAATTCAAAACTCCCACATAGTTCCAACAACCCAACCACGGGGAAGAAGAGGGCAATCGAGAATTCCTCCAGAAGCATTAATCTAGGGCTCTTAAGATGAGCAGTTCACGCTTTCCCCCATATCAGAAGAATCACCAGAAACCATCGACACCAAGACGATGAACAGCCAAAAAAAGGGATGAAAAAGAGAAAGCACTACCTATATTGCCTTCGGGAAACACCCGGTTCCATCACTGGAAAATCAAAAACCTCTCATCAGCTCCGTAATCAAAAACCACCAGGAACATACACCCCGTCCCTCCCAAACCCTAATCGAAACACTGTGTAATGTCGCTCTCCCCTGCCAAAAGCACAAAGTTTTGTTCTCCAATCAACAGCGCCAGCCGAAACCCTGATCAACCAGAGGGAAGAATCTCAATATTCGGAAAAATTCACATACGAACCAACGAAGCAAATGTTCCGAACGAAATACCACGCTGCTAACAAAAAAAAAAGTTCAGTAGCTAAAGAAATGAAGAACACAAATAAGAGAAATTCGGGCGCGGAAATGAAGAACACGCAGGGGAGGAAAGGGGGATAAACAGGAACCTCAGAATCTGTTCTTTGATTGAGAGAGAGGGAGGGAGGGTAGGGGGGAAAGGAAAGGGGAACTGGAAAAACTTCTCTGCCTCTGCTATTTCAGTGTTATTATTTTTATTAATATTTGCAAGGAGACATAGAAAAAATAATAATGGAGGTAGCCAAAAGGGAAAAGAAAATTAATTTTTGAACGAAAATATAAGAGGGAAAATAGAGAGAGAACGAAATAAATATATTTAATAATGAAAAACTGAAAATTATGGTTTCTTTATAATAGTGGGTTGGGGATAGTTAAAATGATGAATTGAGATTGTTTAAAATAAAATATATGTATTGCGATTTAAAAATACAAAACAAAAATTATGGATTGTAACAATTTTGGTCAAATTATTCAAATACCACATTCAAAATGCAAGGAAATGACTCTTACATACCGTTTGGTATAAATGAATTCCATATTTTTTTAGAAATTCATTTTGAAATGAAATCTTTTTGTATTTGGTATTTAAAAGAATTCATTTTCAATTCCAAATTTTGAATTCTACAGAATTGGAACTAGTTATAGCAATTCCGAGGAATTGAGATGGAATTTTCAAATGAATTCCACAAGTATTTACCAATTATGATAAAAGGACATAATCATTCTCATTTATTAACAATATTACTTCTACATATATTATTTGGCGCCAATTCATGCAGTATGAGGAACGTCGACAAGAATTTGATTGAAACGCTTAGCATATACCAAACACATGATTTCATTTGACAATGAATTCTACACAGGAATTCATTTTAAAGTGAAATGAATTCTAGTAGATTCATTTGGTACCAAACGGTCTGTTATATATTGGTGTTCTCTTAACTCATTAATATGAGGCGTTTTGTGGAGGATACCCAAAGGTAAAATATGTGCGGGCTTGAGATCACTGATCAACATCTATTGGATCAAATATCCACATTTGGTGAACCAAAGATTCGCATCCGGCATATCAAAGGGGGTATGCATGTGGTAAATCCTCGTGTTGAGTAAAGTCTGTGATACCAAATGTCTAGTAGATCAAGATAATCGTTGAGGGGAGGACACGTAATTCATGGTTCTTGTCTTGATGAGAAAATTGTTATGGACAATCCAACTATCACGTAAGAAATATAAAGGTAAAGGACCCTTGTATATTAGTGTCCACCAAATTCATTAGTACGATGTATTTTGGAAAGAAATTCAAAAATAAATTCGCGGAACTTTACCTAAAATGGACAATACCATACAAAAAGCGTATGGTCATGACAATCACCAAAACCAAACCGCTTAAGTAACAAAAACGAGTTCAAATAAACAAAACAGTAATAAATATGGTATAGTGATGGCAATGGGGCAGGCATGTATCTCAATTCTGAATATTCATTCCCCCACGCACCAAGCGCGGGCAAGTCAAGTAATACCACGCGAGTATGGATCGGGACAAGTCGACCAGTTCTTATATTTTATCTTAAGAAAGCGTTAATTCTTAGTGATAAAATAAAAGAAAATTAGTTCATAAATAAAAAATGAGATAATTGGTTGACTAATTGAGTCTAATTAGTTCAAAAGTAAACTCTTACACATATCTAAAGTATCATTGATTGAGAATATGAGTTAAAGACTAGTCCAAATAAGAGAAATATTGAGACAAATCAATGTAGGACTGGTCAAGAATGGGTCGGGACGGGCGAGGAAGGTCGTAAGTGGTACATATGCCCAGCCACACCCCACGCAACAATGGGTTGAGTATTTGCCACCCCAACATGAGTCAAATCGAGTAATACCCGGTGGAATAGATTCAAATTGTCATTATTAGTATGATACTTCGTTTTATTACAAATGGTTATAGGTCCTTGGTTTTCGATGACTAAGGCATTCAATGATGCTTTTATTTACAAAGGGAGATCAGTGATGTGCTTGATTCCTTGGTTGCTTAGGTCCTGAGGAGCCTTAGAGTGGTCGTATTTTTTCTCGAAAGTACATGTGGAAAACTTAAGTAGAGGATTAATGACAAAGATAGAACTATGTGTGAATTGAACAAGGACTTGGTTTAGTGGTAATTCTTTAAATAACGTATTATGACTAATGATAAAAACAAAACTATAGCGTCTTTATCTACAATATGTAAAGTGGAAAATTATTGCGGAAGAATAAATAATAAATCACATATTTATCTCATACCACATTTACTGGCTTATTGCACTAAGGATTTAAAATATAAGGTGACAATATGGTTAATTTTTTTTTGTTGAGAGTTGGTTTAATGTTGATCATTTGGTAAAAGAATTGAAACCTATAATTCTTTAATATTTTTAAGTGGGTTGTCATTTATAAAATGAATAAACTGTTTGTAACTTTCCTTAATTTCTTACAATCTCCAAACTAATTAGATGCCATGAAAGTATTTAACACTTTTGGTTTTTTTTTATGACAAATTTAACACTTTTGGTTGATGATCACATTATTCTTTTGTTTTTAGTATTTAACGGGAAAAAAGAAAGAAAAAAACTGTGAGATAGAGAGAGAAAAATAGAAACCCAGCTCGTTCTGTTCCAACCAATCCAACGTAAGAAAAGAAGAGAAATCCCATCGTCGCTCGCCGTTAACCTGATCGTCGCGATTTCTCCCTCCCTCTCGCTTCGCTCTTCCCCCACCCACCCATTCGCCGGCGCTCACCGATTCTCCAGTTCATAATTCATTCGTTGCCGGTTGTTTGCTTGCGTCGGCACAAATTACCAGATAGAGCGGCTGCAGTCGTTTCCAATCCCCCTTTCTCTTACACCAATCCTCACCCGCGCTTCAGCTTTCTCTCTCTGCTTGCTGGTACTCTTTTAGCTCCTGAGCTCGGTCGTGGGATTTCCTGTATGTAGTCTGATTGTTTGATTCTCTCATCCTTGATTGTGCTTAACTGCTCGGACTTGTTTTGACCGGATTAGGGTTTCATTTGTATGTCCTAATCGCGGGAAAGGAATTGAGCTTAACTTTTATGTGCTGTTGTTTCCATTTGGATGACTTGCTTGACTGTGATGTCTGTTGAGCGTTGAGCTGACTGGGTGCTGTTAGGTAGAGCTTCGCAATGGGATTGTTGTGTTTCTTTGTATGTGTTTTTGAAGTGAGGGAGTTTTCGAGGTGAGTGGGGATTCTGGGCATACTGGGTTTCTTTTTCTCTGTGGCTTGGATTTCATTTCACCATCTCGCGTCTTTCCTCTGAACCGTAGCTAATGGTCATGTTTTGTGGGGAGTTGGTTTTTGATTGTTTACAATATGTGTCAGGCTTGGAACTTAGGGCTGAACCAATGCCCGTGAGTATACTAGTAAATGCGTAGTTTATTGATAAGTTAGACTCATGGAAGATATGGGCTAAGATTGTTATTCTCAGCTGAATCAGTGCAAGTTACTAACAATGCATAGAGTCTACTGTCCAACTCTATGTGTGAATTGGCCAGCTTTATGTGTTTGGATTTTCCTCTTTAAAGTTTTGCATTCGTTCTTTTTCAGGCTCTGCAAATTCAATACGGAATACCAAGTCCTCGTTTCCTCACGCAGTTGAGGATTAGCTATCGTATCTCCGAGAAAAATGGGTAAAAACCAAGCTTACAAAGCTATGCAGAGATCAAGGGTTGGCTCAGGCTCTGGAGGTCCTGAAGAGGTTGAAGATGGCATGGTTTGTACCCTTTCATACTGTTCCTTGTTCCCACTTGGAAATTTCATAGTTTATTTTGTTGGTTCCTTTTTTCTTTGTTTCTGAACCCCATAAGTTGAGCAGGAATACTTAGAAAATCCAATGCCGTGGCTTTAGCTGCCTGGTATGAAATGCTAAAAAGTTGTTTTGTAATGGAAAAAGCACTTTCCTGGATGTGACACATAAATCAACTGTCTCTATATTTGTGGGTTGCTACTTTTGCACCAACTTATGTGTTGGAATGCTGTACGAATCAACTACATGTTATGCAGTAATTTGGTTCTCGACTATTCATTCTCTAAACTTTACGTCTGCTCTTTTCTATATCTATATAATTTGGTGATTGTATGCTTGTTGGTTCAGCCGTTGCTGGTAACTACCTGGTTTCCTTTTTTATATCACACCGAAACTTATGGTGGTCAGATTTTATGCTAAAACAAAAAGTAATAGTGTGGTTAGATTTTGTTGCATGAGCAGATCCCTTTCCTCCACCCCTATTTTGTCTGGTTGTTTCTGGAAGTACTGGAACATTTCTGATGAGGAGAGTCGCAGGTGGATGGTTCTTTTCATACACCAGAGTGGCATGCTGCTCGTTTGGCTAGCCTCAACACTTCTCATACAATCACCTGGGAGGAGTACAAGAAGAAGCAGAAGGTAATTTTCTGATAGCTTCCTTATACTTGGTTGCCTTATTTCACCTCTTTATATTATTTCTATTTTGTATGTGTGAGTTGTCCTGTTTAGATGATTAGGTACATGTCTGCTTCTTTGGGTGTCGCTACTGGAATTATGTTTATATCTACACCTTTATACATGTGCACATATGTATATGAGCTTCACCATGAACGGTGTTGCTGTGTGCACTTTCGATTCAGTGGTTGAAGTTAAATTTTATTGAAAATCTAGGAACTTTGGTTTGAAACAGTAGCCATCTTATCTATGAACTCATGCAATAAATCTCACTGATCATTGATCTTTAAACTTAAAGGCTCAGGCTAGCCTGAAGAAGAAGAGGGGAAAAGGTCTTACAGTTTAGCTTTGGTTCTGCCTTTATGGGAGGGATGTATGGGATTCACTTGTAGCGGGGGCTTCACAACTTAGGTTGATTTGTGATCCTATTCATGAAAGTGTGTAGAAGAGACTTCACTGGTTTGCTTTTCTAGTATTAGTATTTTACATTGTGCAGCTCATTTTTGTTTGTTGAAATATAGTCATACTCATCAGTGACTTAGTAAAGCATCAGTGTCCTTTGGTTAAGTGGGAAACAAACTACTTGTGTGTCCTGAAAGTGAACATGCCCAAGCCAAGGGTTAGTGAAAACTGGAAATGAAATTTTGTTACGAGAAACATAGCACCATGAGGTTACTATTGGTTCTGGAGGTCGTTGACCTACCATCTTTTGGAATAACAATGTTATTTTCCAAAATAGTTATTAAGTTTGACAGATATTTAAACACATACATCTTGTTAGAGTTCTTTGATGCTCATTATTCTCCAAATCACTGCTTTTACTTTAATGAAATGAGTAGTTTATCTACTGTATCCTTTATACCAAAGATTTTGGGTTTTACTCGCTCACAAGTTCGACAAATATTTAAACACATGCATCTTTCACCCCTCTTCATGCAAATAAATCGTGCCATGTACAAGGAGGGTGCAATTTTGTTCCTTGAATGGTTCTTTTTTCTTTTTCTTCTTCCTTTCTGTTTTGTTTGATTTTTTCTTTCTAGTTTTGTGGCTGCTGTTTTCTAGTGGGTGTTAATTTCTCAGTTCCTGTTGTATTACTTTATGGAATTCCATATAAGGCACTCTACATCCCACATTTTGTCAAGGCTTGTGCACTTATGCCCCATAACAGAACTTGTAGATGCATCTCTCATAATTTTACTTCTACATGGCTATTTGATGATCTGATTAATTTGGTGAGCATTTCTTATTTCGATTTAATATGCATACTGATTGGCTGTTAGAAGCTCTTCAGTACCCTTCTCTGGACTCTAGTTCTGTGAACAAGTGGAGAGCCTCTTTTCCTTACTGCAGCTGGAGCCAAAATTTCCAGTATACGAGGAATGCTCCTTTCATGTTATTGTTCCTACTAAAGAACTTCATCCGATCTCGATTTCTCTTTAGATCTGCAAGCGTTTTGTGGATCTTCCCTAGATGTATCTTATAATAACTTTTTGGTCAAATATGTAACAAAGTTTTGGCTTGCCACGTCATCTTGAAGTTGTGAATGGTTTCTTGAACCAGAACTGCTTGGGTATGATATGCTTTTAATATGAGAACTACGATTCAGAATGAAGCATATGGAAGTTGCTTTAGTTGAATCCTTACGTTGTGCCTTTAAAACAAATATGGTTCCTGGAACTTTGTTTGAGAAGTATTCTTGCTCAGTGCTGTTGTTACTGGACAAGGTTCAGGTATTTTCTTATTTTCTTTCTCACTGTATTTGGTTCCATATATAGGAAGACGAGCTGAGAAAAGGCGAGCTGGAAAAAGATACAGATAGAATGATGCGTGAGTACAGAGCCCAGCTGGATGCCGAAAGAGCTAACAAGCTTGCACAGGGGAGGAACCATTCGAGTAGCAAGTCTAATCACAAAAAAGGTATGCACCAAAACTTTGATAAATCGACTTCTCATCATGTTACTGTAAATTGCTGCATTTCCCTATCTTTGTGGAGCTGACTGGGAGATTCCATTGCAGATAAGAAGGAAAAAGATTCGAAGAAACAGCGTGGCAAAAAGAGAAAGGTGATCACTTTCTTCCCTGTAAATGATATGCGTTCTCTAAGTATACTCGAGTAGTATCAACCTCTGTATTATTCCCATAAACTACGCATATCAGGATAATTCCGATCTTGAAAATCTCTGAAGTTTCCACTGCACAGGAGAAGTACCTAAATGTTAGTGTTACTGTGTGTACTTGTTTAACTTTCTCACGTGCATGTTTGTTTGTGTAGCATTCCAGGCATAGATCTTCAGATTCCAGCTCTTCCTCCGACGCCTCAAGCAGTGATGACGAGAGAGATTCAAAGAGGACGAAATCGAGAAGCAGCAGCAGCAGAAGAAGCAAGAAGGAGAAAAGGCACCGGTCATCATCATCAAGAAGCAAGCGTTCAACCAGCGACAACGAAAGTGCAGATGGTCCCGTTCCACTCTCTAGATTCTTCGGCAACACGAAGAACTAGCCTCCCAGGTAGTAAATTATCTCACTGCTTCACAAGGGAAGCCAGACCCCCACCATATCCATGTTTCGGGGGTGCCTTTCGAGTTCTTGCAGGCAGCATGTGGATCATTTGCAGGTGCCCTTCTCGCCCCGATTATGTCCTTCCATATATCGCATTCCTCGCCTTTCCATGACTGTGTTATATACATTCTAAGTTCAGCCGAAGGGCGCAACTATATCTGCTGATGAGTACAGCTCTTCAGTTTCATTTCATCTTTGTAATAGCACTAACTCATGCTTAATGGTAGTATTTCGATTCTGTTGAATTTGTGTGAGATTCATTCCAGTCATGCTCTTCAATTTTTTTAATTTTTTTTTAATGATCAGATGAAACAAAAAAGAATTGCTATTATTATAATAATTGAGTCTATTGTGATGAGTAATCTTGTTGGTCATATCAAAATTTCGATCAGAGAGCTCTCTTGCAAACTGTCTAATTGTCGTTTCATTGGTAACGGTGGATTCTTTTTTTCAAGTTGGTGAGGTGTATCACTCATGTGATGAATGTCTTTGGTTTTGTTCCATCCATCTTTTCATTAAAAGACTTTTGAAACATCCTTTTACGCCTCCATATAAAATCATCTTCAGATCCATTCAGTAGCAAAACATGTCATTCAGTATGCCGATTTTTTGTGCAAATTGCTGTAAATACTTTTTTCTAGGGCTGGGCATGCGGGCGGATCATCCGCGGATTTGGGCCGACCCACCCGCATTTGACCCGAATTTCGTTAAGTGGGTGGGTCTGTGGGTGGGTGACGGGTTGCGCTGGGAGCCATCCGCCGGGTGGTGGGTGGGTTGTGGGTGAGTGTGCGGGTGACCCGCTCAACCCAACAGCAAAAAGATCAAAGTCGTTGGCGCTAGAGAGAGGAGAGTGGAGACGTTAGATATAAACTCGGACTGCTCCTGGAGTTTGAACCTCAAAGCCAACCTTCCAAATAGAGATCCCCTCTTCTTCCCTTTATTTTTTCCTCTAATTCTTGTGCCTAGATCACCGCTCTTTCCTTTGTGGAATTATTTTCCTTAGTTCCTTGCACCTAATAATCGTCTCAATCTGTAGAAAACTCTTTCATAATAGAATTTCTATCCAATTTAAGAACTAATTCGACATTTTTCGCCCTATTTCAATTTCTTGTTTCCCTCGATGATTCTCTTCACCTATTATCATGTCAAGTTGACTCCTTTATATTATATACATTGTGATGTGGGTGAACCCACAAACCCACCCGCATCATCCACCATCCGCCCGACCCAACCCGAGACTAAACGTGGGTGGGTGGTGGGTTAAAAATTATCAATCCGTTTAAGCGCGGGTGGGTGCATTTTATGGTCAAAATCCACCCGACCCACCCAATGCCCACCCCTACTTTTTTCTAGTTGCTTACTGTAATATAATTAGTCTATCAAAATTTTCCTCCTTCGGATTATCTACAATTTTTTTTATAAGATGGATTATCTACAATTTGAAAAAACAAAAGAGAAGTGCAAATTGTTTATTTCTGTCCCGTTCTTCGCTCATCATTTTATTTTTACTAGTTTGAACATAAAAAAGGAGATATTTTACTTCGGATAAATGGATGTGCTTCTTTGAGCATAAAGTGACACATGCGGGACATAGTGAAGAGTTTGAAACTAAACATATGATAAATTAAGTCCATACTTATCAAAACATGACAAATTGTCACATATCGACGAGACAAACCACATAAACTCCACACAACACCAAGTCGAAATGACCATTCCAACACTCCAACATCCGTTCTCTAGTGGGTGCAATCTATGTTAAACAATAGAGCATGAATTGTAGCAAAAATTGGGGAACCTTGACCGGTGTAAAACAATCTAGTTTATCACGGCAAGGACTTTAAATCTTTGACTTAATGTTATTAGCATGACTTCTCATTAGAAAAAAACTCACATTAATTAACAACATCCTATCAGATGAATTATCTATTAATTTTGATTTTTTCCCCATCAATATCACAATCGACTAGCCCATTTTGTAGAAATTTGGGTACTAAATAGGCCAACTCATATTAGTTTATGAATATCACTGACCCACAGTGAAGTTTAGGTACTAATCCAAGCATAGTAGACAAGTTCGGTGGCCTAACTGATTATTTTGCGAAATGAAAAAGGCGCTTTAATTAGGCAGGGAGAACTGAAAGATCCATCTGAGTTTTGTTTTTGACCCGAACAAACGCAGAGAGCTCATTACGAGAAGAAAAAGCATTCGTAATCCACACTTCCAATCTCCGCCGGAGGGAAAAAGCGGCAGCGGAAAAGAATTCATTCCGATGGACGGCGGCGCGGCACCACCGAACGACACGGAGATGTCCGATGCGCAGCCGGTGGCGGCGGCAGCACCTCCCGCCGACCCGAACCAGCAGGTCCCGCCACCGGGAGGGATCGATAACATCCCGGCGACGCTCAGCCACGGTGGCCGGTTTATCCAGTACAACATCTTCGGCAACATTTTCGAGGTCACCGCCAAGTACAAGCCTCCAATCATGCCTATCGGAAAAGGCGCGTACGGAATCGTCTGGTAATAGTCTGTTCTTTTTCGCTCTTCTTTCTGATTCGGCGCGGTTCTGAGAAATTGGGCGGAATCGGTTTATGGTGTGGCGGATTTATCTTTCTTTATTCTTCAGTTCGGCTTTGAACTCGGAGACTGGGGAGCATGTGGCGATAAAGAAGATTGCCAATGCTTTCGATAACAAGATCGATGCCAAGAGGACGCTTCGCGAGATCAAGCTGCTTCGTCATATGGACCACGAAAACGTCAGTTTCCTTTCTGATTATTTTGGCTGCTGCTATTTCTTGCTCTTTTTCTTCACCGATTCCTGAAGTTATGGATTGCTCGAAGCCTCGAACTGTGTGTGATAATGAGCATCATTAGCCGGATACCCAATGGTTCTTTTGTCCTCTGTGATTTTCAGAGTAGGAATTGGGCTGCTTTCCATTAGCAGCAGCAGGCAGTTTATTAGTTGTGATTGGTTACCAAGTGATTTGAGTATCTTGTTGGGGAAGAGGGTGTCAGAAGACGTGCAAATAGTGGATAACATGGTCTGTTTTAGGCCTGCTTCTCTTAAATTCATTGCTATAAAAGTACCATTTTTGTTATTTTTGTTCGTCCTTTTGTTCTATTAGGCTCTGCTGTCCCCCCACTGATGGTTATGGCTCTTCATGCTTTGACTAAGAGGAGGACTGTAACATCATATTTGACCATGAAGATGTATTAAAATCGATGAAATATTGACTATAGAGGACATAATAATTTATAGGTTTATTGACAGGATTGGATTTATGGATTTGGCAGTCAGTTCGATGCATTTTTTTCTCTTTCTGGACAGTTGAATGATGGATAAGTTGGCTATGTTACCTCAGTCCTCTTGCTTGGATGAAATGGGAATTTAGAGTTATTATGAGAGAGCCTTATTTTAGTACTTTTTCTCAGAAAGCATTTGCATGTTTTGGTGCAGGTGGTTGCTATCAGGGATATAATTCCTCCACCTCAGAGGGAGGTATTCAATGATGTGTATATAGCATATGAATTGATGGACACTGATTTACATCAGATTATCCGGTCGAATCAAGGATTGTCAGAGGAACACTGCCAGGTTGATATCTGGCACCTTTTGGATATAAATCTAGTATTTGCTGACTCGCATTATCTTTTCAAATTCATGTCTTATAAGTAACTGCCCTCCTAGTTTGGTTTCTGTCTTTTATAGACCGAGGCTTCTTCTTTCAGATTGGCGAACTAGACTTGATTATTGATTAGACTCAAACTTAGTTTCTATAGAGATACACTTCGAACTATTGAATGCTTTGAAAGCTACTGGAGGTTTAGACAGGGGATACCCTAGATTATACGAGTTCATTGGATGTCAACTTATTGGGAAAGCTCTTACTGAAGTTTAAGGGATTTGCTGTGTCAATGCTGTGGCAAAATACATGGATTGAATCAAAACTTTAGAATCTGTGTTGAATTTAGGGTTTAGAAGAAATGAATAGTAACACAAAAGCATAAATAATTTATTATATGACGGAAAGATAAGAAATCTTAGGAATGTGAAGTATTAGTTTCACCTAAACTTAAAACAGTTCATTAATCACGTCAATTTCATACTTAAAAGGAGTGGATAGTGTCTATGCAGATGGTTAAGTTTCACCTGCATTCAGGGATGCTCTTTTATCATTTATTAAAAGGATGCTTTCCAGTAGTGTGGTATAGAGATTCCTTTTTAGATTTCTCCTTCAATTTACTTTTTGCCTTAAAAAGTTTGTAAGGCTTGGAGCTAAAGGTTTTCTAGGGGGAAAAACATCCTTGTTTCAAGAGTTCGCTTTATCGTGTGCTTTTCATTTGTAAGCAAAGCTTTATTAAGTTTGTCCTCGATATGTGGTTACTGTTTTTCTAAAGTGCAGCATTTGGTAGTGACTTGACACCAGGCAGATGTTGCCGTGTCAACATAGCATACCTAGAGGTATTTTAACTCAAGTATCAAGGGCTTAAATAAACTATGCTCCTATATCCCATTCTATAGACCTTAAGAAGACGTATGGTAATGGAGCTTGAATATTTTGATAAGATGCTGATAGGATGGAGCTAAATGTTTGATAGAGCGATGCTGTTTTCTTTTTCGTTTGGGTGGCATTATCTGAAGAATATGTAACCCACGTTTAGCTGTTCTCTAGCTTCTTTGGAGTCACACTTGGGCAATATGCCTAAAACCAAGTTCCCAGCGTTCACATGCAATCATCAAATCTTCGTTAACTTGCACAAAATTGGAAATTCTTTTAACTTCCATCCATTTTGCCTCTTTCCTCATATATGATATTCTCAAATCTCAAATGGATTGATTAACTATATTGATTTGGTACCTTAGCGTTTCCAAGAAGTTATCAAGTTCTAGTATCTGAGTGTGGTGCAACCTGGTGTTAGTGTGTATATGTGGTTTAGATCTAGTTTGGAGTAAGAGCTTGTAAAAAATTGGTACTCTTCAGTTTTGTGCAGAGGTACATTTGTCTAGGCAAATTGCCTTCTTTTATGTCATGCACCCTGTGGCGCTTGGCAGTTCCCGAACAGAGTTTATGAGACAATTTCTTGCTCTTCTAGTTTATCCTCCATGGGAAATGTCTCCCAATATTGTTATCATGACCAAAAAAGCACTCATATTGGGTGTATAATCATTATGCTAGAACCTTGATGGATAATGGTAGTTGAGTTGGTGTTTCAATGGTTTGTTAAGATCTTAAATCCCTGAAACTGTTGTTTTTCCTCCTCGCTCATTGTAATATATGTTGCCTAGTCTTTATCGTATCACTCATTTGATTGGGCACGTGGGTTACAGGTTGAAGCCTTTCACCCAATTCTTCAATTCCTAGCTAAAGTTCCTCAGTTTTTGGTTGCTTGATGTTAACTTCTTGTTTGGTTCTTAATAATTAATATATCACACTGCATCAGTCTATTCAACTTGGTCCTGTGACAAAGTAAAGTTATTTGTATGAGTATGTTTAGGTGACTACGAGCTAGTATTTGCTATGGGAATACTTAAATTTGATATCTGGTCTTAGAAATCTGTTCTATCTTATCTTGAATCTATCTTTTACTGGGGAAATTATGGTCCTTGTATTTCCCTTTTAAGATAACTGGTCTTCATATGATGTATTTGTCGTGGGAGCTATAAACTTGAATGCTTTGGTAATTTGGAAATGGCTTAGAACCACAATAATTTTGGGGGCAACATTCCTATTATCAGCAATGTTAAAAGGTGGAAGTTGTTTATTAAGATACATGTTTCCATTTTTGCAAAGCTCAAGTGTGGAATTAAACCTTTTCTTTTAATGTTTTTGCAGTATTTCTTGTACCAGATTCTTCGTGGATTGAAATACATCCATTCAGCAAACGTCCTGCACAGAGATTTAAAACCGAGCAATCTTCTCCTGAATGCAAATTGTGACTTGAAGATTTGTGACTTTGGGCTTGCTCGTGTTACCTCTGAAACTGATTTTATGACTGAGTACGTCGTTACAAGATGGTACCGAGCTCCGGAGTTGTTGCTGAACTCCTCTGACTATACTGCTGCTATTGATGTGTGGTCGGTTGGCTGTATTTTTATGGAGTTGATGGACCGGAAGCCCATGTTTCCTGGCAGAGATCATGTCCACCAGCTTCGCTTGTTAATGGAGGTAATTTGAGCTTTTGACTATCTGCTGTTGTTTAATTGCTTATTTTTCAATTTGCAGCCTTCTGCCCTTAAATGGAGGTCACATAAGCTTAGGGGTTGTTTGTTGTGGGAAATTCGCCTGTAATCTTTTTCCTGATGGAATGTGAACAATCCTTCATTTGGCAAGTACAAAATCGGGCTACTCTCGTTAGAAATCTGAAATCTCTTATCAGTAATTCCATCACTGTTTGAAATTCCAAATCTCTCTTAACGGTGATGTATTTTGAGATCCTCTCCTGACTCATATCAAACATCCAAATGATGGAATGTCTACAGTCGACTTCCATCACATTTCACTCATTTCATATTTTATGTATTGTTGGAATGTGTTCCACTTTCCGTTATTCTCAACATTCCTCCATCCGAATGACCACTTAGATGTCTGGCTTTTGTTCTTTTCTCCCCTGTTTCCGAATTGGCAACCTTTGGTACTTTGTTCTTATTATTCGTGATTGATGAGGTAGCTTCCGTCCTATTTACTGCTATTGTGATGAGTATGATTCAATCATTTGACCGTTTTGTGCACAGCTCATTGGCACGCCTACAGAGGCCGAGCTAGGCTTCTTAAATGAAAATGCAAAGAGATACATTCGACAGCTTCCTCTCTATCGGCGACAATCATTCACTGAAAAGTTTCCAACTGTGCACCCATCAGCCATTGATCTTGTAAAAAAGATGCTGACATTCGATCCCAGACAAAGAATAACAGGTGATTCATTGATCATAGAATCGATACTTGTTGTCACTTTCTTAAGTCTTAACTGTTTTTGTAATAATAACAATAACAAGGGTGATTATTTTGATTACAACAGTTGAAGACGCGCTTGCCCATCCGTACCTGAACTCTCTCCACGACATCAGCGACGAGCCAGTGTGCATGACTCCATTCAGTTTCGACTTCGAGCAGCGTGCACTGACTGAAGAACAGATGAAGGAGCTGATTTACAGGGAGGCCCTAGCATTCAACCCTGACTACGACTCTTCTTCGTCTGCCTTTGATCCGGGTGCCTTCCAATGATTCTTCTTCTCCCTTTGTATTGTTTGTTTTTCAGGTAATTCGCCCTCCTTTTTTCCAGTTTTCCCTTTTTGATTGTTGTTGTTGTTTCCCTCCGATGTACATAAAAATGTTCCCCCTTTCCCAAGCATTCAAAGGTTCATAGGAACTAGCTCACCCGCTGCCCTGAAAATATTTTTGTTGTTTGTAACATTTGTTCCCTTTTCTTTTCCCCCCTTTGCTGTGTTGATTGAATTGCTCCATCTTTGGGAATTGTATTTCGATCAAATTGCAAAACCGAACTGATCCCGATTTTTGGGATGCTCTCTCCTAGGGTTAACATCACACCATTGCTTCTACCGTGTCTCTGAAAGTGAATCATTCGACTTCCTAGTTAGCATCCTGAGTTCTTATCCTCATTCCATAAGTTAGATATCATCTGGAGTGGGTCCAGACAAGTAAACCGATTTGGTTTGTTTCGATCCCCGTATATAATCTTTGGTTAGGATGAAGAGTGTATTCTTTATAGCATGCAGTTGAATTTTGATGCATTTGAGCTAATCTCAATTGTGTGCAAGCAAATGAACCGGCGTGTCGGCTTTCGTCGACCACTGATTTTTCGGGTTCTCGTTTTTGACCCGGTTTTGATCTGTAGTTATGAATAAACCGGGTATCATTCGCCCACTCGAGCCCGTCCTTTGACATGGACTAAGTAGGGCAGGCGTCATTCAGTTCGTTAGCAATTTGTGTAGGACAATAACTAGGGAAGAAGCTTGGCCCCGCCATTGTTGCAGTTAGCACACTTGTGTGGGAACTCACTTGTGGTAGTAGTGTTTGTGAAGTACTTCCCTCCCGGCCGAAAACTCCCTTTGACAGCCAAATCGTTTGCAGCCGTTCCTTATTTTCCCCAACCCCATCTCTCCTTTTCAGCTTTCCTCCTTTTGGCCTTTGCTTCTAACTGACTGTCCAATAGTGGCATGTGTTTGGTGTGTATTTGATTTAGTGAATAGCATGTAATTGATATCCCTATGTACCCTTCTTTCTTGACAAGTAAGATTCCTTTTTCTTCCGACCCCAATAAGAGAAACCTATTTCGTTACAAAAGTGGAGCGACGATAATACTAATTAGAATCCGGTCCACAGGTTAACGTATTTGTCAATCCAACCGTGAATTCAATCATGGGGGTGTAGGTGTACCCATTTTTATTCCAATTTATGGGGGTTGTCATGTTGTCTTTAATAAGAGCCAATGCATGTGAGAATGGGATGAAGGGGAACTTGAGTTGAGAATTAAAAATTGGAATGCATCCAAAGGCCATGAAGTAGAAATGCCAAGGATGAAGGGGAACTTGAGTTGAGAATTAAAAATTGGAAAGATCTTTATGGAAATGAACTAACTAATCAAAATCTACAGAGATGGACCAAAAAAGATAACGTGGGCACAACCACTATGGCGAAGAAAAATAAGACTGGTTGTGTTTGATTACATTCTTTTCGTTTTTTCCCCCCCAATCCAACGAATGAGAACACAGAAAACAGGCAATTAGAAATTCTTGTTGAAATTAATTATAAAATAAGTTAGATGGAAACAGGACGACAATGATAGCATTCATACAAAGTCCAACCTGGGGAGCACGCAAGTGGTTTGCATGAAACATGACAATAATTATATTGGTGTAGTTGCGGGTTATAATTATAAACATATGGCAAGTTTCGGCGCGTTTTTTTCGGACAAAATGAATACCAAGCATGATTGAATCATCAACACCATCTCTTTATTTGAACTCTGACAACTAATTTACGCCGAATTCCTTCTCAAGTAGATTTCGAGCCCCGATTCATCACTCGTCGAATCCAACGATCAGTCCACCTATTGAACTTGTATTTTTCACAACCGTGTTTTATCCGCTCCTAAATACCTCTATTCAACCACCCTATGTTTTCTATCATCTTCCTAAATCATCGTCTACTATTATCCACCTTGATCTCTCGCATCAAGACTAACATAGGATTTGATCAATTGAACAAATTATATTTGTATTAGAAAGATGAGCTTTATTTTCGTCTTTACGCAAAGAAATGGAATCAATCAAAAGGGGAGAAAATGGAAGAAAGGTGCAGCCAGCCAAAGCCAAGTGAGAAAGGACCAAAACCTTCTTCTTCTGTGTTGGTTCGGCCGTCGGCGTGAATGATGCCTACGCGGTTGCCGTAGAATAATTAAACAATTAACAATGAGTTACCGCGTCTGTGATTTAGCAGCCCTTCCTGCGGCCTGACTTCTTTGCAACTATCCTTTTCTGCAGAATAATAAGCCGGTTCTTGTCCATTTTCAATGATTACAACCAATTAGTCATAATAATGCCTATCACTAATTAGCTTGCGATGGAATCTTTTCCATTCCCTTGGAGTTGGGTAAGAAGCAAGAAGTGCATTCAAGATGCCTGTGGAATGAACGACGATGGTATTACCCCAAGACATCAATGCAATCATTTTGTGTGAGAAAGATTTCGTAGTAATGCGGTTTATGCTCAATGCGTCTGTACGATCGTCGTGAGTTACGCTCGAGTTGTTATGATGGCTTGCTTTGTTTGTTGTTTTCATGTGTCTTCAGTTAAAGTCCACGAACTTGTGAAATGAGGTCGTCGATCTACAAGAGAAAACGAGCAGTAAGAGACGGAATAAAGAAGTTCTAAGAGAGTATAGGCCTATAGGGTGATAGTAATGAGATCGGTCTATGACACTTGTCTCTTACATTTTATCTGTATTCTCATTTCAAAATCGCAAACACGTAGAATGTATGTTGCTCACCTACGTAGGCGTTCAACTTCTGTGTAACCTCTTAGATCGTAGACACAGACATATATTCTCATATTTAGTCGGTTTGATTTCACTTCTCATATGATAACTGATGAAAGAATTCGAGTATCAAATGGAATTTTTAGCGATTTATTTAAGAGGCAAACAAATCGGTTGAGCGGATGTCTCATAACATGGTTTAGATGTTTTTTTTTTTCAGACAATACAGCTGCTTTCATTCATAGTAACATAGATCAGTAGGATTATCATCTTTTTTCTACCAAAAATAGAAATATCATCTTTGAGTGTAATGTACGAATTAGCTAATTATTTAAATCCCATTTTTACTCGAAGAAGAAAAAATTACCACCACAAATCGCGTAATCCGCAGCAAATTGAGGCGTCGAATGACGGAACTACCCTCCACCTCAGCCCACAGCCAACCACTCTGCAACTTCCATTATTTCCCTCCCAATTCATTTCCTCTCTCTATTTATCTCCACTGAAACACTCTGACAGAGAGAGAACCCCAAAAGAACACAGCGAAACCGAAGGAAAAAAAAAAGGACCCAAAAAATGACGGAAGGAGGGACGACCTTGGAGTTCACTCCGACATGGATCGTCGCCGTCGTCTGCACATTCATCGTCGTCATCTCCCTCGCCGTCGAGCGGCTCCTCCACTACCTCGGCAAGGCAAGTTCTTCATTTTCATAACTTCTTCCCCCCAAAAGGGGAAACGAAATGAAACGAAACGAAAAGCCGTTCTTCATTCTGATTAGGTTCCCTCTTTTAATCACGCTCCAGTTGATGAAGCGGAAGAACCAGAAGCCGCTGTTCGAAGCCCTGCAGAAGATCAAAGAAGGCAAACTTCCTGATTTCCCTCTCTCTCTCTTTCTGAGTTCGAGATTTGTAATTCTGACGGTTCTGAATTTTTGCTTTTGTGGGGGTGCAGAATTGATGCTTTTGGGGTTTATTTCCCTGCTGCTGACGGTGTTTCAGAACAGAATCAACTCCATGTGCATACCCGAGCACTTGACCGAGGAATGGCTGCCGTGCAAAAAGGAAGATGAGTCGGAATCGGCGGCGGCGACGAAGCATTTCGTGGCCTCTTCGTTCTCTTTCTTCGCCGGCGGCGGCGGGGGGAGCCGTCGCCTTCTGGCGGAGGCCGCTGGGAACAGCTGCAAAGAGGTATACGCGCAGAACAATTATTAATTACTAGTAGTTTCCTTAATTAATTTTTTTGGACCGTAAATTCTGGGAATTGGGATGAATTTTTGGCTAGTAGCTGACCCAGATCCTTGATTATTTATCGCCAATCTATTTTTATATTGAATTTTTTTGGTCGATTGGATTATTTATCAGTGCATAATACACATTGTAATAGTTTAGTGATTACTGAAAATTGGACAGGGTAAGGTGCCAATCCTGTCGACAACAGCATTGCACCATCTACACATATTCATCTTCGTGCTGGCCTGCGTCCATGTCGCTTTCTCAGCTCTCACCATTCTTTTTGGGAGCGCAAAGGTAAAGAAAGATTCTCATCAGAATAATGTTGTGTCACCTCTTTTAGTGCTTCTTCCCTAGTATGTTCTATATTGATGGTGGTGATGATGGTGATGGTGACTTTTTCCTGAAAAACATTCTGGTATGTTTTTTTGGTAATGCCAGATAAGGCAGTGGAAGCATTGGGAAGATGCTGTCTCAAAGCAAGATTTGGACCCTGAAAATGGTAAGTAATTAATTCACTCATCTCCCCGTTGTAACTTTTGAATTAGGGGTAGACTTGGGACTAAAATTGGCTAGAAGGTCTATTTGGACTCCCTGAACCTTTCATTTTGGTTGGCTTTGTACTTGAGCTCTGAATTTGTGGTATTCCGGTATATGAACGGTTACTTCTGGATCATCCCAATTAAGATAGGTTAACATGGAAACACCTGTAGTTTAAACAAGAGTCAAAGGAACCTTCTTGCCATTAGCAGTGTGTCTATGATATGATGACTTCAACTTGAAGCACAAGGAGGGGGGGAATAGAAGCTGTTCTAAACGAAGAATCAGTTTGTCACGGTAGTGTTGCTTATTGGGTCTTTCCTTTGTCAGCAAAAGGTGGTAGACTGATCCATGTCCAAGATCATGATTTCATCAAGAACCGGTTTCAAGGAATGGGGAGGAACTCTTACATTTTTGGTTTGGTGGTATGTCCCTTAAATGCTGCAATCTCTAGTACATGCAAACTGCAAATGAGAAAATCTGTTTTGAGGATCGAAAACAAATATACAAGACTTGAGCTTTTGTAGGATTCATTTGACGACACCTCCATTCTTGACATTATTGTGTGTTGCAGCATTCATTTTTCAAGCAATTCTATGGATCGGTTAGCAAATCTGATTACATCACATTGCGGGCAGGTTTCATCATGGTGGGTTCTACCTATTTCTCTTACGACACCTTCATTTTCACTTTATTTTTTTGTGTGACCAGTAATTTTTCCCCCCGATTACTGAACTTCTCTTATTGTTCTGAAACAAAACCTCTTGGCAGACTCACTGCAGGGGAAGTCCGAAGTTCAATTTCCACAAGTACATGATGCGAGCGCTCGAAGCTGACTTCAAGAAGGTCGTTGGTATCAGGTGTGGTTGCTGAATACTATATCTTAACTACATTCATTAGCTAGCTTCTAACTGGAGCTGTGAGACCGTCAGCTTTATCATTTACGTGGTTTTTGGTTCTGCAGTTGGTATCTTTGGATCTTTGTCGTTATCTTCTTGTTACTGAATGTGGCTGGTGAGTGAGACTTCGAAGCATATTTTCAGCTTTTGTTGAGATAATATGAGGCTCATGCTGAGTGCTGACACAATTTTCACATTCCATTCTGCAGGATGGCATGCATACTTCTGGATAGCTTTCGTTCCCTTCGGTGTAAGTCCTCAACTGTTAACTAAAACTTCCCTTTGGCATCTGATTTGTTCTTTGCATATCTTTAATTTTGCTATAGTCCAAGCAGGCAGCAGCACCTGAGGAGCTGCTGGCTCCTTTGGTTTTATGCAAGGGATCTCTCCGTTGTATTGATGTTAGGTCTTTGTTTGTGCAGCTTCTACTAGCAGTCGGTACCAAGTTAGAGCACATCATAACCAAACTGGCCCATGAAGTAGCTGAGAAACATGTAGCTGTGACTGGAGATTTAGTGGTTCAGCCTTCTGATGATCTCTTCTGGTTCCATAAACCTAAGCTTGTTCTGTTCCTCATCCATATCATCCTCTTCCAGAACTCCTTTGAACTTGCATTTATCTTCTTCATATGGGTGAGTGAGCAACTGAACATAGAATCATTCATGGACCGATCTCTATTTTTTTTATTTTCATGGATTGATCTCTTTCAATATTTTCATCATCATTATATTAAAAAGGACTTCAAAATTGCAGCTTCAATACAAGTTCGATTCCTGCATAATGGGGAAAGTTGGTTACATCATTCCCAGACTCATTTTAGGGTAAGATTACTTTCTTTCAATTGTTCATTCATATGTAACTAAACCAATCACAATTTTATGGTGTGAAAAAAGTCTCATATGTAACTTTGGTTGAATCTCATCTCTCACATTCCAGGGCATTTGTACAGTTTGTCTGCAGCTATAGCACTCTTCCACTCTATGCCCTGGTGACACAGGTAATCTCATTTCTTTCTCACTTCAGTCCAAGCTTTTCTATGAGAACGACCCGAAAAACCTTAATTGGCATTCAATACCCTGTGATCAATTCTTTACAACTTCACCATTCCATGAAAAACTCAACCAAAAGCAAATTGTGCTGTTTAACATGAACAGATGGGAAGTCAATTCAACAAGGCGGTATTCGAAGAGCACGTTCAAGTGGGACTGGTCGGTTGGGCGAAGCAGGCCAAGAAGAACACCGTTCTAAGGAAGGCTGCTGCTAATGGTGAATCGTCTACTACCCATCATGCTGCTGGACACAGCGAAGATTCTTCTTCTCCTCCTCCTCGCCCTGCTCCTCTGGCAGCCGCCTTCCAAATGGCGAAACTGGCGAAGAAAGAGAACAGCAGCAGTAATGGAGATCAAGGCGGGGAGATTGTTGGTTATGACAGTGGAACTGCAACTGCAGCAGCTTCTTCCCATGGACCTCATAAGAGCAGCTGAACCACAATGTCAAGAAAAAGCTGCCTTCTTTTTTGTAAATCCATGGTGACTTGTAACTCTTTACAGACAGTTAGATCTATACTCGAAGTTTGACTTTGCAGAACACGGTCATGTTGTCGAATAGGCTTATAGTGTATTGTTAAGCTTATTGCAGTGTATCAGTATTTTCCTTTTTTGGTATAGTTACACCTTATGGCGCAATTACTCCATCTCCAGCAGAATGTTGCTTTAGTGTGAAGGAGTTGAACGCTAAGGCCGACATTACCGCCATTCGTCGCCGGCAACGGCGTCGTTTCCTCTGCATGATTGGATAACGATAATCTATTGTACGTTCACAGGCAAACAGCGCCGCGTGTAAAAGAAAGCTCTAAGTACGTGGAGGACTAATGGAGTTCCGTCCCTTATTCTATTGTAAACCAAAACGTGTCACTTCCCCAGCTGCGGCGGTGGCAGAGTCGCCCACTAGCGCCCATTCTATAAAAGAAGTCGACGAAACCACCTTCTCTTCAGTCCATTTTCGCGCCATCTTCACACAGCAATCTAATCTCTACAGACATCATGAACACCCAACTAGATCGCCCGCATTACGACCATCAGCAGCACCACCACGAGCTGGAGCCTCACGATGCCGGCGTCCTCCACACTACTACTGGTAAAGAACCAACCAGAAGCTCTGTTTCCCTATCAAGTATTGATCTTATTTGTTTATGGGTTTACTGTTAATTTTTTTTAGGGGCGGAAGGCAGCACCGGCGAGGAGCATCACCACCACGGCGGGGTGAAATCGGTGCTGAAGAAGGTCAAGCAGAAGGCGAAGAAAGTGAAGGACACTCTGAAAGTACACGGTCATCACGATCACCACAATACCCCCGACGATCATGATCTCGACGAGGAAGAAGACGATGACGTTGACGAGGAAATGATCCAAGATCCGGCCATCCATGGAGCATCAGGTGCGTATAATCTTCGCTTCCCCCAATTTCGAAAAACCAAATACTCTGCCATTAACACGATCCAATTGTTCGGTGGGTTTTTTCTGTATATGAAGCTACAGTCGCGGCGGGTCTCGGAAGCGGGGTGGCCGGGAAGTCGTCAATGCAACCGGATTACTACGACGGCGGTTACTCCGCGGCGGATCCGATGAAGATGACCCCTTCGGAGGCAACAGGGGAAAACAGGGGAGGCCCTTTGGAGGCAGGGGAAAACAGGGGAGGACAGGGGAGGAAGCTTGCTGATATAAAGGAAGAGCCTTTTTCTCCGTTCAATAGTCCCGTTACCATAAGTACTACTCCAATGAAGACTGAGCATCCCAAAGCTACTGAACCAGCTGCAAGGGCTTTCGTTGCACGGCGAGAGGAGGACAGAGGCCACCCTCAAATCACCATGGATGAAGTAATTACTGGTGGCTTAGAACAGGATCCTCATGCCCCAAAGGGTAGCTCAGGCCCCGTTTCTTCCCCTTCCAATCACCAGACTAAAACCTTCGATCGAACCGACGCCGGTAAGTAAAATCGTAAGGTTTTAAACTTTAAAGCGCGTTCTTAACTACGTTAAGAAACTGCGGTTTGTGCATAGAAGTTTAAGTTATTAGACTTTAAACCGCAATTTTAACTACACTGATCCTCAGGAGGCGAGGAAGCGGGGATTCCCTTGACCGTGCTTGAATCGTTGGAGAAAGCTCATATCTCGGACGAAGGAAGGAATGAGGATCATGGTTTACGAAGGAGAACCCGTGATGACGTGGCATCCGCTCTGCCCACCGGAAGCCACAACCAGTTCTCGCCGGAGGGAACTCGTCCGCAGCCGATCAGCAACTTCGAGAGTGCCAAACACGAAGATAAACTGAGCGGCGGGACGGATCACAATCAGAGCAGCTATTCCGACAAAATCTCATCGGCTACCGCCGCGATTGCCGACAAGGCGATCTCCGCCAAAAACGTTGTCGCATCGAAGCTGGGATACGGCAGCAACACCACAGGGGAGCAGCGCCACCACCAGCCGGACGCTGGAGCAGCTTCCAATTTGGCATCTCCGGTGGAATACGGGAAGAAAGTTGCGGCGACGGTGACGGAGAAGCTGACTCCCGTCTACGAGACGGTCACCTCGACGGTGGCCTCGGCGGGGAACACGGTGATGGCCAAAGTTCACGGCGGAGGCGGTGGTGCGAGGGACGTCGTCGTGGCGGAATCGGAAGGTGAACGGAAGGGGCAGCAGGACAAGGGGGTTTCGGTGAAGGACTATCTGGTGGAGAAATTGAAGCCGACGGAGGACGACAAGGCGCTTTCGGATGCGATCTCCGAATCGCTGCCGTGGCGGCGGAAGGCGGATAATGCTGGTGAAGAAGAAAGCAAGCCGATGGGGAGAGTGACGGAGACGGAGGAAGTGAAGATGCGGCTGGGTGAAACTGCCGACGACGATAGGAAAAGGGAGGAGGCGGCGGCGGCGGTGGAGGATAGCTCTGCAAGCGTTCTTGAAGTCGGCGGCGTTGCCGGAAAACTGAAGGGAGCCGTCGAGTCGTGGTTCGGGAAAGGACAGCAACAGCAGCAGCATCCACCACCGTCTTTTGGCGATCAGTCGATTGGTTCCACCACCGGTAACTAAAAATCTAGAAGACAGACTCGAGATCCTGATGAAGATGCTGATGTAATGTAAACTGGAACAGAGAACAAAATCCCAGTCTTAATAAAATAAGTTTTTCAGTTCTTTACTTTTCTTGTTGTACCAAGAGAAGTAGGCAGCTGATAAATGAGAAAACTGAGTCTTCAATCCAACACGGTGACAACGAACCAACTGGCATAACACTGAAGCACAGCCTGAAATGGACATTTTTTAGCTTGTAGTGAAGTAAGCAATGCACAGCAACTGACAAAAGGGGAAACCAAATTATCACACAGGAACACTGAGAACTTTCCCAGGAAAAGCCACAAACCAGCCTCTCCTGAGGAAGAACAAACATTGTTTTCTACACTTGGCATTTGTAACACATATAAGTTCAGTTTCCTGACGATAACTGTAACTCAATCTCACTATGATAGCGATCTGACACACAAAAGTTTTAAACCAACTCCAAAACAGCTGGGGAGCACGAGGCTGAGTGATGCAGGGAAGAGAGGCCGAGCAGCTTCAATACTCTTCGGCAGCGCTGGCAGCACTCAAATCCACGCTCAGGTCAAGATTCTGCAGAAAGGAGAACAAACACATGAGAAACTAGATTATGATGAGGTCTGACAGGTTTGACAAAAGTTGACAGAGATAAGAAGTTTGTTTATTACCTTTCCAGTTATCATTGTGTACATGTTAAGGACATCAGTGACGGTCGATTCGAAGTGTGTCGTGGCATCATAACTCTGTTCAAAATAATATGAAATAGAGAGCTATTAGGACACAGAGGTAGGGAGGTGAAGAAGCATAAGGTGACCAACTGAACGGAAGATGATACTCACTGCAGATATGAAACAATTGTCCAGAGATGGCTCGTTGACTGGTTCGTATCTATCGTAGTTCTCGAAGAATATTTCATCAACTGGACCAAGAAGGTCAATCCCTGGCTTCAACTCCACCTGTGGGTTATCTGTCTCAGCCTCAGTTGATACGAAGGCGATGAATTTCCCCTTTGGAGCAACATTGTGCGAGTAAGAGCAGCAGAAAAGGTACCTGCTCAACCAGACAGAAGAATAGCATAATCAGCCTAGAGTAAAAAATAAGAAGCATCCTTCGCATGTAGTCCTAACACTATTGGTCAGGGAAGCTGATGTTTCCTTTTCACCTAAACAGACTCCATAGCTCTAAAACAGTTACTTGGTCAGAAAATAATTAAATGGAAAATGATCAGAAGTATATAGCTTACATGTCTGATTTGCGACCCAACTGCTTTTGTGGAAGAATAACCTGCACTGAGTGAGAGTCATTGGTGTTGGGAATTGGGTGGCTCATGATGGCAATTGCCCTGGCAACTTTCCCGACCTTCCTAACCTGTTCATTTCCACATAGATTTCAGTAAATACTAAAGTGGAAATACAAGTCCAAAGCAAAAAAAACTATACATGTCCATATACTCATTAGCCCCGTAGAAATAAGTTACCTTTCCTGGCAAGTAGGACGGATCACAAACCACTTTCTTGCACTTAGCAGTTTCTCCTTCTGAGGTGACGCCAACAACTTTGCCTTCACCATCGAACTCTACCTGAAACACCAGCCATCCAGTCACATTTTGCCAATGGGAAAAAAGGTACAGGTATCATTTTGATATCTAAGTTTAGGTCACAGAGTCCAACACGTGATTGAGTACCTTGCATTCAGGTTTGTTCAACATATATGTGCCACCATAGACTGCACTCAGCCGTGCAAATGCCTGACATGATATTTTTAGAAAGGTAAGCCCGAGTTACATTGGGAGATCTTGGCTTCATACTGTAAGTAAAAGCAAAGCAGCAAAAGAAGGGAGAGAGAGGGAGAACAAAAAAGAGAGTGATTGGATTAATGTGAACCTGTGGCAACTCTCCTAATCCATACAAGGGGTAAATATAAGGGGATCCGCCTTGAAAACGAGCAAGAGACTCGGCATACAGCTGGAACAAGTGAGGATGTTATCACTTAATGCATAACAAATAATAAAATATACAAAATAGAACTTAAGTTGAATGACCACCAGAAACCCAGAAATTTATACCTTCATTCTCTTCACTGTATCTATAGCAGGTTCATTAAGATATCGATCGTCTCTATGCAGCGCCAAAGCATGACCAATGAAGTCTATGGTATTATCATCAAGACCATATTTCCTGGCAACATCCCAAACAGCCAATAAGGAAGGAGGACACTCATGTATTTGGTAACATAAGTCGGGATAAGTATCACACTGGAACTAAATGAAAGAAAAGTCCATGGCTCTATTCAAAAACTATTTTACTCCTCCTACCACAAGTGAAGTTAGAGTACTCCATAACGTATTACTAAACCTCCAAAGAAACCTAATTTCCTTGTATCCACTTAAAGTTTCAGCTGCTACTACTTGAAGTAACAGCACACTAAAACGAAGTCAGGAAACAAACTGAAGCTAGATATGCTAATTTAGTATGCTTTCATCCTAAAACTAAAAAGGCTTTCAACCATTAGACCACAACTAACAAGCATCAAAAGCAGCATTTACTGGATCATGCAAATGCTTTCTCTCTCTCCCTTTCTCTCTCATCAAAGTGAAAGGAACAACATACGCAATCAATTCTTTGGTGGTCACTCTAGTCAAGTCCAGCCCTTCGTGTGTTTTGGGATCAGATTCATTATAATCTTGGACATAAATGAAAAACTTGCGAGCTCGACGCTTTTCAAAGATACCCATCAAGGGAGACTTCAATGCCTCCATGTCAGTTGCTGGCACCTTGTGAACCTATTAGAACCATTTCAAAATAAATAAAAAAACCTCTAGAGTCATTTCTGTAACCAGAGAGAGGGGAAAAAATGCTCTCCTGGCAAACACCATGAAAGATCAGCAATATGATTGTACCTTTTGTTTGTTATAGACAAAACCACCATCCACAGCTTTGAAGGACAGATACTTTGTGACATCAGTGTGAATGAGTACTCGTACAAGAACACCATTAGCCATCATAAACTACAACACCAAAAGGGAACCATCATGGATAAGTTGAAACAGACAATCAAACATCCAGTTAACCAGAAGTGCAGTTATCGGAAGGAAGTAAACCTTGGGGATCATGTCCACATTATAATCCCTACTTGAGCCTAAGCTTGCTGGAGGTGCATCAGCTCCCCTGAACCTCTTCCAGAGCTGTTAACAAATAGCTAGTGAATATTCTGTTGCGTACAAGGAATTGCAAATAAGAAATCATTCTTGATCAACTAGGACCTGAATAAGGTTAAGGGATGCAGATTCTCCTCCGTAATAGTCGTTCCTATCCATATGCAGGACCTGACATGAAGTAGGCACATATAATTAGGCTTGTAGGGATTTGGACAAAAACGGGTTGAGTAACTGACACATAAAGCCATCGCGCATGCATATACAACAGATCCAGCAAACTCATCATGAACCGCTTTTTCTGGTTCAAAACCAACATTACATGCCAAAACCCAATCCAGTAGCATCAGCAAATGAGACAGAATAAAGCATTCTCTTATTTGGCATAGACTGTCCCACAAGCTATCCAATGGCTTCAATGTCCAGAGTAATGCTGAAACAACAAAGTGATTCCATTTCCCCACTCTAGCAATCAGAAACCTAAGACTGCATAAACAATGAAGCCAATTTTGTAGCAGCATCCTAAGGCAGTGTGAATAAGCACATATGCTAATGATCTAGAGTGACAAGAAACTCTATAGGGTAACTAATCTGAGCTCCAACACTGCCATTCATTTTCCACCTATATCAATGATATGGATGCTAACATTTACGCTTCAGCCATCCAAACCCCACACTAGAACAAGCAACTCTATAAGGTAGCTAATCTGAGCTCCATTCACTGCCAATTTCCACCTATACCAATGATTTGGCTGCTAAAAGACTCGGGCTTCAGCCATCCAAATCCCACACTAGCACAGATCAGAGGTGAATTGACTCGGAAGAACTTCAAACAATCAGCTAAAGAGTACAGTTTTGACAACCAAACGAAATTCAGAACCCCTTTAGATTCAAGATCGTCCATTCCGGTCCACCCCTCAAATTTTACAATCAAATCTTAGATACCGAGTTGGAATCAATAGAAACCCATCCGTATTTTAAACAACCAAATAAGAAAACCATTATCGGATGACTAAACGAACACATCAAGCAAACGGTATGCGACAAGACGAAGATGAAGAAGAAGGCGACCTTGAGGCCATCGACGGAGAGAAGGCCGCTGAGAATGCATTCTTTGAGACCAGTTCCCAGCACGATCACGTCGTACTCTTCATCCATGATTGCGAGCTGAAAGGCTTGTGAATCGAGATCAAAACAAGTAAACGGGGCAAGGAACTAAAATCCGTTGGATTTTTATTAGGGTTCGGTCAATAAATAGAAAGCACGATGGATGTGGATGACACCGCGAGAAGAGAGAGTGACGAATGGAGAAAAGCTAAAATATTTATTTTATTAGGAGCATAAATGATGAAGGAAGGAAGGTATTAGATGCTTTAATTTCCATTTCTTGGCTGTTAATGCAAAAAGATTCTATAAAAAAAAAAAGCAAACTTCCCAAATTATTTTATTCCATAATGATGGTGGAATTTTTTCAATGATCACTAACTTTAAAATCTTATTGGTTTTGAAAATTGGATAGTATATAAGTCATATTTGTAGCTCATTGTTTATCTTATTTCCGGTATTTATGTTTAATTTAGGTTGTTTAATGTCGATTGATAAGAAAATGTATCTATTTAATCACATTCACTTATTATTTATGAGCCAGAAAAGTATAATGTTTGCTCGTAATCATAATATGACTAAACGTTGATAGAAAGATTAATCCTTTTTTTCAGAAATAGGATGTGAAAGGTTGCTCTAATTTGTATTATAAGATGGTGTATTTGATCCAAAGTATATGGTAGTTTGTCTAATATCAAAGTCCTTGATCATTAGAATCAATACATGTGATTTAATGTGATTGCTTCCAGACTTAAAAGTATTCTTGTAAGTATAGTATCTTACTAGGATATGTCTACAAATCATGCTGTCTGTCAAGCAATGAAGTGTATTAATCTGACCATCCATATATGCCTAATCACATTGCTCGTCTAATAATCGTGTAACAACACTAACTTCGACCTTGGAGTCAGAATTGAGTCTATTCCCTGAGCTTGCCCGCCGGCGACGTTACGGCGAGCATTGATATTATGCATACAATCTCATTATATCATATTGCAGTGTAAATATACTAGAGAATTCATTCCATAGAACTGTCTCATACTGTATTACTTTCTCTTTTGTTTTCATTTCACCTAGCACATGTTACCGTATAAATGTGATGGATCAAAAGTTGTTTGTCTAGTACACCTTACATGATAACGTGCAAGGGGGCACAAATAACATGAACATCGAGCACGGCGCCCTTGATCTTTCGAGACGACTGACATGATCCTGCATTTACCATGCAAATGCTGGCAAGACGTAGGAAGGGTAAGCGTCGTACTTCGACGCAAGGGCTTTCACAGATGATAGATCTGCCACATCGTCAAATGCTCCGAGACCCAGTTCAGAGGCATGAATCCCTCCAGTCACGAAAACTGACTGGATCCCAGCTGCATTGGCTCCCCTGATGTCATGGTGAAGAGAATCCCCTACTGCGATCGATTCGGATGCACAAATTCCAGCCATGTCCATCGCTGACTGGTAAATTATCTGGTCATAAGAGAAGTAGAGAACGAATGATCGCATTACTATCTACATTCATCATCGTAATGAGAAATGGGATGTTGGGGGGAAGAGCATGGTGACAAAAGCTGATGGAATTTGTGACCTTATCTGGCTTTCCCATCCACTTCACCTCTCCTCCAAGCTTCTCATACTTGGCAGCCAATGTACCTGAAGTTAGCATTCAAGGAAAGTCAAATTGCTAAAATCTGTACCATAATGGTTTCATTAGTTAGCTGAACAGCGTATCAAATTGGTAGTAGGGAATCTCTGGTGAACAGGACCTTGATGAAATTTTAGCCTATGAATCCATTAGAGAAGATTAGGAGGAAAGCACAAACGAATAAGGGGATAGGAGTTACCTACCAGGCATCACCCGGAGGGCCCTTGCTTCAACCGTTACAAAATCTGGATTTGCTACTACCATTGGTAGTTTTCGAGCAGCACAGTGCTCCAACATTTTCTCAAGCTCCTCGAGAGTTGCAGGAGAAGTGGCTCCAGAAGAACTCCCCAAGGCTTCAGTGCCATGTGCTAAGACAAACTCAGCTTCTTCGGCACTGTCCACAACCTGCAATCCTAGGCCCTGGTCGTAGGCAAGGAGGATTATCATTTCAAACCATCAATTATGAACCATAAGCACAACTACTTGAATGTGAATAAACGAATGAGCATATTTATCCGAACAATCATAGTTCATAGTGGAAGTTACTTATTGTGAAGATTACATGGGATTAAGGATGTCACACAAACCTCGAGAGATATGGCTCCACGGTCACTCCAGGTGATATGAATGCATGACTTTCCTAGGGCTGCAAACCAACCATCATCTCTCCTACATGCCATAACATTACAGGTGGATTTCAAGGCAAGGACTAAATACTAGCTCAACAAAAGCAATATGTAGTTGTTTAAGCACTGAAACTGTACAAGAGTCAATCACAGCAGAGGGCATCAAAGAGAGATCTAGTCGACCAGATACGTATTGGGTTGGTAATAACAACACCGCGTAATAGAAGCCGAATAACAAAAACTCAAGATCTCAGTCACAAATCATGAACTCATATTCGCATTGATCATGATTCATGACTAAGGAGTAATGACCAGCGCTGAACATTTCAAACCAATTGCTTTGACAACCAAAGGGATAGAAACCGATTGGCTAACTAACCTTTGCAGGTGTTGATATGTCAACTCTCCACTAGTGATGGCTCCAGCGAATAGAGATGTGTCGAATCCCAGTGCCTTCATCTTGTCCATAGTAACCGACGCACGACGTGAGGAGTTGCTTATGATCACCATTTTCGCACCCGTCGTTGCCAACTTGTTCACTGCCAATCATACACAAAAATCCGCATCACCAACCCGAGAAAGACAACCATAAGCAGCTGCATTAAATGCTAATGGGAAGACAAAATTCAGATAGACCTCAATAGCTCAAAGGATAAAGCCATACAAGTAGCAATAGCACCAGGATAAGGCTGCTTCCCATCGTGAAGAACACCGAATTGATCCAGGAACCATGCCTGCTCAAACAATAGCAATGCCAGGATTAAAATTCATCAAGTAATTTCTAATTGCCGTTATCAATCGACACTGCTAGCTAGCTACTACCGCCAGATGGAAAGAAAAATGGCAGGGGAAGACCTCCATTAACGACGGCCTATGAGATTCAAGTAATGTAGAAACTGAACCAGGCAATCGGATGGAATTATGCCAAGAATGAACCAGAGGTTCCAAGAATTGAATCGCGAATTGAACCAGATGGTGTAAATAATCTACAGCCTACATTTCTCCGCATTTTCTCGGAGAAAGCATTTCCGCGGGAAATTATGCTATGAAATGAAAAAAGGGAAGGGAGGAATCGGAGATGATTGAATCTCCATTGAAAGAGAAGAAAGAACCTTGAAGCGGCGAGTTTCAGCGAGGTGCTGGAGGCCGTGGAGGACCTGGAAGAGCTGCGCGTCGCCGCCGGGCTTAACTGAAGACGGAGCCGCCATTTTCCGCCGAATCCAACTCTTCTCCGATTGGTGAACTGGGTAGTTAGTTGTTAGTTGTTGTTACCCGTCTCTCCCTCGCTGCACCGAATGGACTTGGGCCGGCCTTCAAGTTGGCGGGGCAAAGGAGCCGAGGCCCATGGAAGCTTTTTGGGCATCTGTCCAAAGCCCAAATGCAATATGCCAAGATAATTTTAAACAGAAAAATGGAGAAAATTCAGGGATATGCATATAGGGAAAATCTTATCCAGAAGGCTATCCAATGAACATGCAGCATCACACACATCTTACCTTCCCCAATCAAAAGGAAAAACAGAAACTCATAAAACCACATGACACGTGTGCATTGTAAGCAGACTTTAGTGGGTTGAGACTTGAGAGGAAGAAGCGCCTTTGATGGTGATGATGGTTCGTTCTCTAATGGCGACAGCAGCACCAAATTCGTCGGCCGCTGCCATTAGCATTAGCAACGGCGGTAATCACAATGCTGCTGCGGCTACTCCACCGCTGCCCTCACAATCACAAGTGGTAGTACCTCAGTCGTCCCGCCACAGCTCGATCACTCGTAGGTTCGTTTCGTAATTCGCTTGTAACACCTGCTTCGTATTAACATTAGGACGACCTCAAAGTTATAGTTGTGAGCTTCGATTTAGTGTTAAATGAATTTCGGAGTTTGCTAAGAGTTTTTTCAAGAGCATAATGATGATGATATTAATTAGCAAGTGACCGTTAATGATTGCAATTAGTTGGTGTTGATTGATGTGCAGGTCTATGGGCTTGAGTTTGATGGGTGGGCTAGTGGGCCTGAAGTTTGTTTTGCCGGAGGGAGCCGATGCTGCGGCGAGAAGGCCTCCGCCGTCGCCGCCGGCGGAGAAGAAGGACCCGAACATCAGCGGCGTCCAAGCGAAAATATTGGCTAGCAAGAAGCGAAAGGAAGCCATGAAGGATTTGGTGTCGAAGTTGAGAGAGCAAGGAAAAGGCTTAGAATAGAAGAGAGCCTAATTATAACTGGATTTTGTACAACTTCCATCATTTGTTATCGGGTTATTGATGATTACCTAGCTACATATATATATATATAAGAGACTATTGAGTATGCATTTTACAATCGATTCTTTATAGTGCTTGTTACTCTATTGCTTTCAAAATATGAAAAAACTTATAACTAGCAATCGGGCTTCAATTTGTAGATTGTGGCCGCGAGACAGATTGATCTAATTCATTTCGAAACTGAACAACGTAGGTCTTATCAGATATTTCGTTCAAACAATAGTATTCAACCTAATTGATGATTATAGTTGAGAACAACTACAACTCTTGTAATTATAATTAGTCACAACGAGTGCCCTTAATAGATTAAAGAAACTAAATCATTGTCCATTGAAGCTAAACTCGTACTAGTGACCTAATAATTTAACTATAAACCATTAATTAAACCAATCTGGCCAAATTTGAACATCTCCTTCTCCCCTGAAAAAGTGAAAAAAAAAACCCTAAAATATTCCATAATTTTGTAAGCTAACCAGCAAGACAACAACTCTATACAAGCGAAGCGTAGATTAAGACAGAGCACAAAGTGATCACATCGATCATTGGACAAAGATTATGGGGAAAAAAACATGAATTCTATTTCTTAAGTCTTAACAAATTAATTAGGTAATTAAATTGGGTCCACAATTTTGTTTGCAGTCGATCAAGTTGCCAAGAAAAGGACACGTGGCGCATATATACGCATGCAATCGAGCCTCAGCATTTTCCCATTTTGAGTCTCATATAATTACAAAGCCTAGAATTTCCAGTTGTATTGCCTCCTGATATATAATTAGTTAATTGATTACCATATTATTAACTCACCACATTCCCTAACTTATTCTCAACTACCACATTGCGGCAGCAAGCACCTGATATAGGCACAACAGGTTGTGGGTGTGGATCATATCGAGGTCTAAACTGAAGCATATTAACAAGATTATTAAAAGATTAAGTAACTATCCAAGGTATTCAGTTAGATGAATGGTATGATCCGTCTTTACAAATTTCATGATTAATGAGATGGTGTTGTTGCGTGATATTTGAATCGAATAATTCGACGATTGTGTCGATAAGATTATATTGAAAATGTAATTGAGATTCGGAATTCACGAGAGAAAGATATTTGATTTGATAGTTAATAAATCTTATATGGCAAACCCTGTTAATAAACCATTATCTTGGTATAACTACATAAGTGATAGACTTGTGCCTAACAAAATCTATATATTTTTCTAGTTTCAAATGAATATACGAGGAGGTAGAAAATATTTCTTGTTGAACTTGTCTCAATAAGTCGAGTTATTGAAACCGATAAATACCACCAAATACATGAAAAGAGACAAATTTTCACATCAAAACCTTCCAATTACATGAGGCCACGAGATTACAAGTTATGGACTTTCTCTATTGCTTCTCATCATGGACGACAAAATCCAAACACATCCATTGTACACATATATAACACACAATTGTCCCCTCCAAACCATCTCATCATCACCATCCCCAAATCCCCCAAACCAAAGAAATCTCTCTTCGGGAGGAAGAGAGAGAGACCACGAGATGGAGAAAAGCAACTCCCCACCCTACTCTATTCTCCTTCTCGTCCTCTTCTTCTCATCCTCCTCCTTCCTCTCCCTTGCCTCCTCGTCGTCGATTCTAAACGACTCAACGATCTCGAACCACAGGTCGCTGCCCCACCACAGGAAGAAGGGCGGTCACGTCCAGTACGTGACCCACAACGTCCTCCACTACGGCGCCAAGGCCGACGGAGTGTCGGACTCGACGCCAGCCTTCTCCCAGGCTTGGGAGGAGGCCTGCAAGTCGTCGAGGCCTGCCTCCGTACACGTGCCAAAGGGCACCTACATGCTGAAGCCCATCGTGTTTTACGGGCCGTGTCAGAGCAAGATGTTGTTCCACGTCGAGGGCAAAGTGGTTGGGCCCAAGCATTATTGGGAGTTCGGGAAGTCGGGGTTCTGGATCCTGTTCTACAAGCTCGAGAAGCTCACCATCCTCGGCGGGACCTACGATGCTCAGGGGTCCGATTATTGGGCCTGTCGAAAGAGCCAAAGCCAGTGCAGTCAAGGGACTAAGGTACGTTGTTATCGCGTTTTTTTTTTATCTTCACTTAATCTCTAATACGATTTTACAAATACGAATCTGAATTAGACGTAACAAAAAAAAAATGTTACTAGTAAATTTGAAATACGTACGGCATGCATCTTCTATTAAACTAATGAAGCTGTTGTTGTTCCCCATCCTAAAATCCAAAGTTGATTCTCTTTGTTGTTTGCAGTCCATAACAATCATACAGTCCCGAAACGTCGTCGTAAAGGGGATCAAGTCGCTAAACCCACAGATGTTCCACCTGGCAATAGACCACTGCCACCAGGTCCTGCTCAAGAAGCTCTACATCGAGGCTCCGACCCGGAGCCCGAACACCGACGGGATCCACATCATGTCGTCGGAAGGGATCACCATCGCCGGAGCGGTGATCAAGACCGGCGACGACTGCATCGCGATTGGGCCCGGGACCAAGAACGTGCACATCCGCGGGGTCCATTGTGGGCCGGGCCACGGGATCAGCATCGGGAGCCTTGGGCTGCATACCCACGAGGCCGGCGTGGAGAACGTGTTCGTGACGGACTCGGTCATGACCCGGACCCAGAATGGGCTCCGGATCAAGTCGTGGGGCCGGAAGACGACCAGCTTCGTCAGGAATGTGGTCTTTGAGAACATCGCCATGGAGAATTCGTATAACCCCATCATTATTGATCAGAATTACTGCCCCTATAACAAGAACTGCCCCGGAATGGTAAATACTTAAATCTCATATTAAATACATATAAAATTCGTATAACATATTTAATATTCGTATTTAATGAATCATGTCTAATTATAATTTGAACATTATTTATACATCTATTTATTTTTAAAATAATTAATTTAATATATTTTATGATTATTAACGTGCTATTAGACGACGTACCATTATTCATTAACGTAAAATATTTGTACGTATTCTCTATGTAACTTATTCGTACCGTACTTTACTAACTATACTTGTTGCGGATAATTCGTATTTGAATTCTAACGGAGTCGTATCTGGGTATCTTCAGGGTTCCGGCGTGAAGATCAGCGGAGTAACGTACAGGAACATCCATGGGACGTCGGCGTCCCCGATCGCGGTGAAGTTCGTGTGCAGCGCCAGCCGGCCGTGCACGGGTCTGCAGCTGCACAACGTGAGGCTGACGTACCACAAAGCAATCGCGTCGTCGGTGTGCACACATGCCGGCGGTGGCGTGAGCGGCGTCGTCAGCCCTAGGAGTTGCTTCAGGAAGTGATGACATGATGATGACTACGTACGCAGAAACGTTGTGACACGTGGATACACTTCCATAATTTTTTTTAGTTTTATTTAATTGTTCTGTCATAATTTTGCTACCACTATTATTATTGCTTCTCAATCAAGGTTTTTTTGTTTGTTTGTTTGTAAACTTAAGAGATCATTTAAATTTACTGCTGTTCTAATTAAATTTCTTGCTATTTTGGACGACGATATTTTATTTGTGAATTGTTCTTTTGAATGGAGGACTTGTGAATTGATACTAAGTATCACTTTAGTCCCTTTTCTTTCGATTAGATTACTTAAAATACGAGAAATTATTCAATATCTAAACACACAATCGACCCATTTCTTTTGAGTAAAAAAAAAAAAAAATCCCTTTTCATTTCTTCATTTTTATTTCCTTTTCTTTTGTGGTGTAGAAGAGCCCTAATGGTGACACCTGGCATGGACCCATAGAACCCAAATTGAATGGACTGGCCACATTTGAGCAGCCAGGAGGCTTCACATACGGCCCAATGGACTCGGCTTTGGACATTCGGCTAACTAATTGAAGTTTGGCGATCCTTCTTCATCAGCCCATTAGCGATAACAATAAAGAAGGCCAACTATATAAGCTCCATCTTCGCTTTCACAACCCTCCACCCTTTCATGGTAAAGAACCCTAGCTACCCGGGTCGAACTCGTATCAAACATTCGAATACACAATACGAAATGGTCAAGTCCACATATCGAAAACTCTGTCATCGATAACATGTTAACTACGTCTTGAATATACATACTTTCAAGTTTTAATCAACTACGACGTTGTAATACTAGAATTGATGATATTATACATGCAGTTTTGTGTCACTCTAACGTGTAACACATTGTTCAATTACGAAAACCTTAAACTCATTTTTAATACTCCAGAAAACAGGATGATATAGTTTTTGTTTTAAGAAATGCACAAGTAGTGATGAAGAACACACACGAGGAGGTGGGCCACGTAGGCGCGTTTCTTGTTTGCAGCTTAGCTAATACCAAAAGCCAAATTATTAACTAAGGCAATAAGTCGGCCACAATATTAATATATAAAGGGGTCTTTTATTGATTAAACAATTTTAGGGGGGAAAGGCAGAGAGAGCAAATTAAGGGTTCGATTTGTAATTATCACGCAAGATGAAAAGAATAGTTAAGAGAGAGGGAAGAGTCATTTGGAAGAAGAAGAAGAAAATTGGAGGATTGATTAGGGTGCTTAAGATATTACATTATTGATATATAAGACACATGTAACTTATTTCAAATTGCATCAATTAATGTTGTTTACTTGTGGCCTAAAGATTATGAGAGGATCATGTTTATGATGCATAAGAGACTCATCGCTCAAGAGTGACGACGAATTGACTCTCGAATCATGTTTTTCTCTCTATCTTTCGGTATGCATGAATTGTCAGACATTCATCTCCTATTCTTTTCTCCATCATGATAGAAGACAACATAAACATCTCATTAATACACCTCATACCTTTTCATTTTTTCTTAGATCTCATTCTTTTATTTTTGTTTTTCTTGATGTTGTTTATCGCCTCTCTATAAATGAGAAAATATGTGGATTACCTAAATTATGTAACACAACCATACACTTAATTCTCTGACAATTTTTAACAACTCAAACGATGGGTTTATTATTTATATTTTGTTGGACCCGTTGAATAATAAATTCATCAATATTGCTTTTCAGGATGCATTACTTACTATATATATTATGCTTAGGTATAATGAAAGGAAATTCCAGACATGCTACTTTGTTTGTTTATTGTTTGTGTGATAGCATTGTCACACTAATGACAAACAATTACGAAAAAAAATAATGATGAGAATTAAAGAAAAAAAGAGAAAGGTGGTCATGAAGATTACATACAAAATAATTGTTTATTTTTTGTGTTCTGTCGTTTTGTGGGCCGTGCAACATGTCAACATGGACTTTTTTGCTGCCGTTTTGAAAACGGCAAAAGGAGCCAAAGGAAGGAAAGGAGGAAAGAAAGGGAGATTTCAAAGAGCAATGGACCCTCAACAATCAACATGAAGTCACTTGTATGAAAATATCGAATTGGACAAACTTATAATATCATAAGTTCACAACAACTATTTATCGGTAAAAACAAAGATAAAAAAGAATGAGAACATAATCGATCTTATAATATTTATATTGTGTATATTCGTTCAAACGAAAAATGTAAAGATATGAAAATTATATAAGTTAATTATTTCGAAGATTGTATAGGTTCATTATCTCATGCACATCAACTTTAGTATTGGACCTAAAGATTGTGTACGTCCATTACTCCTTGTGCATCAAGCAAATTAAGATTGGTATGGAGGGTTATTTAGGATTCAAAGTTGGTCCATGAAACCGTACCATACCAGCGGTTCAACCACGAAATATCAGTATCGAAGACTAAATCGGTAAGCGGTATTTAACGGCCTAACAGTTGAACTACGGTTAAACCACGGGTTTACCATAAAATACCCTACTGCTGACTTTCCCGGTACGGTCTCTGGTACGGTTTAATGGACCATGATTCAAACACATAACCTTTTTGTTTAAAGGCTATAATAATACCATGTGATTGGTTCATTTCATACCTCTAGTTGGAATAAGCAATTGTCATATTATCTATATTTATACATTACAGGTAATCATACCTTGTTGATAACAGAACACATATCGATAGATACTATCAATCGACTCTCCACGTAGTTACACATGTTGCATCGACTTGTGATGATAATTCGTAAATAATATCACTACTACTGATCCAACAACTCAAATATCGGTGGAGGTGAATCCAAGGATGCAGCATTTGCTATTATTAACCCAACCCAACAATGGCCACCCTCTCTTCTTCTGCCTGGGTAGGGCTTGGATTATAGCTGTTTGTACTAGCTAGATACCTTCCTTCGCTGGTGTTTCTTTTAGAACAGTGATTCAACTTGTATACTTCTGTAGTAAAAAAAAAAAACAATATAATCAATGCCATGCGTGACTCCACAAAGAACACTGTTTATTTGACTTGCTCCCATCAATTTTAACTTGGAAAGAAAATGGGGGAAGGTAGGAAAGAAAAGTGATGAAACATGAAAGCTGTGATGTGACGAATTATAAAAACATTTAAGCAAGGTTCATGCATGGAGGAGATGAAGAGAACAAGAAGGCCAGTTAAGTTGCAGCAGAACAAGAAGAGGCGTACTATTTGCCGCCCGTGTAATTACTAATTGCCGCCCGTAAATTTAGTAAAAATGTCATTTTTACCCCTCTTCCATTTTTTCATAACTCAAATCCTCATCCACCAACTTGCTAAAAAAATCTCACCACCAGCAGGCCACCACCACCGTCGGCGTCTGACCACCGCCTCCACCGTCTGATCCCGTCCCGCCGGCCCGACCCGGACGGGCGGACGCCGTCCGACCACGACGGGCGGACGCCGTCCGACCACGACGGGCGGACGGATAGAAATAAAAATAAAAAAAAAGAAGAAGCCGGATATTGACGATGATTCCTTCCACAACGGCGGTGATTTCCTTCCCAGCCGAACCTCTTCCCAATTTTTTTTTTTTTTTGTGGTAAAAACCTCTTCCCAATTTCACGGTTGAACTTGAAACTCTATTACGAAAATAATGGTGGATGATTACGGGGAGATATATTGGGAATATAATAAGGAAAGTTTATTAATAATTGACAATTTTAAACATTAATCTCGTTATTAATTAAGGAATTTAATTTAATATAATGACTAATCAGACGTGGGTAGTTGGGAAAGATTGAAGGAATCCATTACCACGCGTGCTTACTCCACATTTATCTTGATTTGGTAATCCGTTAATTAATTCAATTATATAAGTTTATTTTATTAGTTCATTGTTTCCGCCCAAAAAATAGAAAACTTACCATGATTAAAACTTCCAAAATTACTCTATCGTTGCTAATTCCACGTTTCCCTAATTAACCCACGTCTTAATTTACTTGTTTTTTTATTTCCCTAATTAACCCACATCCAAACCCACGTCCTAATTAGCCATTACATTCCCTAATTACTAATCTTTTGCACAAAACAAGATAATGAATGGAGGAATTAGTGGATTGTTTTCTTTATTAATTGACTTAATAAATCATCCTCAATTAAATAGATAATCAATAATTCAAAAAACGATTTTGAAAAAAAAAACTGAGTTTCAGACCCGTCCGCCGCCGGATCTCGGACCGCGTCCGCCGGAGGAATTCGGACCCCGTCCGCACAGGGTGAGCGGACCCCGTCCGCGTCCGCCGATCGGACCACGTCCGCGTCCGCCGATCGGACCACGTCCGCCTCCGGTGAGCGGACCCCGTCCGATGCCGGTGAGCGGACGCCAAAAAAAAAAAGTTTAGCTTCTCGGCAAGCTACTTCCTCGACGGCGACGACGACAACCCGCGGCGAGCTCCTTCCTCTTCAACACCGGCGACTTTGTGAGGGGGGGAGGGAGTGAGGTCGGACGAATGGAGGGGTCGGCGGGACCAGATCGGAGGAATGGAGAGGTCGGCGGCGGTGGGAGCGACGGTGAAAGGGTCGGTGGAATGAAGAGGTCGGCCGGCGGTAGGATGTTGTGGAAGGAGGAAGGAAGGTCGTCGGCGACGGCAGGTTAGATAGGTTTAGGATTAATTGGAAGAAGGGCAAAATCGTCTTAAATTTTAAAACTATGGGCGGCAAATAGTAAATATTAGGGCGGCAAATAGCGATTCAAAACAAGAATGGGGTGTTTCGAAATTTGAAGGCTTTAGATTCGAAATTTGATATTATAATTGGGTTTGAAAAAAGTGCGTCTAAGCGCAGACAAAGCTAAAACATAGTGCTTATATATTTTATGACAAATTAGGTATCCAGAACGCGATGACATGATGTTATTTAGGAACTAGACACTCAATATTCATAGGAGAAATTAAGTAGGATTATGGGTAAAAAATTGATGGCTTTGGTTTGGTGGGCTTCCCCTCGTACAATCTCGACATCAGAGGCCAGGCCACATAACATAACTACGAGACAGGACATGGGCCATTGTACCATCATTGGCATCTTTCTCTAGATAGAACTAGAAGCCAGCCACCGAAACCCTGCAGTTTGGAACCTTTTGATTTTAAACGGCGAATACATGTAAATTTTCTGTGAGAAATTATATAAGATAAGTTCACTTCATGTATAATTATGTATATTTTATTTATTTTTGACTATCTGACCCAGAATCTCAATATACACATTTAACATATATACATTGCTTCTTAAATCAAAGGCTCCAAATTGATCATCCCTTTTATTCAAGGGTTATAGGTATAATATGCCCCTCTACTATGACATTTTATCAAACATGCCCCTCTACTATTTTTTACATCAAATATACCTCTTTACTTTGAAAAAATTATCAAACATGTCCTTCTGTTAAAATTTCGATTGAAAAAATCGTCAATCATGGTTGAATTGAGATTTAGACGACCCGACATCGACAAATGGGAGGGAAAATGTCAGTTTTGTCCCCTGTTTTATTTCTCTATGTCTTTTCAAAGTGAAATTATTTGAATGATTTGATTATACAAAATAACCAAAAAAATTCTAAAGTGAATTTATTGGGGATATTTTAGTCATTTGTGTTGGCCAAACTAAAGTTCGGCCTTGGTTAACGGTTTTTAGATGAAAATTTTAACCAAAGGGCATGTTTGATCATTTTTACAAAGTACAGGGGCACGTTTGATGTAAAAAATAGTAGAGGGACATGTTTGATAAAACGCCATAGTAGAGGGGCATATTATACATATAACCCTTTATTCAATGAAATGTTTGACTATATCGGACCCATTACGTAAGTCACTTTGAACTAACGCTAGTCGCGAGATAATTTCCGACTCTCGTTTATTCTCTATACTTATAGCTAATTAGAAGGAATATGTATGCTATCTTTTATAAATGTTTATTAATTCATACGAAGTGACACGAAGTGGTGGATCGAGTTAGGTCGAAGGTAGAATGGGTTGTAGACTCCCCAAAACTTTGAAATATATAGTAAGTAAATTATGTGCAAATTTATGAATTAAAATCGTCAATAAAGTTTTAGTCCTCCTCCCTTAATTACCACAATTCAAGTCAACTCCCCTTGTTCAGATTTCTAGCTTCGTCACTGACGACACGTTAATTAAACATGAAGTACGTAAATGTTTGATGATTCTTATTATGTTACTCCCCCTAAACTTCTAACACAAGTTGGGCAATCGATTTGTTAGTGTTTGGAGATTGTAGAAATGTGTTTTTTCCCCCTATCTACTTTCACAATAGAAGCAAAACCACATACACACCCACTTTTGCTGGGTTCCTCAATAATTACCTGTGGATGTTGCATATGAATGTGCAATGACGACTCTAACAAGCTTGCCTTCTCTATTATATAGGACCCAAAAGAACAACAGTTTTTTTGCTTTCCATTCCATTTATTTCCGGTTTTAATTCAAGTAAAGATTACAGATTTCTCATATAATTGAAGATTTAGAGGTGGAATTCTATGGTTTTGTGGTGAGGAAGTGAGATAATGGGAAATGAGATGAAAAAAGTTGGTGCATGAAGCTATGAATGTAAATTAGAGCTATGTTCTTTTCACAAACAATGAGCGTAAATAAATTTCCAAATTATATCAGATAAAATCAGGATGTGTAAGTCAAGATTCATAATTACTCGGGTCAATGTTCAAAAAAATTATAATATTTTGGCACGAGAGAGAGTAAGACATCTAATTTATAATCTATAATTTGAATGAAAAAAATATAATTTAATTAGTCGAAATACAACAAAGGAAAATCGTCTTTCTAGAGTAAAATGAAAATGCAATCAAGATTACAGTCTAAATGATAATTTATATGTTGGACTCACTCAATGAATATCCCGGATTCAAATCTATGATTGCACAAACATTTGTTTGAAGACATCTTTTCACCACTTATATGAAAAAAATCATATTATTGTATAAATAAAGACTCATACTTAGTGATAAACTGCATACTTACAAAGGGTTAAGTGTTAGGTTTAACACAACCTCATTTCAATTAGAATGTATACATTTTTAGCTCCATTATCATTGTTATCTAATTCCAAATTCCTATTAGTTTAAATTTATGATCCGAAATCACTATCTTGTATTAATGTTTGTAATTTACCACCCACAACCACAAGACAAATATTGGGTGGGAAAAACGGAGAAAACAACTAAATACCAAACTCTTTCTCCATCTAGCTCTCGCTTTCATGATCTCAGAAAGAGAACAAGACACAATTTTAGTTAATTCTAAACCATAAAAAGTTATAATAATTTACACTATATATATTTTTATCTACAATTAGTAAAGAAGAAAATGTTAGACATTTAGAAGTATTATTTTCAAAATCGTTTTTCATATCTATGCTGGGGCTATTATTGGTATTTAAAATAATGCATCTAGGTTGTTTTGATAGTTTAAGTTAGTTATAATAATAATTTCCCCCCAATATTTTCAAAGCAATAATCAACTTCGAATGACAAGTATCAAAATGATAAAAAAATATTTAGATTGAGATGTTAGACTGTCAAGACTAATGAATATACAATCTTTCTCTTTTATATAGTTTTCTTTAGTAGCATTCTTTTGCATGCTTTCGCTCCATATAATGATTTCAATAACGATATAAAAAATTGATACGATTCCATAAAAGAATATAGATAGTCAATTTAATAATATATATTTGAATAACTTTTGTCATTGAGTGATTCATAAAAGTAAAGAATTTCAATAATAATAGAAAAAGTCATAAGTTCAATTAAAAAGTTACCAAAAGCCAAAAGAATAGGTTAATTTTTTAATTAAGAGTAAATATAATTTATTTGTCAAACCATTCAAACTTTTCAAATTTTTAGTTGAATATTTTGAAATACAAAGTTATAGGCAAAATATTTTGCAACACATCAAAATATTAATTATTTGTTTGTTATTGTTTATAATTCTGTAACACTTTTCTCAATTAAAATACTAAATTTTTTAAAATTTGACAAGTGACTCTTCCAACTTAACAACATGTTGCTAAGTCAGCATTACTAATTTATCAACTAACGAAGAGTTAACGTCTTGCTAATACTTTATATTTTGAAGGTTTGACTAATAATTTGAAAAGTTTAAAATATTTTATTAATAAATTGTATTTACTATTCAATTAATAACCATGTCATGCCACAATCTTTATTTTACGATATTTTGAACAAGAGAACTTTTACGATACCTATAAGCACCGGTGTTTTTAGATTTAAGTTAAATTTATAATATAAAATTATAGTTATATGTTGAATTTGCATAAAAAAATTTCATACATTATTATATAGGTATAAATGGAATTTGTACGATAAAATTAAATTTTCACTATATTTTTTTTCTTAAACGACAGGAGATATGTTGATGAGTTATGAACTCATGAGTCATGACTTATTGAATAAACCTTACAAGAAAAACGAAAAATAATAAGAGAAAAACATTTACAAAAGAAAGAGAAAGAGAGGAACTTGATGCCCTTTTTGATGTGTGAGTGGGTGGTGGTCTTTCTCCCTTCTTAGTTTTTCTCCTCTCTCATAAAGTTTCACCTCTGTGAATTTCTTTCTCCTCCCTTTCCCCAAATCCATCCCCCTTCTTTCATTTGCCGTTCTTCTGTGTTCTTCCTTCCCTTGCAGTAGACAGAAAAAAAAAGCTCCTTGTTATCATCACAGATGATCCAATGAAGGAGGTAACTGCTTTAGGTTGTTGTTTATGGGGTGGAACTGCTCAAGGAGACTGCTTCTTCTTCCCAAGAATGAATCTTTCTGTTTGTTTGGGTTTTGATTTCTGTCCTTACTTCCCTTCACTTGTTTGACTGTTAACTTTGCTCTTCGATTTGCTCTGATTGACTAGTGTAGGATTTTGGGAGAAGGGCTTAGAATGATTTCTCTTCTTCTTCTTTATCTCTCTCTAATGTTATTTGCTTTGATTTCTCACTGTAAGTTAACAATCCGTTGTTTTCTGTCCTCACTATTGTTTTGCTTGGCCACTTCATTCATCGATTCCTCTGTTCTTTCATCCCCTTGTGTTAATTTGTGGATGCATCTAATATGCTCACATAAAATAACATCCCTCCAATACTTGCTTCTGCTAATCTCAGTCTTGTCCCTTATCTCTTACCTGTTGCTTTGCTTCATTTTTTCATCACATAAAATAACCCATCTCCCAACTATCTCTATCACTTCGAATCAGTTGTTTATGGTTGTATCCTATGTTTGAATCGATCTTTGTTTTGATGACTCTCTTGTTGTGTGCAGGCTGATGAATTGGTTGAAGTTAAAGTTTCATCCTTTATTGATCTTCCAGATGCGTACATCATCTAGCTTGAAGAAGTAGCTGCTGCTGCTGCTAGCTAGAGCTCCTTTTTGTGTTCAAACTTAGCCTCTTTTTTGCTGTGTGTGGGCTTGGGTCCCCTCCTGTGGTAGAGAAGAGGAGTATTTTGTTTGGTTGGTAGTGGTGGTGGTGGGGTTTTGGTTTGATGGGGGAGTGAATGAATCAAAGCTGCTAATAATCAAATTAGTACAGTTTCTAGACCAAAGTTTGAAAAGAAAAAGGAAGAGTAGATTAGAGAGAGATAAGTAAGCAGAGGAAGAGGGCTTCTTTTGAGTTTATGTACATGCTGAAGTTAAAGATAAGGAGGCCTAAGAGTAGCAGCTGCAACAGAAGCTGCAATAAGGTGAAGGAGATAAAAAAGAAGAAGAAGCTGTTGCTTGTGACTACTGTTGTTGTGGCAACAGCAGCAGCACAAGAAGAGAGAAGGTTAGCATCAGATGTTATCATCCATTGATCAAAACCTGCTTCCACCACCAGATCCCTCATCACCTCATGTTCTTCCCTCCCAATTCTCTAATTCTTCTTCTCCTTCTCCCTCTTCTACTTCTTCTTCTCCTTCCTCAAAGCCTTCACTGCCTCAGCTGCAGCAGCCGGTCCCGTCGCCTGAGGTCGAGTTAGAGGCAGATCTACCAAACCCACTTCATAGTTTCTCCATAAGGTAAAAAATTTGTTATCTTTTTTAAATTTTCCATAATATTTTCTTGGTCTTTGTTTTAGATTTTTGCTGGAGGATGAACAGTACCAAATAGATTTTTTTTCTTCCTTCTTGCCTCCCCCTCCTCTAATCTTCTTTTTGGTTGGCTGCCATACAGCTTCTTCTTTCCTTTCCTCTGTTATTATTATAATTTTTATCTTATGGTGAATTTGTTGAGACTCAGATCCAGAGGGTTACACTCTATGCTTACTTTGTGGCTCTGCCAGACATACCATGGGGCCTGTTCCATGACATATACCACCTCTAGTTTGGTCTCTCTAGTATTTCTTGTTTTTCTTACTACTACTATTATTATTACTACTAATCTTCAATTCTGGCCAATGATAGCTTTTGCTATTTTGGTAAGAGTTTCAACTTTCATGGCTTCCTTTTAAGTACCCCAAACCATTCTGCTTCTTCTTACTTCCTAATTGGATGTTGTAGTAGTTACTCTTTCTCCTTTCAATATTTTTGTATGCCCTTATATTTTTGGTTCATTGACAAAGCTGCAGGCTCATGATTTCATGTCACCTTCTCTTACTTCTTGGTTGCAGAGATTATGTGTTCACAGCACGAAGCAAGGACATCAAAACTAACTGGCCATTCTCATCGAAGAACCTACAGCTTTGTTTGAACCATGGCTTGACAGAAGTTTTGCCACCATTTCAGCCTCTGGATACCATAAGGAATCTCCAAAGTTTCGGTAGTTCACACACGGTTAAAGAACCACCCATTACTACCATCTTTGACAAAGTTAATTCAAGCAAATTCGATATTAAGAAGAATGACGGGTTGCTAGAGCCATCATCTGACGATACAGATACTGTTGTGAAGTTGACAGAGAAAAAAGTAGATACAATAAGTTCATGTAGACATGTTGAAGAAGATGGTAACTCATTCCCATCCTTGACAACAACTACTACGACCAGTGACGGAGAATCACTTCCCAAAGCATCATTGAAAGCCTCGAAGAAGTGCAGGCTGGTAGTGAAATTTGGCGATCGTGGTGTCTCAGCAGAAAACATTGCTTCAACTACTACTACTGTTACGCCTATAGTGTCAGAATCATCATTAATGATGGCTTCAAAAGTCTGCCCGGTGTGTAAGACTTTCTCTTCCTCGTCAAACACTACGCTAAATGCTCACATCGATCAGTGCCTCTCTGTGGAGTCTTCTTCAGCACCGCCCAAATGGACAGCAGATGATGATGATGATCACGCGAAGGTGGCAAAGCATCATAATAAGGTGAAGCCGAGAAGGACAAGGTTGATGGTTGATATATACAAGACGGCTCCTCGTTGCACGCTGGAGGAGCTCGATCGGCGAAATGGGAGGCTTTCAAGCTTGGCAATGGAGGAGATTGATGAGGATGAGACAACTTGTTCGGAAGAAAAAAGTGAAAGGGTAAAACCAGTTCAAGCTAAGAAAAGTCTTGGTGACGTTGGACCCGTTTATATCGACGAGAGTGGGACCAAGGTGAGGATTTTGTCGTCCAATTTTGATGAGGTTTCTCCAGTGGTGGCGAGAAGAGTGGGGGAGACTGGGGGTGGAATGAATAAGAAGAACAAGAAGAAGAAATGTTTGAGAGGAAGTAAAAACATGGTGGCTTTGAAGAAGAGGGAGAGTCTTATACGTAAGCATAAGAAGTATCTGAAGCTTGCAGCTCAAAGCAAGAAGCTTTTCTCTGATAAAACGACTCATTCTTCCCAGGTATGTATGTTTTTTCAGCATCCAGATATCATTGAATGGTATAATTTAGCTTAGATACATATGTTTAAAAGCTCCATTGAGAACAAAGGGGGTTCTTTGTGGGTCATGGGTTATGTAGATTATCGAGAATACATAGTTGATGAAATTCCGGACTGCATACTTGTTGCAAAATTAATAAGATTCAGTTGTGTTTCTTTTCATTGTTTCTGCAGATTCAATAGGATTATTATTTAAGCCATATTTGTTTTGAATTTATGCTGATGAAACAGATTCGTGGAAACCATGAGCAGCCTGCCAACCTGAGAACATTTTCTGATGAGGAGCTTCATGCCTCTCAACAACAAATCCCACCTGGTAATAATTCCGGGAACCTAAGACCATGGGTTTGTTCTAAACCCAGAGGTACTCCGACAAAAATTAACAACCACCACCAAGAGGATCACCAGCAACAGCAACCTCCCATAAGAAGTCATTGGCACTCTCTTGCGGAATCTGATAACCAGTCATTTCCTGTTGGTGATTCTAGTGAAGAGAGCACAGGCATTCAGAAGTTCACAAATCTTTCGGAGAATCTGGCTTTTTGTCACGAGAGGATTGAGAAGAACAAAGTCCAGCAGGTAGTTAGCATCAAAAGGAAACGTGGAAGACCCTTGTCCCGTAGGCCTGTCATTACTGGAGACGAAGATGTGGGGAAGTATTTTGGTTTAATGAAGCAGAAGTTTGTTGAATCGAATAGAGATGACCATCGCGATCGTTCGTTGAAGCCTCCGAATGCTTGCAAGAATAAGGTGACTGAGTCATTGGATAAACTGCCCAGCGTACATTCTGTTGTTGAGGCAAGAAAGAAGAAGATTAAGAAAGGGTCCAACTTAAAGGAGCCTCAGGTGCATTTGCTCGATGAAAGACGAGATACGTTGTCAGCAGGCAATTGTGACGTCGATCAACAATATGATATGATGCATGATCATAGAGAGTATCAACTTGAGAGTGATGTAGTAACAGAAGAATTGGCTTGTGGTGATGGTAATGCTAGGACCGAATCCAGGCAGATTGAAGGGATGATGATATGTAGTGACTTGCTAGGGAAGGAACAATTGGGTCTGATAAACTTGGATTCTGTATCTCCTGGTTTGGACTCGACTAGAGAACTGGTTCATGGAGATGATATTGGCGATGAATCCCTGTCCAAGACTACAGAAGGAATGCATGGTGGTGCTAGTTTGAGTAAGTCCATTGACACTGTACTTTATTCGGTGAAGGATGCTTCAAAGCTATCTATGGAAGATTACAGGGGGTTTCTAAGTGGGTCTGAAGCTCCAACTGATTCTGCTGAGCCAGATTTTGTGAATGAACACGAAATGGCTACCGAAATGGATGCAGAAATCGATTCTGGAGAAGCTGAAAATGGAATGGACTCCTTTCCGGAACTCGATCCAATTCCTATCCCAGGCCCCCCAGGCTCGTTCTTGCCAAGCCCGAGGGACATGGGAGATGATTTTCAAGGGAACTCATCAGTGACCACCACCAGCCGAGCTCAGTCGTCTCTTGATATTGGTAATGTTGTCGATAAAGATTCTTCCGAATCTCCCATTTCTGCTGCCTCAAGCATCTCCAACTCTACTACTACAGCACAGAATGGGTGTGGGCTTGATTTTGTTGAAAGCAAGAGATCATTAGGATCAATGGCTGTTACACGTATTGACATCGAGCCTCACGTGCAAAATGGAGACATACTTCCAGTGAGCAAGCCGTGCATTGAAAAAGATATAAATACGAGACTTGATAGAAATCATCTCGATAAGGGATCATTCACTGTGGCAAATCCTGATAATCATCAGCCATGTTGCTGTCAAAGGAAAGAGAGAGTGCCACTTGCTCCAGCCAGCATTGTGCTGAACCAGCATGATTCTTCTTTGTTGCTTCGGAGACGAAAAACGGCTGCTGCTTCAATGATGATAGATCATCCTAGTGGTAAACTAAAGGGCTGCAGCAGTACATCCATCCCCAGGTCGTTAAGTACATTTGACACGAGAACTGAATATGCTCCTCCTAGCACTTGTCCTACTTCAGGTGCTGATGCTGTGGGTTTCCAGGTCATTAAACCTCATTTGGTTCCCTCAATGGACTACGAATCGAGTAGTCCGTCGACTCCCAATCCAGTGCTGAGGTTGATGGGGAAGAACTTGATGGTTGTCAGTAAGGATGATGAAGCATCCAAGCCTCCATATTTGCAGCAGCAGCTGACAACATCATCTCATCCTCAGAATCACTATTCAGCTGATCCTCAATTCCCAAAGTTCTCCACAATTGGAAATGTCCGGAATCATGAGCCTCGTTTATTGCACCAGATGGTTCCTCATCCCCATTCGTCGGCAGTTTTCCCTAGAAATCTGCATGGTCATCATGTGAGTCCTTACTCGAATGTTGGGTTGACCAATGCTGCAGCGGTTTATATGCCTAATGGCATGTTTCATAACTATTCTCCACAATGCAATCCACTAGCGACGAATGCATACTCGTCACCATCTCCCCACTGCACAAAAGAGGTTATCATCATCGATGATGATCCTGAAAGGGCGCATCCCGCGATGACCAATAAGCTTATTATGAAATATGGTGAAGGCAATAGTATTAGAGAAACTAATAACCATGTCATCCCATCAGGCAGCATGTACCTGCCAGGAGGAATGCAGAGTAATTATAGCCCGAATCACATGCACTCTATCGCTTGCTATCCTCCGTCTCAAGAACACCATCATACATCTCCCATGGGCGAATCATCATCACCTATCGTACGTGCTAACAGGTTTCATCTGACAACTCCAAGTAACATTCGGTATTCAGCAGACAGTTCTCGAATGCTCCATCAGAGTCCATTGCAGGCTGCTGCTGCTGCTGCACCACCACCACCACCATCTTCTGACAGTGTGCTGCGATCCTCATCAGCGATGTACTATTCTCCAAGCTTCTCGTAACAAAATGCCATGTTGATGATGATCATAAAGCTTTATCTTTCTGCACCAGGTTTGCACTCATGAAACTTGATCTGTCATTTTACTTTTGCACAGTAGAAATCGAATGTTTGTCGCGGGAGAGTTATTGCAGATGAAGTAACGATCAGAACCGAGATCGAAAAGAAAGGTTCGGGTTGGTTGTATCGTTCTGATGTATTGAGAAATGGGGAAGAGAGACAGACAAGCATAATTTTATGTAGCTTGGGGAGGATAGATGAAGAGAGAGAGGTACCAGTTTCCTTTTTTTTTTGCCTGTGTCAAAAACCCTCAGAAGCCCTTTCTTCTACAAGTTGACTGGACAATCAAATGTATAAGCATCATAAAAGTGAAAGAAGAAAGAAACCCATGAATAATATACAAGCAGCTTTTGACCCCCCCTCTGCAGCAAGGAACCTTTGGCTCCTCCCTAGAGCCAGTAAAATTTACACTTTTACTGTTTTACCTATTTCTATTTGTGACGTCATATTTCATGCACTTTCTTCTACTTTGCCAATTATTCAAAAAAAAAAAAAGAGCAGCTGTGTTGATGGTGATGCAACAGTGGTGTGCTTTCATGCTGATAGTCATTACCACACGCTATCACTTATGTCTTTGATATTTGCTGTATGCTTCAAAATGCGTGGATTACACGTCTGAGTTACTCTTATAAGAAAGAGAATTCATGGCCATCGATTACTTAACCCAAATTAGGCCAAGCAGATGCTGTTAGGGCTAACTTCTTCATTCAGCTTGAGTGACATTTTTCGCTTATTGGATATTGCATATCTTCATGCAAGAGGGGTTTCTCGCAATATTGTAATGCATTATCGTGTTGGTTGATACACCCATTTTGTTTTCAAACGAATATATTATGTTACGATATACCTTTCGAAATTGAAGTACTGTGAATCTATGATAAGAGGGAGATCAATGCATTATTGGATGGAAGAAGTAGGCTAGAGGTTGGCAAAATGGATTAATGCCTCCATTAATGGCTTTGACATCGACCCTCTAAAGACTGAGGTGATATAGTTCTCATGGTTGTCCTTGATACTGGCATAGAGAGAGTTTTGTTGCATATATAGTTCCATTCAACAAGATAAAATGGGTTTAATCTTGTGGTATATTTATAATGTTCTATGTAGCGAGATTCACGAATTGTTGTTCATCGTAATAAAATGGAATTTCGAGATTTATGAAACGGTATCCTGGGAAATCCACTTTGTTTATTCCTTGTCCGTAGTGGTGGGAGGAGGGAGAAGTCGCTTTCATGAGGGGATGGAATTCAACTTCAAAGGACACAGAGAAAGACATTGCATACATATGATAATAGAAGTAGTGCAGAAGCAAGGTGGCTGCTTTCCTCACAGTACATGTTTTAGGGTTTTGGAGGGGTACAGAGAAAAGATGGGTTGATGTCGACCTTTTGCCTTTGCTTTGCTGGTGCTAGCCTGGTCTTCTCTGGCTACTTCTTTGGCATGGAGTTGGTGCCGTGTTGAAATTGTTACAACTAATATAAAGTAGGCTCAAAGGGAATCCTCTAGATGAACTAGTAAGTTGATATTTTAGAAGGAATGAATTTCTTAAAGTTGGATTGCATAACTTTGGTGTTTGGATGATAGTGTATTAAAACGTATGAGTGTCGATGTCACTGATGGAATTCAAATTAAATGAAGCTAGTAGATCTCTCATTATGAGAAGAGGTTTTTGAACTCGTATAGAAGAGTCTACATAGTATTGAATTTGAAAGACAAACATTGCATTGAGTTAGATTAGAATTTCGCGTCTTATCACTCTACTCATGACGATCGGATATTAACCATCCTGAATGTTTTATCCACTTAAATTTGGCTACATTAATATTGTCATCTTCATAAACTGAAGATCATTGAGCTTGCAACATTGTATGACCTCTAAAGTTGTCCAAACCTCTAGTCTTTTTTCTTGTCCACAACAATCAACGTATTAACTATTGGAATGTATAATCTCACATTTCTATATAAAAAAAAATAATCTCAAATGCATTGATCAGTACAATAGATTATATCAAAATTATCAACCCAGTTAGGCCGAATATCATCGAACATGCAACATTGGATGCCTCTACACAAATGGAGGTATTGGATTGGAAGAGGAGGGCTCTTTAATAAATCTAGTCAAAAAGGGCTAGCAAATGTGCGCCATGGCTGCAACGGCAAAAGCTCTTCATAGTTCATACTACTATTCCCATACCACATTTTCCCGCCTCTGTTTTGCTCCTCTGGTACTACTGCTGGTTGGCAGCTCGAAATTAGAGTATGATGCAACGGAGTAGGCCAAAAGCAATAGCTCTTTCAACTTTCAAGCATAATGGAGAAACATAAACCAACATATTGATAAATAGGGTTCATGGTATAGAATATGCAATTCAATGATGCTCTTGGGGCAAACTGTATTTCATCAAAACTGAGTCAATACCAGGGCTCTCTTACTCTTACATGCTCTATTGCTCTAATCCAAAGCCCGAATCAAACATAGAACAAGACCCATGTAGATAACTAGAGACCATTAACCATACAAAAATTCATCACCTTGCTGCCACGACCGATGGAACACATCACAATGAGACTCTCATCATTCAATCACTTCACTCTATCACCAAATTCATAAGCAGAAACCAAAGGATGTAATCAAAATCATCACCAAGGCTCAAAACAGCTCTGCTGATCTAGCAGTAACTTGTCTAAGCTTCGAGTTCACCTTCCCGGGCGGCGCACCCAAAATGAGGCTGCAGAGAGCATCCCTGGCGATCTTGATATTCCTAAATGAACCCAAGATGTGAATCTTCTCGTCTGCCAGCACGATCCTCGTCTTGGTCGCATTCTCGATGGAGAACTTCGTCTTCCCTCCTTTCCCCGAAAGCCTCCCAATGGCTCTCGACTTGTGCTCGCCCTTGAGGGTCTTCACATCCTTGATCTCAAACGAGTCTACATACAGCTCGTCCATCCTCAGCAGGGCTACCGCGTCGATCACATCGAACCCCATCATGAATGCGTGTACAAAATCGGCACACTTCTGTAGGTTGCTAATGTCAGGGGTATCTCCTCTGGTCTTCAGCTCGACTTTCCTAGCTTTCAGGTTCATTCGGATGTCGACCTTCATCTGCTCGTAGACCGGTGAGTAGATTTCCATCCACGCTTTCTTCAACGGAGTGTATCGGTGAGGAGGGACGGAGACTTTCCTAAACTGGACTTTCCCGTCGGACATCTCGTGCGCCTTCAGCGGCTCGAACAATGGCTTCTCCGGCACAGGCGGTGCTACACCATCTATCTCCATAGCTGCTAGGTATGTTTCTTCCCTGCAAAATCGAACAATTGGAATCACAGATCGAAAGATTACCCCTTTTCTTCACAAATTTCTCTTTCAAAAACATTTCATCAGATTCTGATATCCTACGACAGCTGAATTGGACAGCAAATTAATTCTACCAAATCCTAGCGCAAACGAGAGACTGATTCGATGGACGGAAGGGGAAGCGAGTGTTTCACGTGGAAGGCGGCGAGAAGGAGGAGCAGGGAAGTCGGACTGGTGAAAGATTCCACGAGATTGACTAGCTCGATGAAAGCGAGAGAAGAAGAGGAAGAGTGGCCGGAGAGGAGGGGCCTTACCTCGGCGAAAATGGCAGAGCCGCCGCTGGCTGGTGAAGACGGCGGCGATAGAAGTTGCTTGGAGGAAAGGCGAGACGGCGGAATTAGGGCAAACTCGGGACAAAATCAGAGAATGCTGAAAGAGGAAAAACACACCGTTTCGCGCAGTTTATATACTTTTCGCGGGTTTTTCGAAATGGGCCTTGACTCTGGATAAGAGTAGATGGGCTCGTTGTAGCAAAATGTGGATCGGGCCCAAACAACATTACGTTACTAGCTCATCTCAGATTCCGTCCCGTTTAGCGGAAAGACGGATATTCCATGGTAACATTTACTAACATACTAACATTTTCTTTTTTTTCTGAATATTCTATCTCCAACGGCGCCGTATCCTTGTACGGTAACCAACGCACGCTGACACTAACACTAGGTTTATATCGTTAAAGACTTAAAGTTGGTCGCCGCAAAGGCCGAATCCCAAAAAACGTTCAACTCTCTTCACTCAGCGCCAACCCGCCTCCGTCCCTTTCCCTCCGCCGCTCAGCCGAACAAAAATTCTTCCCGTTCTCAAAGTTCCCGAAAAGCAGCGCAAGTAGCCAAAAGCTCCCTTCCGACGGATACCCTGTAATCATGCTGGCAAAGGTAAAATCGGAGGGCAACTTGGAAGCAGCAGCAGCAGCCGGAGGCAGGGGAGAAGGAACAGCAATCGGCGGGCAAAATAGTATCAGCCGCCGCATTCCGGAGGAAGTAGCAGTAGATGAGAAGAAGCCTTCGACTTCTAAACCGGGCATTATGATTGCCGAGGACCCAGATGGAGTTCTCGTCGACGTCGTGTCTTTTGCCGCCATTTCTGCTGCTCCTGCTCCCCCGCCGCCAAACAAGGCTGATTTGGACGCCACCGAGCACTCCAGTTCGTTCGCGGACTCGCTCTCTGACACGGATAAATGCTTCTTTGGCAACAGCGAAGGGGAAGTGCAGTCGGAGTTTTTCGGCGGTGGCGATATTGCTTCTCCGTTCGATGCTTTCAGTAGCTTGTTCTACTCCAGGTACTACCCGCTTCCCCGTTCATTGGGATGCTTTAGCTTAACGATTAGGACGAATTTTGAATTCGAATTGCTTAGGAAGGAAAGGAATGCATTTCTTAGTTGGATAACCCAATTCAGTTCAGGACCAAGTTGGAATCGTTGGGTTTGGATTGTTGATTGAATCGAATGCAACTGTTTGGATGTTTCCAATTTGAAATCGGATTAATGAAATGTCTAAGGGGTCATATTGCCATTATTCTTGTTTCAAGAACCTTAAGTCTTCTTAGCAGTAAATCAGGTTGAGCCAGACTTTGATTTGATCTTTGGATTTCTTTTTGGGGCTACCTTCCATATATTTGGAAGCTGCATTGCGTTAAGAGTGTGATGAGAACATCATCCGTTTATCATACCTACCTAGCGATTTCGAATGCTGTATTCCGAGAATACATTCATTTCGTATGTAATTCGATATTTGAGATGGATGTATAGGACGACACCTTGCACTGACATTCCTTTGGTTCTGGCCTAGGAAGAAAAAGGTATCGAATCACTGGAGGAACTTCATACGGCCCCTCATGTGGCGTTGCAAGTGGGCAGAGCTCAAAATCAAGGAGATTGAGTCTCAACACATGAAGTATTCTGGGGAACTCGCAGCCTATGAACAAAGAAAACAATCAGGAGTCTATCAGTCAATTCCTGAAGGTTCCTGTGCAAAATCTCTGCCATTTTTGAATGCATGTTACAGAAGGAAGTCCAAGAAGAGGCGAAAGAGAAAGAGAGTCGAGGGCTCAATGGATATACTATCATCGTCGTCTTTCTTGCCTGATCATCCCATTTTTTCTTACTTTGGTATGGGCCTCTAAGTATTGATGTATCAACTTCTTGTTCCAATTTGCACTCGCAGCTTTTCTCCAACGGTTTTTGATGTGCCATTACTGCAGAAAGCAAGAGAGCTACTGCAGATGGAGCTTCTGTGGTTGACGAATTCGATCCTATAGGTTAGCGTTGTTTCTGCTTTCAAGATGGTTTATCAGTTTCGTACATGCTCTAAACCATTGCATCCTCCTCACACTGTTTCTTTCGCTCTCTTTAATGTGGAATGCAGCATCCACAGACGCACCACGTCCCGACGCCAAAGACCAATTGGTGGACACCAGCGTCGAGCTGCCATTTGCATTCGGAGACTCCGACGCCTATCTGGAGATCATCCTGCTGAAAATCGAATCAGTGCACTCTCACGTCCACAAGTTGAAGGACCAGCTCGATTCAGTGATAACAAACAATGCCGCCAAGTTCTCTTCATGGGACAACCTCTGCCTTCTAGCGCCTTGTGGCGACGAAGGGCAGACGAGCTCAGCTCCCAGCCCCGTGTTGTCGGTTGGTGGGTTCGATGGCGAGACGATGTCTCCCTGTGGTGGTAGGTATACGGAGGGAAATCAGCCTGGTTATGATATGAGCGAGCTGGTTCTGCCTGGGAGTGCAGTGTCGAGTTTCGGAGAGGCGGTCCATGTTCCTGATGTAATTGAGAGCACGGTGGGGATGTTGGCTGATGCTGAAGTAACGTTCCATGAGCCCCAGATTGAGCATCCTTGTGAAAATGTAAGCATCAACTTCTAATTTTGATCCATTATACTACATAGCCTTCTTGTCTCGCAAGAAAACTGGTGTCACCCAAATCAAAATTTCGCGATGTTGGATTGATAGGAAGCAATGTCCTGATAAGCCTACCTGAGTGTGGAAAAAACTTTATATCTACAGGTGCTGGAAAATGTCCTGATAAAAAATGAAGCAGATGCTTTCATGGGGACGACGACGATGACGACGACAAATTGTAAGCTGAAAGAAGAGGAGCATCATCATCATCCTCGCAGCGAAGCGATTGAGAAAGGCCACAAACCAACAGCAGAAGAGGAAGAAGAGATCACGAATGGACATCAAGCTTTAATAACCACCTCGAAGACCGATGAATTGGCTACAGAAGGGGAATCGTCAACGGTGGCGACTCTGAAATCATGCTTAGCGTTAGAGGTGCAGATCCCTACGAACAAGAGGAAGCGAGGGGAGCGTAAAGCCGGCCCCGGAACTGGCGGCTGGAACAAGAAATCCTCAGGTGATGATGATGCTCCCCCTAACTAGCTACTGTTCATGCTGTAGTTCATCTATGTCCTCGATGAATCCTTTCTTATCAAGAACATCATGGTTTTCGCACAGTTCTTAGTTTCACGCCTTTTATTTTTCCTCTTCTACTGCCCGAGATCGTGGTGGTTTTGACCGCTGGCGATGGATAGAAACTGTTACTGCCGCTGTGGAGAAATCGGTAGAACTGACTCGCCGCTGGATTCTTGTCGCGGTAGGATCGTCGAACTCGTTCATGAGATCCAGCGGCGAGTCACTTCTACCGATTTCTCATGATGAGAATAACCGAAATCTGTTTAATGCGCGCGCGGGAGGGAATCGAACGGGAAGGGAGAATGGAAAACGGTTAACGCGAGTGGTGCACGTTGGGCTGGCGTAGCTATGGGCCCGTGGAGGTGAACCGTATCTTGAGCCTGGCCCAAAAGCAGGCAAAACTAGTGAATGGATCCGACCTGAATAAATGGAAAAAAGGTAGGGGTAGAATAGAACCGTAGAAGACAATAGGTAAATAAGAAGTTCATGATTAAAGAGAACAATCGTGTCATTAAGTGGGCAACCCGATTAGACAAAAGTGGAGGAATACACGTGTAAATAGAGATCCACAAATAAGATGGAGATATATCTAATTGATAATCTCATCATCTGCAGTATGTAACGCACAATGTGTTAACAAAGCTAGTTTCTTTTGCTTCGGAGTCGAAACGTTTCTTCAGCCCGACCCAATAGCAAGCAATACTAATGAATGGATCCCTCCCAAAAGAATGAAAAAGAAAAAAAAAGGCACACACACGTAGAGGTTGATTAGTAAGTATATTAGTTATAGAGAAAGCTTGTGTGATTAAGTGGGCAATTCGATTAGGCGAAAGGGAATGACTATATTTATACGTTCAAATAGAGATCTCCAAGTAAGATGGAGACATTCCCCCACCGAGTAATCCATTCCTCCATAATATGAACCACACAATTTGTTAACGACGTCAGTTTCTTATTCCTGCTTAAAGCGCAGACCTACCTCGAACGCCGACGAATATCAAGCACCTCTATATCTAATTATTAATATGACACCATGACCTAGACCCATGTCGACGATGGACATCAAGCAGGCACATTCAATGCCTACTAGGCTACCGCCCCACATTTCTCATCCTCATCAATTCCCAATAGATAGATGGATCCACCTATACATCATTCAATTCCAAACTACACACACCCTTCAACAGTTACAATCATGGCATTGGGCAGCTATGGGGCAAAGGGGACCGTTTTTGGTCCCATTTTAAATTGGCAACTAGTGTAATGGCACGCTCATTTACTAACGTGGAAGGAAAGAAGGAGCCAATAATTGATATTGAAAATTCAACCAGAAAACCAACCCACTTGTGGCTGGTGTGTTGTGCTTAAAACCAGGTAGTTGTAGTTGTGTTCTTCCTTCCTGTGAGGAAGCTAGACCAGCCGACAGCTTCTCCACAGTTGCTGCTGCTGCTGAATTGTATATACATAACAGCAGTACGAGCCAAAGAGGAGGAGGAAGAAGAAGATCCTTCTTTCATCGGATCCGCTTGAGAAAGAGATCGAGGTTAGTAAATTTGGAAGCAACGCCGGCATCCACGTGTCGCTTTGCTGACTGCTTTTGCTTTGCTTCTGTTTTGTTTATTTACTTTATCCACTGGTGGCTTGTATACCGGCGGCGAAGTAGGATCGTCGGAGGTAGTCGTCGTTGGGGTCAACGCATGACCGTCAGTGTTAGAAAAGATTCATTATTGAACCGCTCTCATCGTTGTTCTCGGGACCAATTAGTTCTTTGAAATAATATTAGATCTGTCTGAAATGTTTTCAATTCGAATCCTAACAACTTTAATTGTTGAATTCATAATGTTCGGGTTGGTTCGAACTTCAACCTCGTATGAGTTGGCTTTACGGCAACCAGTCTTACTCGGAGGCTTACATATTTATGCTCTTGCTCTACTTGGAATGACCATTAAGTATCTGGTTTCAGTTAATATATCCTAATATTTTTTATTATTATTTGTGACTTCTAATTTTATATAGGAATAGAAATAGATACTTGTCACGGACTCGATCTAATTGTTGACTGAGTTCTGATTTGGAAACTAATTAAGTACATTATGTAATCGTTAATTATTATTATCTTTGGCTAATGACTGTAGAGTTGAATTATTTGTATTTGAAAATTTGTCGGCAGACTCTTACACATGTTAAAGAAGACTATTTGTTCACTATCACATGGCCCAAATGGTTTTGCTAATCACATGCTCCTATAATATATAGCTATACTCTAACAACTAAATTTTAGGTTGGGGAATTTGCTATTCCATAACAACTGACCATGAAAAAAGAATGTGATCAAATTTGCCATACTAATAGTTGATTTATCAATGTTACTAAAAATCACCGACAATTTGTTTCGCTCTAAATTAGAGCAGACGAATATTCTGATTTGGTCATATAAGTATATAACATCGAATCCAATCTTCTATCAATTTAATTAGAAATGATGAATTATCCATCACCCTTATTTTGTAGTGTAAAAAGATCTTATCCGGACAGATCATGTCGATTTGTATGTCACATTCGATTCCGTGTTTGAAGTTTAGCAATTTTTTCTGCTCATATTACGTAATAATATTCCAGACCCGATAGAGCTAATGATCATTTACATTTTTGGAGTCAATTTTGATAATAATGCCATATTAATTCGATAAAATTCTATTACTACTATTTTTCTTTTTATAGAAAAGGAAAGGAAATGCGTTATTTTAATCATAGCCAATGAATTCTACCTTTGGCATATTGTTTATGTTTGACAGGTGGAATAATAAGAGGGGACCGAATCATCAACTTGCTTGCGCGCGCCTTTTTTTCCCTCAACTACTCCCGGCCTTTTCGCCTAATCCCCAAATTGTTTTTCTTCTCCTTGGCGAGTTTATCGGATCTGGAAAAAAATTCCGTTAATCGAATTATTCTTTTTCCCCTCTTTTTCCTTTTCTTTTCTTTCCAATTTCCATCTCTTTTCTCCGCCATTTCCCCCAAAAGAGAAAGCCTCGCCATTGTTGCGGTGTCGAGAGCTCCCCACTTTTCCCCGGTCGGCTCTCGATCCGCCTGAGCACATATCCCCGGCGGCCGGAGTAGGGTCAGATTAAAGGGGAGGGGAAGGAGGAGAAGAGGAAAGTGGAGGTGGAAGGGTTGGAGGAGGAAGGGGAGGAGAGGAGTCGTCGCCGTTGACCACCATGGAAAACATTGCGTCGCAGCTGAAGCGGGGGATATCGCGGCAGTTCTCCACCGGCTCGCTGCGGAGGACGTTCAGCCGGCAGCTGTCGCGGCAGTCGTCGTTCGAGCCGCGGCGGAACAACATGCGGTTCAGCTTCGGGCGGCAGTCGTCGCTGGATCCCATACGGCGGAGCCCGATCAAGGAGGAGCTGCTGGCGGTCCCGGAGAACTTGGACTGCACGATGCAGCTGTTGTTCATGGCGTCCCGCGGCGACGCGCGAGGGGTCGAGGATTTGCTGAACGAAGGGATTGATGTCAACAGCATCGACCTCGACGGGAGGACCGCGCTCCACATTGCCGCCTGCGAGGGACACGCCGAGGTCGTAAAGCTTTTGCTCAGTCGGAGGGCCAATATCGACGCTCGCGATCGCTGGGGGAGCACTGTGAGTCTCTTATTGCTTTCCTTCATTTCTTCTCCCTTTCAATTTGGGTAATGGATGCTGTTTTGGGTAATTCGAATTCGGATTGTGAGTTCCTTGGTTTCGTTGTTTGATCCAGTTTGAGTAATTGTTCATTGGCTAAGTTAGAAATGGCGGGTTTGTTTCATTATTAATGGCGGGAATCGTTGTTCCCCTCTTCAATTTGTGATGGATGCTGTTTTGGGTAATTCGAATTCGGATTGTGAGTTCCTTTGTTCCCTTGTTTGATCCAATTTGAGTAATTGTTCATGGTTAAGTTGGAAATGGCAGTTTTGTTTCAATATTAATGGCGGGAACGGGTCCCCTCGCAATTGTACCACACATGAATGTTTTTCCATTCCTCTCTCTCTCTGGTTTATAAATTTGAATGCTTTTACTGAATCATCGGTAAATTGTATCAGGCTTGTGCTGATGCTAAGTTCTACGGGAATGTAGAGATTTACAACATTCTGAAAGCTCGAGGGGCCAAAGTTCCGGTAGTTACAATTTTCCTTTTAACCCTCTTAGGAGTGTAGCTCTGGCTATGGAGATGGTAATAAGTTTGATAACTTATTGTTCTTTTCTCAGAAAACCAGGAAGACGCCAATGGCTGTAGCAAATCCTCGAGAAGTACCCGAGTACGAACTTAATCCACTAGAACTTCAAGTTCGGAGGTCTGATGGCATCACAAAGGCAAGTGGGAACTGATTTTTTCTGTTCATTGGATGAGGTGTGAGGATTTCCTCTCAATTGTGGTGTGATGTCCCATCTTTTCTATATATGGTAGATTCACGTTGTTGCTATTGAAATGGTGTGAGTATTTGGTGTTTTGGGGATTCATTTCTTCACGTGTTTTCGTCATTATGGCTTGCTTCTAAACAGGGTACATATCAAGTGGCTAAGTGGAATGGTACAAAGGTTGCAGTAAAGATACTTGACAAGGATTGCTACACGGATCCTGAAAGCATGTATGCAGTCACCTTCTTTATCTCCCTTTCGTTACTTTCAATAGGTCGAAAAAACAGTTGCAGAACATTTACTCTCGCGTTACATGAGGACTTGGTAGACCTAAAAAATTATAATGATAGTTTCATTAGCTTGAATTGCTTTCAGCTATTCTTGCATAGAAAAACAATTGACCATTGATATTGTATTGCAGATGCGCATTCAAAAATGAATTGACCTTATTAGAGAAGGTTCGACATCCAAACGTGGTTCAGTTTGTTGGAGCAGTTACCCAAAATATACCAATGATGATAGTTATAGAGTATCAACCAAGAGTAAGTTACTTGTCCTCTATCATTCTCTCTCTAGCATACTCATTTATCAATTATTACCGGGGTAAAATAGCTTGTGAATATATGGTTCTTTAACACAATCATGTATCTTTTTTCTACATTACAGGGAGACTTGGGAAGTTATCTTCAAAAGAAAGGTCGTTTGTCACCATCCAAAACTCTAAGATTTGCTCTTGACATTGCCAGGCATGTGCACTTTGAATTCCTCAAAATGATTCTACGCATTTCTGTGACAGTTAATTTTTTAACTCAATGATCATAGGTCTCCCACTTGTACTTGGGAAAGGATGATGTACCATATTCATATTTGCATATTGTGGCAATCTTCACTTGATTTTAACACTGTCCTGTTTTTTTTTCTGTTATCAGGGGTATGAATTACCTTCATGAATGTAAACCAGACCCAATAATCCACTGCGATCTAAAGCCAAAGTAAGACAACCAAATGCACAAGCTTATTTGGTATCCGAATTGTGATATGTTCTCAGTGGAATGTCCTATTCTTTAATATCTGAAATTTTGGTAAGGTGCCAGAAACATTATGCTGGATAGTGGGGGTCATTTGAAGGTTTCTGGGTTTGGTTTGATAAAGCTGTCCCTAATTTCACTTGACAAAGCTAAAGTTGCGTCAGGATCTTTATTGGACCCCTCAAGTAAGTTTGATTGCATGTACCTTATATTGTTTTCGTGGAAAATGTAGGCAACTAAGATAACAGCTACTCCATTGCTATTTTGATTGTCAACGGTAAAAACAGCTCTTTACTTGAATTGCTTTTTCTATATCTACAGATGTATATATGGCACCTGAAGTTTACAGAGATGAAATTTTCGACAGGACTGTGGATGCTTACTCTTTTGGTGTTATGTTATATGAGGTAATCCTGTTCCCTTTGCTATTGCATTCTATGTTCAACGCACCATTACCTCGTAATGGTTTTATCTGTAGGCTTTAATGCTTTGTCATCAGGATGATATTCTACTATGTTTTGCAAACATAACATCTTTGAGATTTCTTGTTTGTTTCTTGTTGGGGCATAGATGATCGAGGGAGCGTACCCATTCTATCCCAAGCCTCTTGAAGAGGCTGTTAAATTGATGGGTATTGAGAAGAACAGACCTGCGTTTAAGCTCAAGTCCAGACATTATCCTCCTGATATGAAAGAGTGAGTTCGTCACCATCGTAATATACTTCTCTAAACACCAAGTTCTAGTGATTCATGTGATCGTTAAGTTACTCTAGCCATACTCATATGCCATTGTCCCCTTAAATCTTGTAAAGGAATCTCTTTAATGGGGAAATTAATGATATTATGAGTGTTGGAAGAACGCATTGCCTTATTTCTACAAGTCCTGAAGGATAACATTCCCTCTGTGCCCAATTTTGCGAACAGATTGATTGATGAATGCTGGCATCCAGAACCAGTTGCCAGGCCAACGTTTTCTGAGATAATCGTGCGGCTGGACAGAATAGTTGCACACTGTTCGAAGAATGGCCGGTGGAAAGATACTTTCAAGCTACCCTGGTATTCCTCTCTCTGATCAACTTTCATCCCCAGTAGTCACATATACAAATGCAACCTTCTTCACGCTTACACCGGTCACGACACATTTGAATTCACCCTTACCGCCACTTGCAGGAAATAAGAGGAAAGAGGATTGGTTAGTAGGGGGTAAACGGTGTAAGAACGCAATGGTGAATGAGCTGACATTGAGGGAAAGAAAGTGGGGAAGAAAGCTTCATGTACTACAAGGCCATGGGTATATATATAAGTTCTAGTGAGACGGTGGATGTTCGACCCGAGCGAGGAAAAGAGACCTGCAGCAAAGCTGCATTTCAAGTTCAAACTGCATTCCGTTTGTAATCAGAAGATTTGCTTACATAAAGAATTCACATCGTTATGTAAAAAAAGAAGGAAAAACATGGCCATTGTTGTAAAATGTGTTCTTGTGATAATAGGGAAAAAGGGGAGTTCTGATGGTGGCAGACTGGCAGTGATATGTTTTGTGCTGATTCAACCTCATTTTACTATAGTTTGAGAAATATCACGAAACCTACAAGGTGTTCTGGTACGGGAAGACTCTACGACGGTCAATTAGATATAGGAGTCTTCGTTTAGAATGCTACATAATAGTTAAAATTATCGATTCTTGATACACTTAAGTGGACTTTGTTAAGGTCGACGAATTCGTTACCTGTGAATGGATCTCAAGTCCTCCTTTGGAACTAGGATCCATAAAAGCGTTGTACATCAATTGAACATAGATAGATGACGCCCTTGTCCCATCCAAACAGATTAAGTGGTCAATTCGTACTGTAAAATTGCATTGTGTGTCTAGTAACTGCAATGCCGGCATCCAAACGATTCCTTCACTAGTCATTACCGTTTACTTGTCTCTATGCTTATTGTTGTTTTCACAATATGACTTTTCAATAAGCTCAACTTGCTTTGTATAATTCGAACTTCTTATTTTTTTAACGTACAATTCGTTGTATTGCGTCCTTTTCATGACTAGTATTATTTATTGCTAATAACTATCTATCTACTTCTTGGCTAACTGCTTCTCTTCGCCTACTTGCTCCAACTCATAAATTACTTGGTACAAATTTGGACTTTTCCATCAAGTTGAGAAGTCAACTGCATGGGCTTTCATCAACAAAGTAAAAACATTGGGGCTCTTTTGAGAAGATTTACAAATTTTATAGGGCTCAATTCTTAAAAGCATGTAAAGTTTCAGGTAAATATCGTAATAAATTTGATAATCAAGAGTAGTTTACAAGAATACTATAGTCCTCTATCCCCAATTATTACTGTTCAAAAAAAATTTTTAATGCAAAATTTTAACTCGTCTCATTCAGATTTATAGATCAGCCACTCTGACGTGTTGAATAAGAGCAAGGTGGATAACTGATGAGGATGATGCCATGTGACTTTGACTTGGCATATATGGTACAAGTGTTAGGGCATCAGCATAATTAGATTACATTATCCCAACAACTAATTATAATTCCCAAGTGATATTGGATTGACTTGGCATGGTACACGTGTGATGATTGTATATCTACTTAGTATGCTTGATTAATGGTGAAACATCCTCAAATGGGTTACCTTTTGATAAACATCACTGAGTATTAAATGAAATACTTGGTTGATGGTGATCTAATAATCAGACTTTTAATTCAGAACCCAAGAAGTCTTGAGCGGAAATATGTAAGAGGAGGAGGGTACAACTATATACTTCAACAATGTAAGTCAAATAACATCGAAACAAATAGTCGATCGATCAAAAAGAAGAAGAGCAAGTCCCGTACATTTTAAACTCCTCATACTGGATTGTTTGGTCTTTTCTAACTTACATTTAATTATTTATCTTGGAATTCTATGATTTGGTTTTTAGTTTTTACACCTCGTATTCTTGACAACTACACATACCTTATTCATCATTCTATCTATCTAGCTAGCTTGTTGTTCAAAGAGAAGACACCATATGATGTATGTGAGAAGTCAAAACGTAAAGCGAAACTCTCCATAACGAATCGATTTGGGCCAATTTAATTTCAGATGGCATCGTCGTAATTTTGTGGGCGTCAAAAGACCATTTTCTTTGGATTTTGAAGACTACAGATCACGGATTCGCCCTGAGGCTATTCTTCAAGGATGATTAAGTCCATTAAGCACGGATCTGGGCCGATTTATTCCGGGTCAATTTTGGGCAGCTTGCAAAGGGGACCATCACTGATTTTGAGCGATTTTTCCAAAATGCCATTTTCTTTCGATTCTTGAGGCTACAGATCACGGAATCAGGCCGAGGATATTTTCCACCGATAATGAAGTCTATTGATCCTATTCTCCACGGATGATAAGTCCATTAATAACCGATTTGGGCCAATTTATTTTCGGATGACATTTTCATAATTTTGTGGGCGTCGAAAGACAATTTTCTTAGGATTTTGAAGGCTACAGATCCCAAATTCGACCTGAGGCTATTCTTCAAGGATGATTTAACCACCGATGTGGGCGGATTTATTTCGGGTAAATTTTTGGCAGATTGCAAAGGGGTACCATCACAGATTTTGGGCGATTTTTCCGAAATGCCATTTTCTTTCGATTATGGAGGCTACAGATCACAAAATCATGCCGAGGCAATTCTCCACCGATAAAGAAATCTATTGATCCTATTCTCCACGGATGATAAGTCTATAAAGCACCGATTTGTGCCAATTTATTTTCGGATGACATTTTCGTAATTTTGTGGGCTTCGAAAGACCATTTTCTTTGGATTTTGAAGGCTACAGATCACGGATTCGGCCTGAGGCTATTCGTCAAGGATGATTAAGTCCATTAATCATCGATCTGGACGGATTTATTCCGGGTCAATTTTTGGTAGACTCATCACAGATTTTGGGCGATTTTTCCGAAATGCCATTTTCTTTCGATTCTGGAGGCTACAGATCACGGATTCAAGCCTAGGCTATCTCCACCTTAATGAAGTCTATTGATCCTATTCTCCACGGATAATAAGTCTATAAAGCACCGATTTGGGCCAATTTAATTTCAGATGACATTTTCGTAATTTTGTGGGCGTCGAAATGCCATTTTCTTTGGATTTTGAAGGCTACAGATCATGGATTCGCCCTGAGGCTATTCTTCAAGGATGATTAAGTACATTAAGCAACGATCTGGGTGGATTTATTCCGGGTCAATTTTTGGCAGGTTGCAAAGGGGTACCATCACAGATTTTGGGCGATTTTTCCGAAATGCCATTTTCTTTCAATTCTGGAGGTTACAGATCACGGAATCAAGCTGAGGCTATTCTCCACCGGTAATGAAGTCTATTGATCCTATTTTCCACGGATGATAAGTCCATTAAGCACCGATTTGGGCCAATTTATTTTCGGATGGCATTTTCGTAATTTTGTGGGCATCGAAATGCCATTTTTTTTGGATTTTGAAGACTACAGATCACGAATTCGACCTGAGGCTATTCTTCATGAATGATTAAGTCCATTAAGCAACGATCTGGGCAGATTTATTCCGGGACAATTTTTGGCAGATTGCAAAGGGGTGGTGCCATCACAGATTTTGTGCGATTTTTCAGAAATACAATTTTCTTTCGTTTCTGTAGGCTACAGATCACGGAATCTGGCCGAGGCTATTCTCCACCGATAATGAAGTCTATTGATCCTATTCTCCACGGATAATATGTCCATTAAACACCAACTTGAGACAATTTATTTTCAGATGACATTTTCGTAATTTTGTGGGCGTCGAAAGGCCATTTTCTTTTGATTTTGAAGGCTGCAGATCACAGATTCGGTCTTAGGCTATTCTTCAAGGATGATTAAGTCCATTAAGCACCGACCCGTGCGAATTCATTTCAGGTCAATTTTTGGGAGAGTGCAAAGGCATCACAGATTTTGGGCGATTTTTCCGAAATGCCATTTTCTTTCGATTCTGGAGGCTACATATCACAGAATCATGCCGAAACTATACTCAACCGATAATGAAATATATTGATCCTATTCTCCACCGATGATAAGTCTATTAAGCACCGATTTGGGCCAATTTATTTTCGGATGGCATTTTCGAATTTTGTGGGCGTCGAAATGCCATTTTCTTTGGATTTTGAAGGCTATAGAACACGGATTCGGCCCGAGGCTATTCGTCTAGGATGATTAAGTCCATTAAGTGCCGATCTGGGCGGATTTTTTCCGAGTCAATTTTTGAAAGATTGCAAAGGGGTACCATCACAGATTTTGGGGGATTTTTCCGGAATGTCATTTTTTCGATTCTGGAGGCTAGAGATCACGGAATCAGGCCGAGGCTATTCTACACCGATAATGAAGTCTATTGATCATTTTCTCCACGGATGATAATTCCATTAAGCACCGATTTGGGCCAATTTTTTTTCGAATGGGGTTTTCGTAATTTTGTGGGCTTCGAAAGTCCATTTTCTTTGGAATTTGAAGGCTACAGATCACAGATTCGGCCTGAGGCTATTCTTCAAAGATGATTAAGTCCATTAAGCACCGATCTGGGTGGATTTATTCCGGGTCAATTTTTGGCAGATTGCAAAGGGTACCATCACAGATTTTGTGCGATTTTTCTGAAATGCAATTTTCCTTCGATTCTGGAGGCTACAGATCACGGAATCCGGCCGAGGCTATTCTCCACCGATAATGAAGTCTATTGATCCAATTCTCCACGGATAATAAGTCTATAAAGCACCAATTTGGGCCAATTTAGTTTTGGATGGGGTTTTCGTAATTTTGTGAGCTTCGAAAAGCCATTTTCTTTGGATTTTGAAGGCTACAGATCACGGATTCGGCCTGAGGTTATTCTTCATGGATGATTAAGTCCATTAATCACCGATCTGGGCGGATTTATTCCGGTTCAATTTTTGGAAGATTGCAAAGTGGTACCACTACGATTTTGAGTGATTCTTCCTAAATACAATTTTCTTTCGATTCTGGAGGCTACAGATCACGGGATCAGGCAGAGGCTATTCTCCAACAATAATGAAGTCTATTGATCCTATTCTCCACGGATAATAAGTCCATAAAGCACCGATTTGGGCCAATTTATTTTCTGATGGCATTTTCGTAATTTTGTGGGCTTTGAAAGGCCATTTTCTTTTGATTTTGAAGGCTACAGATCACGGATTCGGCTTGAGGCTATTCTTCAACGATGATTAAGTCCATTATGCACCGATTTGGGCGGATTTATTCCAGGTCAATTTTTTGCAGATTCCAAAGGGGTACCATCACAGATTTTGGGCAATTTTTCCGAAATGCCATTTTCTTTCAATTCTGGAGGCTACAAATCACATATTCGGTCTGAGGCTATTCTTCAAGGATGATTAAGTCCATTAAGCACGATCTTGGTGAATTTATTCCGTGTCAATTTTTGGCAGATTGCAAAGGGGTACCATCACAGATTTTGGGCGATTTTTCCGAAATGCCATTTTCATTCGATTCTGGAGGCTACAGATCACGGTATCTAGCCGAGGCTATTCTCCACCGATAATGAAGTCTATCGATCCCATTCTTCACGTATGATAAGTCCATTAAGCACCGATTTAGGCCAATATATTTTTTATGGGTTTTCTTAATTTTGTGAGCTTCGAAAAGCAATTTTCTGTGGATTTTGAATGCTACAGATAACGGATACGGCCTGAGGCTATTTTTAAAGGATGATTAAGTCCATTAAGCACCGAT